TTGCAATAATACTGTTATGTAGTTAGTGAAATCAGTGTCAGTAAAGAGACAGAGGATGTCTTTAGTGGCGAGTTTGATGTTTTGATGCCTTCTGAACACTGGCGCTACGCTGGGAGCAAATATGTGTTTTGTTTTGTGAAATGCCTCGTGGAGGTTTCGTTTTTTTTCCTGTGCACAGAGCCTGCTAGGTGTTTGGTTAATGGACCTGCCTTGTTTGAATTCGTCTTTTTCTTTTTGTGATGGTCTCAAAGGTCCGTTGGATAACAATCCATCGGCGCTTATTGAGAGATAATTCTGAGTGTGCTCAAACTGCTGAGTTGTGTGGTTGGTATTTATTTTTAAGAAAGTTTTATTTATTTGCAGGCAGAAATACAGTCATTGTCGCACTGTATTTGCGCCATGGATAAAACTGTTAGATGAATTAAATGAATCAAATAAAGCATTTTGTTTTTCCTACATGTTTGTGTCCATATTTCAATGTTCCTCTCTTCTTTGCCTCTGACTATTAAACCTTGACAGATGTCTGTAGTTTATTAACCCCTGTGTAAACGTGGTACTCGAGTGTGTATGACAGTGAGGGGAAAAAACGTTACCCCATGTGCCTCCAAGATGGAAACTGTGTGTCAGAGTTAATACTACAAAGGTCTTTAACAGATCTTAATCTTTCTTTAACATCTGAGGCAGTTGTGATAGGAATAATAAATATGTATTTTACAGCCTATAGTCTGTGTTGAACCCTGTCACAAACTGCATTTTCACTTCCTACATGAGATTGTTAACAATACATTGATTGTGGAGCTTCCCCACTGGCATTGGCAAACAATTAAGCTTCAGATTTCCAAATCTATATATTATTTTATATATTATTGCAGTTTTCCAAACAATGTAATTCATATTAAGTCCATTTTAGTAAAAGAATCCCAATGATTGCATTATATGTTTCAAAGATAATTCAATTTCCGCACCTTTTTCCATTCTTAAGACTTGAGTATAAGGTAAAATTTGTACATTGTATGAAGTGTTTTTATCTTTGGGGAACAGTAATGCCCTGTAAGCCCCTGGCAGACAGTAGTACATTTGACAGCAGTCCAAAGAGGTCAGAGGTAACATTTTTCTAAGGGTTATAACGCCTGCGTGGGTTCTTTTTGATCTGGTGACACTTCTCTGAACAGACTGCTTGAATATTTACCCTCTGGGATTAGTGTGTTATGTTTGTCCGTCTGTACCTGGCAGGAATAATCTGATGAAGCTGTGAGGCCAGTGAAGTAGGTTAGCAGGAGAAGATCGCACTTAGTCAATTAAGCTGAGAGGAATCCTGTTCAGGTGCTTTCTGTCTATCTTAAACAATCGTCTGTCGCAGTCTGAGGGCATCTGATGTTTTTCAGGAAGTCCTGGCTGCTGATGTTTTGGGCAATTTAAAAATCTTAATTTTTCATTTAGTTGTTTTAAACTGGTCTTTGTTACCCTCTGGTTTACAACTCTTTAGTTGTTTTAAAATGGCATTAACAATGTATATAATAATCAATGCCCTGTGGGAAGAGAGAAATGCAAACTATGTCACTCATTCAGCGCATGATGCTAGAAGCTGTAATGGCAATTTTTAAGAACCCATAAAACCCTTTGACCTGGTCATTGTAAAACCATACGCAACTGTTAAACAGGCTGTTGTATGCATTTAACCTTTTGCCCTGTTTCTAACTACACTCTATGTACAAGTAAACCGCAGGATGTTGAGACTTCCCTAACTCAGGAACGTGTAACTGTGTGCTGTTTTAAATGTGCTGATAACATTGTCATGTCAGTCTGCTTGCGTACCACTTTTGTCCAGACTGAAATATCTGAATCAGTACTGGATGGATTGCAATGAAATGTGGTACAGATATCCAAGTTTCCAGAGGACTGAACGACTTTGGTGATCTCCTGACTTTTCATGTAAACTCTAATTTGCCGAATAATGACCAAAAACCTGCACAACTAATGACATTCCCATCAGTCTCAGCTCTAATTAAAAAATGAATTCCACTGTATGGTTTTTTTAACCAAAGTACCACAGACAGTGGGAAATCACGTAACAAATATCAAGTGATATTTTTGCAAGAATATTCTACATCTGTAACATTAAAAAGAATAAAAAAGCGGAATAAAAAACATCTTAATTCATTACAAATAAAAAGGTTGCGGTTGGCCTTATGTCTCGTCACTTTAAAATCCTTAAATCAACTTTGTTTGCTAATCCCGCCTCCTCACCTATATTTACAACTGCTTAAAGAAACTTGGAAAGGCACAAATAAGATTAAATTGATGACTTGCCTGCTGCTCGCCCTTGATCTCCTAGTCTGATGAATTAAATGTCAGTGTGTTGTCTTCACAGTAACAGTCAGAGAGGGGAATCTCTTTCTCTACCCATGACTCTCCGGACTACAATCTCAGCCACCAGAAAAACAGGAAGCCATGCTATTCATCAGGGTTTCAGTTCTGCTGCACAATTTCTGATGATTCAGGAAGATACCATGTGTTGATAGAATCCTTTTCCTGGAGTGCTTCCTGTTATGCTTTTTCCCCCCTTTTTTTCTTCTGTTTCATTGACCTACTGCCTTGAACCATAGCTGCTATGGCTTCAGAGAATGTCCAACTGCAAATGCGATGTTTGCAAAACCGCCGCTCAACTGTCGACTGTCTGTCAAAGGGTGTAGAGGACAACAAAACATTCCCATTTTCTCAGGAGAAAGCAGTCAAAGCCTGGAGATCTCTGGAAAATCTGGACAGTCCTGGCATTAAAGTAGAGTGCCCCAAAGCAGAATACAGACCAGAACAGCAACAGAGCATCATCGTCAATGTCGGGGGAAAGGTCTTTCATATCCCTAGAAAGTGTGCCGCTCAATATCCTAAAACCCGGATAGGCTCATTGGCCCTCTGCAGGGACAGAGCAAAACTCCTCAAGCTTTGTGATGACTACTCTGTACGCAAGGACGAGTTCTTCTTTGACCGCGACCCTGCCTTCTTTCACCACATCTTCCATTTCTACACAAGTGGAGTGCTGTGGGTCATACGGGAAATGTGCCCCATCAACTTCGAGGAGGAGATTGCATTCTGGGGCCTGAGCCTGAAAGACACTCAGCTCTGTTGCTGGATGATGTTTGAGGAGAGGGTCGACGAGGTGAAGGACAACCTGAAGGTGGACAGGGAGCTGATGGCTGAGACTGAGGTGAAGTATGACAACGAGTGTTTCAAGGACATGATATTTGGGAATATGCGCAAGACTCTGTGGAACTTTGTGGAGGATCCATACTCTTCAACTCTGGCAAAGGCTTTTACTGTGCTCTCCAACCTTTTTGTGCTCTTCTCCATTGTCGCAATGACTCTAAACACTGTGGAGGAACTTCAAACATACAGAATTAACAACAGAACGCACATGGAATGGGTGGAGATCATCACCATTGTGTTCTTCACCTTTGAATATTTAATCCGCCTTTTCACCACTCCTAACATCATCATGTTTTTGAAGAGTGGACTCAACTTTGTGGACATGGTGGCAGTCATGCCTTATTTCATCCAGCTCATCTTTGAAGCCTTTACTGATTCTGATGACATGAATGCACAGGAAGACCTCAGGACCATGGCTCGGGTCAGCAAGCTCAGCCACGTCCTCAAAATCCTGAAGCTGCTGCGGATATTTCGGATTTTGAAGCTGGCCCGACACTCCACTGGCATGAAAGCATTTGGGTTCACACTGCGTCAGTGTTACCAGCAGGCTAGTTGCGTTTTCCTTTTCATTGCCATGGGAATCTTCACTTTCTCTGCTCTCCTTCATTCAGCCGAGTGGGAGACTGAGGGATCTCCTATCAGCAGTATCCCATATGCCTGGTGGTGGGCTGCAGTGAGTATCAGTAGCTGAATAACTGAATGTCATGCTCCAGCTTCTAGACATTATATTTTGTCCTAATCCAAAAAACATCTGACTGTCACCTGTCTTCTTCCTCTGCATACACCTGCTTTAGAAGACAAAATATGTGATATAGTCCTCAATACAACACTAACGAATGGAAACTCGTAGGAAAGTGATTTTTATTCCAACCTGGCAACACAGGAGCTTGTTTTACTGGTTACAATCCCTCCTTGATTAGCTTTATGAAGACCAAAACCACCTGTTTTTATAAATTGTCAAGCACAAAACTCCTAGACTCTATATTATATGCAACTATGGTAGAAATGCTCTTTTTTAGCCACAGAAATGCCTCGCTCAAGGGCAATTCAAGATTAACCTTACACTTAAAACATTTATGTTACTGTTTATTAACTGGCTGTGTTAATGTGTCAGTGTTATAAATAATGCTTCCAACAGTGCCTTGTGGCCGTGTGTTTCCAACAAATACAACTCACAGTGATCCTGAGTAGCCAGTGAGTGACAGTAGATTTTATTTGCTGCCCTCAGTAAACAATTGATCAAATCTTCGCAGCTACACCAGTTTGGCAGCATTTCAACTGGAAGGTTCTGATGCATGAAATAAGATCTCTTATCATTTCAACTGGAAGGTTCTGATGCATGAAATAAGATCTCTTATCTTATCAGTTCTCAGAGCCTTTTATTGTTGGCCAACAGGGACCTGCATTACCGTAAACTAGTTTCATTCAATTTTAGCTTTTCAGCATGGAGAACCATGCTATAGTGAAGAAAATGCTAAGGAACACTGAATAATATGGGACTGTTCACTTTTCTTTCTTAGGTCAGCATCTCCACTGTGGGCTACGGGGATGTGGTTCCTGTAACTGTCCTGGGCCGCATTGTGGCCTTTGGCTGCATCTCATTTGGAATCATCCTGAACGGCATGCCGATCTCTTTCCTCTTTAACAATTTCTCTGAATACTATGCCAAGCTAAAAGCCCAGGAGTACAACACTGCCTTCATGCAGAGGCGCTTTCTGCTTAAGAAGCGCCTCCGACACAAAATGGAGGGATGTCTTCATTCTGAAGACAACAGTACAGAGAGCCACTGCGAGTGCCCACACACTGAAAGTGAATCTTAAAATTGTTGTGATGGTATGATAATTAATTGGGAGTCTTCAGTGTGAATGTGTTTCATGATAAACTTGAAACTGAGTCTTTATGTGTGACAATGTGTTATTTAAAGATATGAGTGACATTGTGAGTATGATTGTGAGAAACAGGGCAGGAAAGGGGAAGTGGTTTCTACAGGTGCTACAATTCTTTGCATTGTGTGATCAACTTTAACTTTCTTTTCAAACTGATAGATGAGAAACACAGAAGAAATTCTGAAAAGATTTCCATTCACACTGACTCTCGACTCAACTTGAACTTGTGAATTGCAAACAATGAGTGCCTGTAAATGAAAGGACACATTAGAAATAAAGTGAATGCTTCAATACATAAACTTACACTCATGTTTCTTATCAATACTGTCATCATGATGATGTACGGGATCACTTTCTATCATAATAATAATTAAAGCAGACTGATGTCTTACATTTAATCTGGGGTGGGTATTAAACTATAAACCACAAAGACATTACACAGTAAAATCTAAATAACGGACAAAAGGTTTCCACCCCTTCTCCATTTTGGTTGAAAAAGCATTTGTCACATGAACAATGACATGGGTAAATTGCTGTCAGTTATGTATTTTTTAATGTGTTTTTTTTTCCTTTGGGGTTGAACTGTTTTTATACTTCATTGGAGTTAGCTTGCCTCACATGTCCTGTAAATATTCCTTTGTTAGAATAATTTATCATGCTTCTACATTAAGATAAATTAAACCTGAACACTCAGCATCATGCAGTGACATCCAGTTTGTTATAATGTGGTAAGAAGTGTTCTGAATAAGGTTTCCTCTGTAAACTGACTAGGCATTTCCTGTGATCTCTTGACTAAGTACAAAGCTCCTGCACCTGTAAACAGCTTTGTACTTGAGTTCCCGTAAATGGAGACCTAACGTGACCTTAAATGTACATTTCTATTAATTACAAATGCTTTTAAGATTATGCATGCCCACTCATGAGCTCACAGTTCAAGACACCCAGCTCTTTTTCATCCAGTTGTTTGGCCCAAATACTTTGCCCCAAAAGATTTTCTGAAGAAAGAGAGAAGGACAGAGACAGAGACAAAGTTGCAAATGATGATGATGACGATGACGATGACGAAGACAGCGACGACAACAGCCACAACAATTGGGGACAATGGACAATAATAATAGTAACCATAATAATTAATTATAATTATAATATGATAATAATTAGCAGTGGGAATCAAGCAGGACCGTGGCAGTAGGCACCACCAGGATCCACGAGAACCTGCGAGACAAAAAGCACAAGAACTCCAGGGACGAAGAGAAGTTAGTAACATGCATTAATGGGACATGAATGTGTGCAGAAAGAGGCAAAACTGGAGGGATTAAATACAATTTTTCTGTAATATTTACTGTCATTTGGTGTTTTGATGAGGATGATGGTGAGCGCTGTCTAATCGCTATAAAATTTCACATAGGTGCTCATAGGTGAGATCAGGTGCCTGCGGAGGCCAGATTCAGACCCCTTGTGCCCTTTATGGAAGCATCTGCATTCACGATTTAGTTTACTTTAATGTGTCAAAGTTTAGATCATTATTTTGAGTTTGTAAAGCCCAACATCTCAAGGACTCAAGGATCAGCTGCCCATCGCTGTCTTGTTCATCTAAACAACAATCACAAGTCCACCATTGCCTTAACCTACTTGATGAATATTAACAAACATTTGTGGTTGTGCACTTCCTCTTAGCAATGTTTTTTTTTTTTGCAATGTTTTTGTGCAATGCCTGAGTTTACCTCAAAATAATAACATGTTGGTTAAACAGAAGAACCTACAAGCAGAACACAAACTCGGTTGAGTATGATTACCAAAGACAGGCTTTATTAAAAACCAGCTGATGAAATGGTGACGTGAGGGGATAATGGCTGGGATCCAGGCAGAGTGGAACTGAAGGTGGAGGCAGTGTGGCTGATAAGAAGGAGCGGGCAGGTAGCTGAAGAGTAGGTGATGATCCTGAGGCACAGGAAAAAACAAGGGTAAGTATGTCAACACGAAGAGAAAAAAGGATCTTCAATTTAACTAACTGGGCGAGAGAGTAGCTACCAATCATGCAGCGACAACGATCTGCCGGAGAGTGGATGAAGAACCAGGATTGACATACTGCCTGCCAGCCAGCCATCTACCAGCTCTCCATCTGCTGCTTCCAGTAAGCAACTCACCCTGTGTTCACTTTTTTTTTTAGCTGTAAACTGAATTACTTGACTGTACTGTAATGAAACACGTCAATGCTTTTGTTAAAATGTACATAATTACTAAATTTATGAAAATCTACATTTTGTGGATTAAAAATGGCTCAACACCCCTGTATATTTAAAAAAACAGCGTTAATGCCCTCTAACCAGAGGAGGACAGCCCACCTCCCCCAGCCTCCACTCTGAGTGGGGGTCAGTGAAACCACTGTGCTCATTTTCAAGTGTATACTGATAGAGATGCATCATTCACAGGAGTTCAGGCTATTTTTTGTGAAACCTTACTTAGTATTTTTCAATTCTGGCGGACCTGGCTGCAATAGAAAAACAATGCCATACAGTCTTATGGAGGAATGACCCGACTTGTCACTTGATTTTTTGGTTAAGTGAACAATTTCTGCACAAGTTTATGGTCTCAATTGCTAGTTTGCAAGTCTTTTTCCATACATTATGATGTTCATTTAGTAAATTATGGTCCAAATTAAAGTAAAATAGACAATAAAGCCATGTATGCTTTTGGCTGTGGCTACCTTGTGATTGCACTTCACGAAACTTAAATCAAACCATCAAACTAGGTGCTGCTGATCAAATACGAAGCAGATTTCTGTTACTGCGTTCTCACCTAAAATCATTTCAGAAACATATTTTAGTGTATCATGAGTTGAAACTGCGCAGCCAATGAGTGCAGCTCAACTTGCAGTACTTCGCCTCTGCTGGCATGGCCAAAATGCCGAACTCGAGGCTTCAAACCAACGGGTGACATCATGATAGGTTCACTCTTGGCTACAACACAGCCGCTAGCTCAGCTATAGCTCGCTGTTAGCCTGCTGTGGTCAGTCTGTGTTTTATTCCAGTCGAGGCCACATACCCCAAAATCACAGAATCTGCAGGTCTCTCAATGTATTCTTTAAATTTGCTGAGAATGAGGGAGCACCACTGAAGGGTGTAGTTACTAGGACTACACGATATAGTAAAAACATCGTACTGTGATTTTTTTTGCGATTCACGATTCGGTGGGAATCATTTCTGAATCAGAAATTTTCACTTTAAAAAAATACATTAAAATCATAATGATGTGACATTTTTGGGTGGTCTGTAACATCAAACACCTGGAGAACACAATGTGTATGCCAGGGCACCTCTGCAGCACTACAGTGCTTCATTATAATGCTGGTTTGACAGGTGAATGTCATCATATCATTATTATTTAAACCAGTTAGTTCATGCTTACCTAATGGTAAGCAGCGTCACATTTTATTTTACTTAAAGACAAAATGATTTGATTTTGATATAAAAACACAAAGAAATTGTGATTTTTTTGGGCATAAATACGGGTACAATATACCCTGGGATGCTATCTTAAAGGTTAAAGAAATTTAATTTCTCATGTCAGCTGGACTTTAATATAACAACAGTATAATGTGGTTTAATATCTGACTGTGGTGGAGTTTATTTAATATATTGTAAAGTTTACAGTAGTTAAAGTACTGTAAAACGCTGTATCATAATTCATATGCTCTACCTATGGATAGATAGATATATAGATAGACAGATGCATGTATGACGCTCTCGGTTGGCTCCGCCCTGCAGGCTGCACACTTGCAGCACTCTGGGTTAATTTATCATTTGTGCAGCTTCAGAGACAGACGACAGGATTTATCTCTTTTTAGCGGTGAGTATCTCTATACAAGCCCACTTCATATAATGTTGTGTGTCCAGTAGCTGCTCACTTTTATGTGTCCGTTTTAAGGTAAATTAAATATATCTATATGTAATATATTTCAGATAACAGTAGTAACCGTTTTTAAAACATTTATAACGTTTTTATTGTCTTCGAGGCTTAATGGAAACATTGTCCAATCTAAGGTGGAGGTGATTATTAACATGTAGGCTAAGTATCGGCTCGGGGGGAAACAACGCTTTATAAACAGAAACATCTATAAAAACGTTTATTTATGTTATTTTTTTAACCAAGTCTCTCTTGCAAAGTCTGTTCTATTATACTATGCATCGCTGTTAATGATGGTCCGTTTTGTGAATAGTTTATAAAATGTCACTTTATGTTTTCATCTGCTAAATGGCGACTTTCCTTGAACACACATCAGCCAATGTGGTGTGGTAGTAAACCTGTAAAAGTATATTTTTATTTTTCCGTGAAATATCTGCATGGTTCGGTGATGTCTTAAAGGAAGTGGTCAGATGACGTTCAGTTTTAAATGTATTTCTACCCTACTGTGCTTCCTACAGCCTAGTCTTTGTAGAGATTGGATCCTAGATAACTGTTATGTTAGTGACAGCAAATAGAGAGCTTAATAAATAATCCTACAATAAACCTTTGCTCACGCATGTTCTTCTTCTGCTGCCTCAGTAAGTTTTTGGAGATATACAGTTTGGTAGTTTAGGTTCCCAACATAGGGAGTGGGTTATCCCAAAGGGTCACAAGATAAATCAGAGGTGTCCAGAGATGATTTATAGGAGAGAAAACAGGAAAACACTAAGTTCTGCTACACAACTTTATTTTTATTGTTTGGAATTCATTTTTTTGTGGAATATATATATATATCGGATAATTTTCAGGATAGACATCTGAAATGTGAAAACTGGTCCCAACCTGAACACTGCGGCCAAAAGAGTTGGTAACCACTGATTTAATCTTTAACATTGTATTGTCTTTAATAAGCATATCCTGTCTATTGTTTATGTCAAAAGAAACTAGTAACCATATCTGTCATATAATAAGTGGAGTAAAACGTATATTTCCTTATGAAATGAAGTGGAATAGAAGTAACAATAAATAAAAATACTGATATAATATAATATAATACTAATAAAGTACAGTATGAATCTCTGCTTCTGCGTTATCTGATACTTAAAATAAGAACTTCCTTAAGTACACAAGCCAACGTGATATGAGTGTTGAAATAGCTGCATAATTGTACCAATAAACCTGTTGAAGTACATTCTTTTACCTTTATATATTATGATTCATGATTCATCAAACGGCTAAGGCTTCTGTTTCATTTCTGTAGAAAGAAGCTCTCATGGGACTTTTACTGTCAAATGAGTGAAGTGGAGTAAAAGGTATATTTCCTTTTCAAATGAAGTGGAATAAAAGTAAATAATATAAAATGTCATTACTCCAAAGTACAGTTTGAAAATCATCTTTACTTTCCACCACCGTTTATAAACGACTGAGATGTTTTCTCTCTCCCAATGGACGATGTAGGTTGTGACAACAATCCCATAAGGATTACAGCGGGTAGACTAACAGGAATAGAAATTGAAAGGAAAGTCTTTACATGTTATTATTGACCAAAGATGTTATCTCCAGGTAATTTAGAAATCTGGGAACAAAAATAGGTAAATGTGGTTTTCTAAAAAAGAAGGATAAAAAAAGATATTGTATATAACACCAAAGGAGATCTTCAGCTTTTGTTAAATCACAGTTTCTAAGCAGATTACTAAGAACTGAAAGTAAAATGAAATCAAAATAGGTCACCGTCACACAGGAATTCTAGCTGGAGGTCTTTGGAGACTTGTTGTAGGCATTTCTTCATAAAAACAATAATAAGTAATGTCTAAATAGACTGTAAAGTTAGTGCATGTTTAAGTAAAAGTAGAAACACCACCATCTAAAACACTTCCTTACAGGTAAAAGTCTGGAATTCAAGCCTATTACTTTGAATACAGAACAAAAAATGTCTTTAAAGAACATAAGTATTATGAGAAAAATTTACTTAAAGCATAATTATGCAACGTCCCTGTCAGTATTTATTTGTCATATTACTGGATTATTATTACTGACGTGTGTAAGCAGCATTTTAATTTGTAGTGGGTCAAGAAGGAACCAGTTTTTAATTCTTTTATACACTTTGTTTGTTGTATTTGTTGTTGTTTGTATTGTGTATGTATTGTTAACCTGCAAAGTAACTATTAACGATAGCTGTCAAATACATGTAGGAGGTGTAAAAAGTAATAATAAGTGAAATATAAGTAATATTTCCCTATGAAATGTAGTGGAGTAGAAGCCTAAAGTAGCAGAAAAACTCAAGTAAAGTACAAATACTTAAGTAGTACCTGAGTAAATGTACTTAGTTGTATTCCACCACTGCCTATTTGTAGATAATATTTATATTTTAGGCTGTAAAATATGCTGCTAGGTGTCTTTCAGTCAATGAGTTTCCTCTAGTCATTAGCCACTTTCATTAGAGAAATGGCTACTTACAGTAAAGCCAGATAACCGTGGCCTGAATTGCTGATGCATCATTTAGAAACACTGCAAAGTTACGAAATGATGAGGGAAAGGTAAATGTGTCAAACAAGAAACATTATATTAATCGTATTTGAACAGCACAAAGAAACCAAACAGGGTAGTGTTAGTCTCAGCTTTCATATTGACTGTATATTTGTTCCATGCAGTCAGTCAGTTGAATGTTTTACTGCATGATTTCCTCATGCTGAGTGAGGCAGAGCGTTGAGTCTAGGCGGGTCATTTTTCTGTCATCTTTGCAGTAATGTTAATGTTGGGAGCTTCCCTTTTTCTTTTTTTTTCATGTTTCACTAAATGAGTATTTAGTTTGTTCTAGTGACGTAATGTCTGAAATCAACATATTCCACCCATTTTGAGGGGACATGACACCACTTGATTTGTTGACACCCCACACCCCATATAAAAGTCCACGTGAGGATTCTGTAGACAGACGCCAAGATTGATAGATAGATAGATACTTTATTGTCCTTCACAGGAAATTTGTCACTGCAGTCTGTACATGGCTTTTACACATACATGCATAGATACAAGATACGTAGGGACATGATGACGTAACAACAAGAATAGGCGTCGACACAGAGCATGCCACCTCATGTCTGAAGCTCAGTCTGCTCGTTCTTGTTGGCTTGTTGTTTGTTGAAGTTAGGGCCAAATGTGTGAAAGCTTTAATTTATGGGCCTTGTACTTTACGACTAAGCTCAAGTATTTAATTTAATTACTCAAATATCCAGCTCTAATTTGTTGGCAGAGGACAGTCTCTTCCTTATGTCTTGTATTTTTCTATTATTGATGTATGTGTGTTATTAACTGATTATTAGAGATGAGATGTGCTGAAATAAAGCCATGAATGCAGCAATGAAAGTTTCTTTGGAACTATAGCAGCGCACATAAAAAACCCATGGTAGAGTTCACACACTGGATGTAAAATTAAGTATAACTCCATCGTCTACATTTCTCAGAAAAAACATCTTGAATGGTTTCGACTTTTGGATACATTGAAAACCACATCCAGTCTAGTTGTTGTAAATGAAATGATGCTCCAGTCATCTGCGGAGTGAGCATAAAGCCATGCAGTGCTTAATGCTCATTTAAGAGCAAGAGTTGCCCTTCAGTAAGACTTGCAGACTAACACTCTGGTGTGGGCTAACTTTAATACTGGTGTTTACACTGGTGCTTTCTAAAGTTAACAGGACATTTGATAGCAAGTGTTAACCGCTTGATTAGTTACTGCTCTTACTGAGCTAGAGGGACTGGATAAGACACACTAAAAGTTGAACAGCTGCAGCTCAACAACACCACTAACTGATGACATTAGGTTTTTACCCCCATTTCAACAAATTTTATGCATATAAACTTTGCATAAGCTATGTTTTCACCATATACAGTTCAGAGATTGTAAAGATAATCACAATGTAGTTACACTTTGGTACACATAATCATTAGAGGAATAAGGTGTAAGTGTTTGCGAAAGAGCTTTATATATTTGTTTCTTTCTCAAGAGCTATTTGGTGTGCAGATTTTTATGGTTTCATATGTATTTTTTTTATTATCCAGTAGCCATCCAAGTTGGATGATGACCAAATGACATCCGTTAACAGCCAGGAAATAGATGTGCGATACTTTTACAACCTCAGTATCCATCCCTTCCTCCCATGTGCACGGATCAGAGCCGGTCCGCCCTGCTCGCACACTGGGGCCCCGCCTCTCAATAGTGTCAACAGATTGATGATATAGATAATAGAGGAAGAGCGAAATTTCTGTCAGAAAAAGAAAGAGGGAAAAAAAAAACACCACAAGAGTAAATTGCAATAACAGGATGCAGATAAACTTCTCTCTGGGTTTGATGTCAGTAAACAAACAGCAACATTGATGTGAGATTTGTCTGTCTCACTAACAGCTGGGCAGTGCAGCTCTCTGTCTGTTCTTCACTAATGTGAGAGTGAAACACAACTATTTATAATGTTTGCGTCACCCACAAAATTAAACTGTTTTTTTCCAACCGCAGCAACGTACCAGTCCAATAATGTATGGGTGTGATGCCTGTCAGACGCACATCATTTTTAAACAACATAAGGATCATTCTAGTCTCTCAGCTGAAGTTCAGTTGCAGGTCTGTAACGTGAGAGGGAGAGCAATGGACTGACATTGACTATTGATTAAATATCAAATTTGTTGATTAGCTGGGCATGCTGGGCAACATGGGTACACATCTCACAGTTTTAAATTAACTCAATAAAATCAAGTATTCAGTCAAGCCATTGCATAAATAGCTCTTTATATTTTAAAGTGTATAAAAGGAAGTCTGGGTTAGCCAGTTTGAAGGACCTGATGCCGCCTGTAGACTTATGTTGTTGTGACTGACCAGGCAGCAGAGTAAAATATTAATTTTTATTAGATTAGATTAGATTCAACTTTACTGTCAGTACAAGTCCTAAAACAACGAAATGCCGATTAGCATCTAACCAGAAGTGCAAAAAGCAGTAAAGTGCAGAGTATGCACATATGTACAGGGATATAAAAAGGATATTAGTGTCTACATTTATATTTTCTACAATGTTAATGTTAACAGTCACTTATTATTCAATATAAAATATTCTATTAAATTAATATGATTTGTTTGTACCTCCTTCTGTTCTGTATAGATCTACTAATTCTTAGACCGACAGATGGAGCTGTTTTAAAGGAGGAAGGATTGTAGTGGGAGCACTGGATGTGACTGTGATGCAAATAGTTTACATGGTTTAAGAGTAAGGTAGGAAGGCCATCGAGCAGAATTTGGCTTGGGCCCCCAGGAAGGTCAGGACCGGCTCTGGCACAGATTTTAGAAAATTAGGATATCTTCAAGGACCTGATGCCGCCTGTAGACTTATGTTGTTGTGACTGACCAGGCAGCAGAGTAAAATATTAATTTTTATTAGATTAGATTAGATTCAACTTTACTGTCAGTACAAGTCCTAAAACAACGAAATGCCGATTAGCATCTAACCAGAAGTGCAAAAAGCAGTAAAGTGCAGAGTATGCACATATGTACAGGGATATAAAAAGGATATTAGTGTCTACATTTATATTTTCTACAATGTTAATGTTAACAGTCACTTATTATTCAATATAAAATATTCTATTAAATTAATATGATTTGTTTGTACCTCCTTCTGTTCTGTATAGATCTACTAATTCTTAGACCGACAGATGGAGCTGTTTTAAAGGAGGAAGGATTGTAGTGGGAGCACTGGATGTGACTGTGATGCAAATAGTTTACATGGTTTAAGAGTAAGGTAGGAAGGCCATCGAGCAGAATTTGGCTTGGGCCCCCAGGAAGGTCAGGACCGGCTCTGGCACAGATTTTAGAAAATTAGGATATCTTCACTGTTAATCTGCCAATCTAAAATAGAGACAGTTATCAAATGTTATCAGGCGGGGGTCCCTGATCTTCTTAAATACAGGCCTGATCAATTTGGAGGGGTTAACACCAAAAAGTTTGCGAACCACGGCTGTATGTGGACAGGACTACTCGTAAACTGATTTGATGGGAATCGTCTTGTTTTGTGAAAGATCGCGTGCCATGCAAAGGGAGACACGAGACAACCAACCTCAATATATTCAAACAACTAACTGATCATTCAGTTGCTCTATGTCACACTGAGATGTTTTGGTAAGAAAACTGTGTTTTGTTTTGTCCCTGCAGAGTTTCAAGGATGAGAAACATCAGAGCAAGAACCGTATTGCTGGCAGGAGGTCTTAGTCTGTTGGTCCTCCATCTCTGTAAAGATTTTATCGACCTCAAAACCACTAAGACCATCTCTCACCTCCATCTCAATGTGAAAAGAAACAACCCTCAAATAAGACAACACATCAAAAACAACTCCCATGTATTCTCCTGGCAAAGATGTCAACAAAATATGTCTATTGCCAACATCTCAGGCTTCAGCTCTCTTCCTGGTAGTATTAAAGACTTTCTCTACCATCGACACTGTCGCCATTTCCCCATGCTGCTTGACCTTCCTGACAAATGTGGAGGAGCTGGTAAGTCAGCAGATGTCTTCCTTTTACTGGTCATTAAAAGCTCCCCTGGGAACTACGACCGTAGAGAGGTGCTGCGGAAAACCTGGGCCAAAGAGAGGTTACATAACGGCATGTTGATCCAAAGGTTGTTCATCTCAGGAACAACAAGTTCTGGATTTGAGAAGAAGAGACTGAACAAGCTCCTTGAGGTGGAGCAACGCGAGTACAATGACATCCTCCAGTGGGACTTTAGTGACACATTCTACAACCTCACCTTGAAGCAGATACTCTTCCTAGAGTGGATGGAAAGAAACTGCCCGAATGCTCGCTTCCTGCTGAATGGTGATGATGACGTCTTTGCCAACACAGACAACATGGTCGAGTATCTCCAAAGCCTTAAGGATAACGATGGAAGCAAGCACCTCTTTACCGGCCATCTCATCCAGAATGTTGGGCCCATTAGATCATCAGGGAGCAAGTATTTTATCCCAGTTCAGGTACAGGAGTCAGACTCATATCCCCCCTACTGTGGTGGTGGGGGCTTCCTGTTGTCCGGCTATACTGCTTTGGTCATATACAATATGTCCCAGTCCATAACCATTCTTCCCATTGACGATGTTTACATGGGGATGTGTTTGGCCAAAGCAGGACTCGGTCCTACATCCCACATGGGTGTGAGGACGGCAGGACTGCACATTCCCTCCAGCAGTGTAGATGGATACAACCCTTGCTACTATAAAGAGGTTTTACTGGTACACAGATTCCTTTCAGCTCACATGTTTCTTATGTGGCACAGAATACACGACCCGAATCTCAAATGTGGATCCTCCTAGAAAAGGCTTCAGCAGCAGCAGACTCTAACTTCCAGTTGGTGACAGGGCTTATTGATACTTTGCTTCCTGCTCCTGCTCTTTGCGGTTGTGAGTGAAATATTACCGTCTTCATACTATCAATTCTACCGCTGTTCATCCGCCCAATGGAACTTTTTATATTCTTAAAGTCATCAATGTGGACCAGCAGCCAGTCAAATGGGCACAGAAGGGGTGGGGGGTGATAGAGCTTTTTTCTCCTTATACTCTATGGATGAGTAGCTTTCACTGGAATGAAGGGGCTGCTAGGTTTTTTTTCCCCCCTTATTTATTGTTTTGTCGACTTAAAATGAGGTTGCAAAACTTTGTATCAGGCTTCAAAACTAAGCTAAATCAGAGCAGAGTAGTCAGTACAGACCAATTTATAATTTTAATACTGACACTAAACAGTGATTGTCCATAGCTTTGCAACCATAAGCACAACAAGCTTTGGATTTCTCCATGTGTTGAACCAGTGGGTAGGTAGGATTCTAAGAGCATTACTCAAATGTTTTTTTTTCTTGTTTTTTTTTTTTGCCTTTCCAGAGCTGTGAATACAGTACAAGTGTGAGAAATTGATTAAAAAGCGCATTTTCTGTTCTACTGTAAGCTACAAACATGCATGTCCAGGCAGCTGATTTGATTACTAACTGCAGAAGTCATTTAACCCAGCATTACTTCTGTAGGGTTACAACATAGGTCAAGTGCAAATAAGAACCTTCTTTCAGGGTTCTCACTGTAAAACACGTTAGTTGAAAACATTTAAAAGTCAGCAGGTGGCAGGGTTTGTACTACATTACTAAGAATTCAGGGTAGTACATTTTGCTGAGTACCGGTATCACTATAAACTATATGTGAGTTTGTGCTGTGTGAGAATGATAAGCCTGACGAAGGCAAGAGTTAATTCATCTTTAAGTGAAAATAAGGATTGATGATTTATTCAGAGGCTTGTTTTCTGTATGGCTATTGCAACATATAACATATTCTGATATATATCATAACACGGATGCTTTTAGTTATTTTACAAACTATATGTGGAGTTTGGTTTGTCATGCATTGGTGTATAGGGCCTTTAAATGTTTTGTTTCCTATGGACACATAGTTCAGCCATAACTATGGTAAAGTTTCTGGCCTAGCCATTGTTGAAGACCACAGACTGTGTCATTTCTAAGGTTGGGTATTGATTCACAATACATTCTGATTGCTACTTGAATCATGTCCATAGCACATAATTGTCCCAAAAACTACCAAAGGTTAGAATCAAATGCTTCGTAGTTATGTTAGCTTATTTATTGATGAGATATTTCTTGTTTTAAATTAATATAAATTCTAAAAAGTATTTATACTGTGGGCCTATGTAGGAAAATGTATCTGGTATTAAAACCATTTTACAATACTCTTTGGTGTGAATGGTGCTGGGGGTTATACAGTATATCCACAATCTTATATAAATGTCAGTCAAAAATAATTTCTCAGGGTTTCTTCAAATTGATTATGTTATCTGCTTAAGTTTATAATTTTATAGTTTTCTTGAATTTAATTATATTTTTGTATAACCTTTATATTTGTGTTGTAACAATATTTTGAGGAAGAAATGAATGTATGTTTTGTGCCTTATATCAGTGCTTCTAAACCAGGAACCACTGTCAGAAGTTGAGTTCATGTACTGTCAGATAAGAGTCTTTTTTTAAGTTTGTCTATTGAATGTATCTATTTTATTTTCAAGAAGAGGCTATATATTGTAATATTTTATAGTTAATGGCTGGGAGATGAAATTGTGTGCTGCATACTAAACATGGATTTAATAAAAACTAAAAACTAAATGCTGGTGTCCATATTGTGTTCTTAGATCTTTTTCTGTGCACACCCACCAATGGGAACCATACTGGAGGAGATTGTTTTTCTAAACATAGAGTTTACACCTCTGAGCAGAATCAGAGAAACACCTTCTCAGATCCACAGTACCACACATTAACCCAGCGGTGTGTGTGTGTGTGTGTGTGTGTGTGTGTGTGTGTGTGTACATATGTGATAACCCTGTGCACAGCTGCATACATTCCAACACCAATAAGTTAGTTTTTGCAAGTGACCTCAAATTAAAGATAACAGCACAGATAAAGAACACAGGGCCCCTTTGTCATAATAGTGTTAGTTCGTATTTGACAGTAACAAGTCAATTATCAGCCAGAAGACTAAAGAGAGACAAAGTCTCAAAGTGTCAGCTGCCTAGCAAACCTGAATGCAGCTATCACCAAGTTGCCATAAACTATAACGTAAAGAGCTGCTTAATGGTTAACCAAATGTTTCTTGCTCCCCAATTACTGTGCTCTGAACCATTACATTAGATTAGATGGCATGTACAGTGTCAAGAAAAAGAAAAGAAACAGAATTACTTTATTTGATTTATTCATACATTTGTCTTATCTTCATGTAAGCTACACGATGAACAAACACAATCGGTTTTAACTAACAACACACAAATTATTGTACTTAATATTGAATACGTCATTGAAACATTATAAGTGTAGGTTGGGAAAACATCTGTCTGATTCCCTGGACTCTCTGATTCTCTGATTGATCCCTGCCGGTTATAATTTTGCCTTTTAACTGATTGATTGGTGTTTTGAGTCCTGCCAATTTACCTGATTGCTAACACGTCAGGCTTGTGGGTTCTTGGCTGTTCTCTGTCCGGAAGCACAGCACTATCCAGCATTCTTCCAGTAGTATATTGTTAGATATGATAGAGATTATACTGTATCTCTTGTATTTACTTAAATTAAAGCACTGTATTTAAAGCAGGATGGTAGGGATAAAGTTTGTGTAAAAGAACTGTGGTGCCCTCTTGTAGCCAAAACGTTGCAAAACTGCAGTAGTAAATGACTGAAAACATACATTGAGGTGAAAGTTCAACAAGGTTGTTTGTGCAACAGACAGTCAACAGGACAAGTAACCCACACCTCTTACTATGTTTCTCTGCATATTACTGCACCTTGAGCAAATATTAGAAATTAGACAACCTTCCACAAGTGCAAACAAACTCAGGGAACATTTTTTATGTAATGATACTAAACCTGTAAGAAATGGATATTACAGTAGTTGGTTGTTGAATATTTTATCTCATCGGATTTCATACTTGTGAGATTGTGTGTACCATGTAATTGCAGTTTCTAAAGGGAACATGGAAATGGGGAGCCCTCTTGTGGACAAACAACAGAACTAAATGACAACATTTAAAACAAGTGTAAAATGGCAGTGAACCACACATTTCTAAATTCTTTCTATTTTAGGAAAGACAAATTCAATTTTTACATACAAGCAAACACAGGCAGCGCTCAATGTCTAAAAATATCACCTGCGACACAAAGATAGTGTCTGGGAGAATTGTTACTACTGATAATGTTGAAACTTTATCACAGATGAACAACAATAATTTTGTTTTTACTATTTTTTTTTAGTTTATCAAATGGCTTTGTGGTGATCCAGTAGTCTCCAGATAGATAAAGTAACTTTAATCTAATTTACCTGAAACCTTTACCATAGCATTTTAACTATATAGTCAGAGCAGGAAGTGCTGTCTTGCTGCTGTTAGACTTTGTTGACTCCAACATCTTCAGTCTCCAAGGACAAATATTGTCCAAATATTTACAAAAGCAGTTGCCACAAAATCTGTACTTGTAAAATACAAGTACTGTACTTCAAAATACAAAAAAAATATTATTAAATGTTGCTGTCTTTTGTGTCCAAACAGGTGTTTCCACAACATCTTCTACTTTGAAAATCGCACTGGTTTACAAAATACTTAAAGATAGATAGATTAAAAGCTAACTAACAAACAAACACTCTCTTACCTAAAGCAATACTACACAACACAATGTTTAGCCTATGCAGCAGCTGGGAGTTAATGAAGCTCTCCCCTCTGCTCACATGTTAATGCGTCTTTGTACATTACAGGAGTGGGAAAGAGAGCTTTACCTGAGTGCTTAAGGTGTTGCCTAGACGAGACTTGTGATGATAATGAAATGACAATGAAATTGTACCATTCCATACTGTTGCTCTCCAGTATGAGTTCAACAGTGAGGTGCAACAAGGCTCCTAATCAGCCTTTAGGGTTTTCTCTCTCGTCCTGCATGATGGTTTCAATTTCGTTTGCCAGGCTGGAGAAACATGGCCGCTCCTCGAAGTCATACGCCCAGCACTCCTTCATCAAACCGTACACCTAGTGTTAAAATGAGAGAAATGTAATAAGCTGTTTTGCTGGGAGAGACACAGCAAAGAACTATTGATATTTGCATTGTATAGTGTGACTGGTTTGGCAAGTTGAAGTGAAGAATCAAATAAGGTGTTTACAATATACGTATATCATCACCTCTTCCAGATTTAACTGAAGATTGTAAAATAAACAGACAAAGAAAATCAGTATTGCAAAAGAGGGACTGATGTAACACAGAGGCAACAAGCATCTTACAGACGGGGACAATGATTCACAGTGAAATTATAATAGCATCGCAACATATAGTACCTGACCCACATAGAGAGAACCTACCTTCAGTGGGCAGCTTGGAGGAGGCGGCAACCTCCAGTTAGTCTTTAGAATATTTGCCAAATGCATTGAAATGGATGGACCCTGCACACTGTGTCCAATCTCCTGCATGCACAGCTAAAACAGTGACATTAATGAAAGAGGAGAGAAGGGAGAGGGGGGAACCACAATGGTGTTGCATTCTGATTAAACAATTCTTGATTATTTTAAATCATTGTATATTAATGAATGTATTCTTAGGCGCCTTCTTACTCTTTTTGGGTTGGAGTTCATGTTGCAGTAGGAGAAAAGCTCATGAAGAACGACTCCGAAACTCCAGACGTCTGACTTGGGGGAGAATCTGGACTCACTGATGGACTCTGGAGCATACCTGCATTAGATGAGCAGTGTATGGTTAGGTAGATCTCCAGGAAGTGAACACAAAATAATCTTAATTCAGTGGCTACTTCAGAAAAACTCTTTGGATTAAAGAGTATTTCAGTTTTCAAACATGAGATAAGCTACCAGAAAATGGGACTCTCTCCAGGCTGCGTGACCCGGTAGTACTCCTTGTCAAAAGGAATAATCTTGGTCAGCCCAAAATCAGCGATCTTCACCAGCGACTCACTGGCCACAAGGATATTTCTGGCTGCGAGGTCTCTGTGCACATAACGCAGGGTCTGCAGGTATTCCATCCCCTGAAAAAATTACAAATGGCCAAACAGAAGACAATTAAATAACAATCAACCTGTGGTACTTCCTTACAGATAGTGAAAATAAAGTTGATGAAGTCATGGAGCCAAGATAAGATCTAAATGCTTACGCTGGAGAGGGCGATGTAAAAGTTAAAATTTCAGAGTTCATATAATTGACTCTTACCTTACAGATCTGAGAAGCGAAAAGCAGAAGCCGCCTGGTGTTGACTTTATGTCGGTTATTCTCCAAGTAGCCAATAAGGCTGCCGTGGGGAAGGTACTCCATCACCAAACTCATACTGAGGCGACCTGTGAACAGGCAAACATTAAATCAAAATCAGTCTGCAGAGGAAAGACCAATTGTCTCACGTTTCTTGAAGTTACTTGAAGTTGTAAGTCACTCTGGACAACACTGTCAGCTAAAGACTGGGATTTTAAATGTAATCCAGGATCACGCAGGGGATCATAAACGAAACATAAATATGAAACATAAAGATACACGGCTGCCTTAGAATTATAAGTTAAATGAGTGCGGAAGAGTTTGTTCAATTTGTTCTTCATGTAAAGTCAAGTCAGCTTAATTTAAAAATACTTTGGCTTGAGTTCAGTTATGTTAATGTTTCACTGGTAAAGCAGTTTTAAGTCTAATCCTTCATACACGCTGTCATAAGAGAGACAGCCATCTAAAAAGCCATAACAAGCCATTTTGTCATTTCATCTTTTCAGTTACAAAACTGATCTCAAATTCTGAAGTGGTTCTGAATCTAATAACCCTAAAATTCACCTGACATGAAACTGACAAACTTATCTAATGGCATGGAGTTCAACATAAAAGTTGAGTGTATTAATTAAAATGGGGTGTGAGATTTTACAGTGTATATATATATTTATAACATATGGCTCAAAGTATTTTAACACCCAGCCTGTACACAAACCTGCATGAGGAATATAATATAGGTCTAATTTTCTTTTACTGCTATGTTTGCAGTGAGTGTTTTTATTACCCATGCTATAGCAGACTCCTCTGTATTTGACGATGTAGTCGCAGTGAAGAACACTGAGGGTTTTGACCTCCTTCTTGAAGTCATCCAGGGTTGACTGCTTGTTGGGCTGCAGCTTCTTCACAGCGACCAGCTCACCTGTGTTATCACCCAGCGGGTCATAACGACAAAGTTCAACGCTGCCAAAGTTTCCCTGGAAAGGTGTTGAGCAGTGTGACTCAATATTTACTCAAGATAGTTACTCAAAAGATATTTTATTTATTACTCATTACTGTTTTCAAAAGTAATATCATTACTTTACTTTACTCACTGCCTACGGTAAGTAGTTAGATTACCTTACCTGCGGCTATCCACAAAATTGGTAATTGTGCCCCAGGGAATATTTCCAGCCACTGAATACAAGTGTTCCCATTTTTCCAAACTAGTTTCCTCCATGATTCCAAAAATGAATCCAGGGATGTGATTGGATTGTTGAATTTCAAATCAGTAGGGGCGCGATAACAAAAGTAATGTTGTAACTAATTATTTTTGGGGGAGCGTAACTGTAATATTATTACTGAAATGTATTAGTAATTAGTGACACCACTAGTTACTGGGGAAAGTACTGTTAATGTATTATTATGACTAGTAATGAGTTATTGCCCAACATTGGTTTTGAGTCACTTAGTTGTCAGCACACCCAAAAATGAAAAATATACTTCACCATACCATCATTGTCATTGCAGGGAACACTAGATTATGTGAGCCATTTAGAAGGTAAAAAGCAGGTTTGTTGTGCAAAGAGACAGCGTATCATAAAATAAGATATATCATATAAGGCACAGACAGTAGCTTTAGTTAATATGCTGTGCTGTTTTTGCTACACAATATTAATCTTCTCTGTTTTTCCATAAACACAATGTCTTGGACACCGCTAATGAACTCTTAATGATAGTTGATGTGAGTCAGTGCTACATGGTGGCTTTTTTAAAAGAGTAATTATATAATAATTACAATTTTCTATACATCATGGGCATACAAACAACAACCTAGCACTGTATCTCAGGCAACACTCTTCATTAAAGTGCACCGAGTGGCCCAAGGGGGGCAGCATTATGTACATGTTGTCTGTTGAGTGTTTAGTGCAGACTTACTTTTCCCAGTAGGGAGATGTAGCGTAGGTGTCTCTCCTCAAACAATGCCTGGTCTGGTTGAGCGGGGCTGAGGGCTCTCAGCACAGGGCTCTGTGTGACGGGGTCAGTGGCATGTAGTATCACATAGTCTGCCATGAAACAAGAAAACTTATCAGTAATAGCTTTTGTTTTCTGATGTAATTGAATAGCCTGATTCCAAAAATGCTCCTCATTTTTAGAAAGACTCAAACAAAAAACAGAGGGCCAAATTAGTTTGTGCAAATTGTGGGCAGTCAATTTTAGAGCAAACCACTTTGACATTGAAATCCTAAACAAAAGTATCACTTTCTATGAAGGTCACATCTATAATTTATTATAGGCACATTTATAAGACATTATAATGCAGTTATATGGCTTTATGAAACTCTTTATAAATGTTAGTAATCATGCAACTTACAATAAGGTTTATGAAGTGGTGATAACATACTACAAAGCAGTAGTGAGTAGTGACAAATATGATTACCTGAAGTGATCAGACTGTTGAGCTGACGGATAATACTGCGACAGGAAGGTCTGAAGGCTGCCTGGTAGTCCATACACTGACTGATCAGATCAGCGAGCTCCGTCCACGGGGACGGAGGCAGCTGCTGGGCGCTCTCATAAAACTTCCGCTTCTACAGAAAGCACATCAAAAGCTCACGTCATTCACCGTATCAAGGCTTTACTATAATCTTGATTTTATTTTCCTGCACATTGTCATTCATGTAAAATGTTGTTTGCGTGCCTTCTCCTGTTTATAGTAATCTTAGTTTTATTTGTATCTTTTGGTGAGATCATTTTACATTTTACAACAACAGTATGCATTTTAGATAACAGGAAACCTGAAAACTAATATCTGTTCATGCATCTTAACTGCATATTGATTATACATTTTTATAGCTAGCAACACCGTGTTTGATTTCTTTTCCACAGGTTCGATCCCATGAGCACCTAACACCTGCAATGCATTTTCCTTTGCTTTAACTTATCGGAGAAGAAGTGGGAGTACCTGGTCTAAATCCCAGCCTTGCAGCAGATTGATCCCACTGTTGAAGATCTCCCACACAGTAGCACCAAAGCTCCACTTATCACACTCCAGCGTCAGGTTTTCTGGAGCCTCCAGCACCTCAGGGGCCACCCAGGGGATCCTGTCCAGGATCACTAAAGCAACACACAGACATCCATATTCACACCTAATGTGCAAAGACTAGGGGCCTGTCCTCACAAATACGTTTTTCTCGAATCCGGATAAATACTTTATCGTATCGGCCTCGCGTCCAGACGGATACGGCGTTTTCGGGGTGTGAAAATTTCATTTTTTTAAAACGGGTCCCAGAGCGGGAAAATCCGAAAACGCCGGATTGCCCGGAGTCGTCTGGACGGCGAAAATGAATTTTTTCCAAAACGATGACGTATTGGCCCCGCCTCTCTAGCCTTTAACCTCACCCACCACCGCTAGACGGGTCATAACAACAACAACATATGCATATGTACTATAGCGTTTTGGGTCGTTTCAGTGAATCTGTGTGGACGCAGATATTTCTGGAAACGACGCCGTGTTTACGGAGATTTTTTTCGAAGCGATATCGTATTGGGTGAGGCTGCGTATTCGTGTGGACAGGCCCTAGGTATCATGTTTCGAAATGCATTCATTTTAAGTTGTAAAGTCTTATTCTAAATCAATATACTGTATATGTATGTGGTAAACAGTAGGCAACTTAATTTACTACACTTGGTTATCTATTCATCTCTTTATATTATTTCAGTCTATTCACTCTCATCTGAGACTCTACTGAATTAATCTATAGCCACAGTGCAACATCATTCATTAAATATCTTTCCTTTTCTCTCCTGAATATTATACACATTACAATAAATGGACCTGATGATGATAGACATGGGGGATTAGAAACACCTCCTTAATTTACCATTCTTGCCCAGAATGGCCACACAGATGCCCGGGTCACTCAGCTTGATGAAAGGAGAGCTGCCCTGCGACGGGTCACCTTCTCTGGCCAGCAGCAGATTTTTAGCGCAGATATTTCCATGAACGATGTTCTTCTCTTCCTACAAAACAGTTACACATCAATGTTGACTCATAATGTGCTTTTTTCCAGACCCAAACTGAGTAGACAGCATAAATTAATATGTATTTTTTTATCAAGGACTTCTACAATCCAACAACCACTTTTATTCGACATAAAAATTGCAATCTAATTGACATTTTTTTGTTTTATGTTTTATATCAGGCACGCGCACACACACACACACACACACACACACACACAGAGGAAACATACATTTGATATTTAAAGTGAATGACGTTTAACTAGGCAGTCTTGCTGTTGATTGTGTTTTTGTCATTATTTTGTAAGATCTGGTAATGCTCTCTTTCAGAAAGTTTATCTTACCAGAAAGTTTAGGACAGACGCAAGCTGTTTGGCTACGTCAAGTTTCCAGCTCACTGACACAGATTTCCCTCTCTTCAAGTAAAGGTCAAGGGCACCATACTCGACAAACTCCTGCACCATGATGTCTGTAAGGCACAGCAAGGTTTGTTTCTACAGCTGAACTTCAAACCAAACACAGAGTCAGAAATACTCACCCACAGACAAGGGACTGAGTCGGGTCACATGAGGATTTAATGTGAATAGTTATTTTGCACAATATGAAGAGAATGATTCGATGTTTCCATTCATTAATTCACAGATTCATTAATTCCTTCATTCAATTAATTTTGTTTTTTGTTGTTTGGAGATACACAGAATTTTACAGGAACAGAGTTTGAAAAGAACCTAGGGGGGCATGTTCCTCTGGGGAGTTTTCTTTCCCATTTATGGCAGGTGAATGCACTATTTTTCAAGCCAGCTGAGATAATAGAATTCTGAAAAATCTGTACATTACTTGATAGTTATCCAAGAAAGAGAAAATCCTGTAGAGCTTACATAACCTAATTTGTTTCTCATCATTGTCCAACTGTCATCATCCTGAATTGTGAAACACATTTTTTTTAACCTATGCTGGAGTTCACCGAATGATTGTTAATGAATTTGCTAAATGTAAATCTGTGTCATAATATTGTAATAGATAGTGATATTTCCCCAGTGATAGAACTTTTGCTCAATTGACTCCCTGGTCAAGTCAGAGAGATTGAGTGGAAATGACACAAGATTGAAGTAATATAAGCCTGAAAGATAAGGGGCTTTTAAGAAAACATCTGGGATTGAGGCCACTCCCCCGGCTGTAAATGCTTTTTCATTGAGCCAAAGTTAACAAAATGCAATCTGATTTCAATTTCCCCTTGTAAAAAATAATCCCAGAATAATCACAAATATTTACATTTACACAAAAGACATCATTAACAGGACATTAACACATCTAAAAAACATAAAGCATATTAGCCTTATGAAGCTGATAAGAAAACAAAAATCAATGTTTAGAAAAACAAGTACAGTCTCATCTGCATAGAGTTAAACTTCAGTGGTTGCAACAGACTGAGGTCTATGATTTCCAGAAACAGTGCTTACAATCACGAGACAGTTTGGCTTTAACTTACTTTTTACACCATGAACACTGACGCCATATACATGGAGTAGGTGTTTGTGTGAAATCTGACTCATCAAGCTGGCAGCTTCAAAAAATGACTGAGATAAGGAAAAGACAAGAAAACAACACAAGTATATTGGAAAACAATGTAAAAATGACTGCGGAATCTGGATGAACCATCCACAAATCTGAATAAACCCACCTCCCAGCAGTTTTTGTGAACAACATCAAGCTCTTTCAGGAACACTTCTGTGACATGTTTCTCCCCATCATGGATGTCTTTTTTGTAGCCTTTGAAAATTAGAGTAAAGGATCCCTTTCCGAGGCTTTCACCCTTACAGGAAAAATACAAACAGAAGCTACGTTAAAGTTTTATCCATCCATAAATAACATTTTAAGTACCTTTCATATTAGTTTTACTGCAGTATCGCAGCATTTCTTGCACAATAGTAGTTATAATGATGGTTGGATTGGCTAGAGCAACAGTGGTAATACAGCAGTAGAAGAACTGGAAAGGGAGTAGTAAAATAATTAATTACCAAAAAGGTAGAATAAGACCACTTATATCAATACTATAGTATTGATATTAGTGGTACTATAGTAACTGTCCTGGTACAGTTGGTATTATGACTACACACTCACCCATTCCAGGTCTCCATATCTGATCATGTGGAACTGGATGTGACTGAATTTGTTCCTTTCAGGTGTTGGGGACCCTTGAGCTTCTACAGAGCTGCTGTTGCGTATGATGATCATATTTGTGAGCTCTGTAGGAACAGCAAAAAACATGCTTATTGTCATTATATCTATGAAAGTTGCAAATATGAAGGCACATATCTCAGTTCAAGCTAGAAATTGAGGTATTATACATACATTATTGATACATTATTATTAGTGAGAGACAGTGAGTTCATGTATCCTAGTAAAGAGTCTTACTGTGTCTTGGATGCTTTTCAGAAAAATAATATTACTTCAGCATATATACCTTTGGGTCGGGGTGGACAGCAGCGGTCCAACATGACAGGTACTTCAGCCAGTAGCAGCTTGTTGTGTTGGTAATGGCTGGTGAGTGCTTTCAAACTGGAAAATAATTTCTGGACACCAGGAAGACTGTACTGCTCATTCTTGATAATGAGACAGTCTTTATAATCAAGTCCAAGTGGAGTCTGCAGAAATATAAATTGTGCATGAAAACCTCACTGAAGAAGCTGTAATAAAAATCTTGAGTTTATCTTTAAAAAGTAGATTCAGAAAATAGCTTCTGTTCAGAGGTTGTGAGTGCATAAATGTGAGTGACATGGGAATGACTTTTGTACACATTTGAGTATGCAGACACTTATCTCACAAGTTCTGTTCAGATACAGTACAATCTCATCTGCACATAGTTAAATCTTAATGATTGCAGAGTAAATTCTAAATTCGTCTTTTTCTATGTCTACTATGTTTCTTCAACAAGAACTTTTACCTGAACACAAACAGTGAGGAAGAAGTTGTCATAGTTCTTGGGACTTTGTCGCAGAAGGAACGTACCACCTTTAAATCCTGACTTTTTCAGCTTGTTCACTGCAAACTCTGATCTGATAAAACAAGATATGAAGGAAATATCTAAAACAGGTGCATGTGAATGGTGGTATTAAATGCAGTATTTATATAAATGTCTCACATGATTGGGCCGTGACAATGGTTTTTTAACCCCTCCAGAAGACTTGGAGGAGCAATGTCTTGAATGAAGTAGTGGCTAGAGTCTGTTGTCAGTCTGAAGTAGCCGTCAACAAGTGACACAAATGAAAGTGCTTCCTTGAGACTCTGAAACTTGGCTTCCTGTAGTGCAAATCAAGGATAAATAAAGATGCATATGGTGCATCAATCAGTACAATCTGAAATAAATACATTGTCAATAAATGTAAAAATATTGATTTGGCAAATGTTGATTGTAGGATATATGTCCCTTACCAAGCAAATGTCATCTTTGCGGGTTATGGTTACCATCCTGCTGTCTTGAAGAACCTGCTCATGGCTTAACCTTTTTATACTGATGTCGATGATTTCTTTAAAATCACAGAAGGTCTGCCACTACAAAGAAGAAGAAGAAGAAGAAGAAGAAGAAGAAGTAAAAGAAGAGATTCAAGAAAATCTTTAAACTCCGGGGTGTGGATTATGACCACTGGAGCATGTAATATATATTTTGAATATGGAGCTAAGTAAAAAATGGAAGGCTCAACGAGTTTTGACAAAGTGACCTAGATCTAACTAATCAAGACCTTATCACAAAACAAAGCAATGCAGCTGACAAGGACAATACTGCAGGCCTGTGTCATTAGTGAGTTGGGGCTACTGGATTCTTACTGAAAGATCTGGTAGGATGGGAGAAACCTTTGGTTTGGTAGACAGTACTTTCCAGCAGCAGAAAGAAGCATGGCCAGGCAGATTGTTGCTGAAAGTAGCAGGGCCTCTCATCTGGTGGAATGAAAGAACTAACCACTATGCCTCACTGTCACACAAATGTTAGTTAAGCTTGTTCTCACCTCAGCACCATCAGGATGACAACTTTCACTTGTTTGAATTCCAGTTTCCCCAGTGACCCGCACAAGGGAGAAAGTTGCCTTCAAATGGGAGGAAGAAGAATTCACTTGGAATGTTTCGGTTCCTAGTGAAGGTTCAATGCCAGCCAGTTCAATCAGGTATTTGAGCTTCAAGCTGTACTCATCTACTGAGCAGTTGCCAAGCTTCTTTAAGAAACGCTTGAGGGTGTTTCGTATGCGATAACGATCCAGGCGGTTTCGTTTCTGGATTTCATGGCGATGTGACTTAGGAAGGCACGATTTGTAGCTGAAAGAGGAAGAGTATAAAATGTATTGTAATGACTACAAACTACAGCAAATATAATAAATAATTTGAAATTGAGTTAAGAATGTCATTCTAGTTATGAAAGAGAAAACCTAATTCTACAAAGTTCTAGGTTCTTTAAATTTTAACTGCTGAGGTACAGTTTGGGCAAAATGAAACCTTATCCAAATGTAAATACCTGACAGTCTTGCAGAGCTCTCTTACACTCTGATGGCGCTCTTTAGCCATTCTCCACAAGTCCAGCACTGCAAGGCCGAGGCACTCCTCTTGGGCGCTCAAAGGTGGAGACACTCCTGCTTCACTGGCAATAAAGTCGCTTCGCAACTATGAACCAAAAGAGGTCATTGATGAACAGTCTTTAATATATTGACAATGTATGTGACTATTTCTGGCTTTTAACTGTCTGACACCATATTCAAAACAAGAAACACACAGCATTTTGGATAACTATTAGAAAACATTGAGAATGTTTACTGGTAAGGATAACTATGTGGGTGGGATGAGTCAAAACATAATTTACATTTCAGACCTTTTGGTACTTAATTAACATGATCATTCTTTTAGGAGATGTCTTGAACCACCTTATGGATACATTTCAAATAATGAAAGAATTACATAATACTACGAGAATATTGTTGGTATATTTAAAATACAAATACTGATATAAATACTGATTATGCATCTCTGTGAGTCTATAGATTACATTTTTTGAAATATTTTATACTTTACCTGAGCAAAAAGGTAATCAATAGCACTGTAGTCAAGCACCGGACTCATTCTGTCTTGGGTCAGACTGTAGCGATACGATGTTCTCGGCCCTTGTCCAAACCAGTTGCCAAAGAAAAACCTGCATAACCCAAATAAGACCATTATTATTATAAACTACTAAATTAACTTCTCTACTCTGCTGGTTTGAACATGATCATTAAGTAACAAAATCATGGTCTTCCAAAAAAATCTGATAATTCACATGACTTCAAGTAGCACAGCTAAAGCTATTATTATCTCTGAATTAAAATGAGTAATGTGACTGCAAGTGCAAGAAGCAAGTCAAATGTGTGATTTTGACTTTGTATGTTCAACCTCTCTGCAAGGTGACAGGGAAATAATAGTAAGGTTATTTTGCTTTTGTTTCAAGCTGCTGCCTCTATATGTTCTCTCACGTAGTTTGTTGGTTCGAACAAGTTTTGCCAAATAGATTTTACAAGCATGACAGTCACTCTACTTTTGTTTAAAAGTATTCTAAAATCTTTCATTATTTGTGTCTAGCTGTTTTTATTATTTACAGGTTAGCTAGTCACATCCCATTCCTAAACCATACTACTACATAAATGATTCTTCTGTTATTTTTCACCCACCTCACTCTAAAGTGTACTTGTAAGTTTTCTTCTGTGTTGAACATGTGTGATGGAGGATACCAAAATGAGAGATCGGCAGATGCCAAACCAAAAAGACTTTGGTACACTGGTAAGATTCCTGGAGAAAGAAATCACATATATCATCTTAACATGAATGACTGACTGATGTTATAATGGCCTACCCAACAATTAGCCTTTTGCACACTTCTGAGATGTATTAGGATGTAATATAACGCAGTTTATTTTACACACAAACTTTGGTATTAGTCCTGAGAAGCATTTAGTCAGACTCACAACTTGATCTTACCACATTTTATGCCTGCTTGGATGCAGACATTTTCAGCAGAGATTTGGCCAGATGAAATATGTATTGTTGTTGCTTCCTTTGTGGTTGGGAAGAAGTAGAGGTGAACTTGTAAACTGGGACCGGTGCTAGAACTGGACCTCTGGCTACCTCCCCGGTCTCTGATCACCAGAGGGGCCAACTCCTCCTCACTGAGATCCATGGCTACTTCTGAGGACCAAATCAGCAGACTTATTTTCAGACAGGAAACTGATTTGGAAACCGGTTTGAAATGCAAATTAAGTTGTTGGATTATCTTGAAAAATATCTATTTTTAAGGTAATGCCTCTTGATCCATTGCCTAATTTTAATTTAAAAATCCAAAATTTCAGGAAAATAAACAAATATTTGTATTGTAGTTTGTTAAAGTTGCATTTGGGAAATCACCTTTGGACCCCTGTAGCTCATTTCCCTTTGCCTTCATATTAAATATACTAAAAATGTATTCTCTCTAAAATAGTCAAAATTACTCTCTGTAAGAAGTTGGCAATAAAACAGTCAATTATAGTCATTAGAATCATTTCAACTAGAAAAACCTAAAGCTGTGGACTTCTCATTAAGGGATTCATTTAATCATTATCTAACCATGGCAGGTTTGCTGAACTGATACAATTTCATGTAGTTTTTGTTGCACAACCACTTGCAGTTACTAAGATAAGGACAAGTGATTCCGAGTAATTCTCCCCACCAAAACTTTACCTACAAGCCAAAGAAATTCCATTCAACTCAGCACAAACTCAGATTACTACTATTATGGCACATATTATAACATTTACATGTGTATAAATGTCATATCATTTAAGTATAGAACTTTGTATATTTATATGCTAAAGTTTGTGTGTTATCAAATGTGAGAAAAATTCCTACCTTCACTCTGAATGATGTTTTGAAATGTCAAATGTAGATTCGTGGGGATTCCCAGTATCAGAGGAAACTGCTCACCATGTTCTGCTGTAGCTGAATTAGCAACACAGTACATAAGATACATAATTGATACATAAATACATACATTGTTCCAAATTGTTAACACAAAAACCTTACTTTATTTACTTTCATAGCAATACATACTTTTACTTGGCAAATGATTATTAACATAAACACTATTTAAATAAGAATTATCATTATAATCTATTACAATGTACAGCTTTATGAAATAGTTGGTGAACATCAAATCTTTGTCACAGCCAGTAGAAGATGAACGGAAATTGAAAAGGTATCTACAGAAGGAGCACATTTATTTAATTTGCATTGTGGGTCTTGTCGATAGAAAACAAAACTCTGGTATTTCTTAAAACAGCACAAGAGCTTTACACTTACAGATTTCAGAGCTAAACATATATATTACATGTCATCGAAGGAATTTATTGCCGTGTTACCTTTACATTTGTACAGCAGAAGTCCATATCTCAATCATTTGTTCATGTAAACGAGGACACTCTTCTTTTACCATCTGCGTTTACGTTGTGTGTGTGTGTTGACAGGAAGTTCAATAGGATTTCCTGATTTAGACAAGCATATGCCACACAATCGACAGTTTCTTGTCATATCTGTATTCATCCCACTGACTGATGACACAGTTACAAATACATTCAAAATATTTAACAAAATACACCACTTCTCAGAATAATTGGGTTCTAAACATCAGGGTATATATTTTGCCAGTGTTCCCACATGCCTGTTGATTAAATAAAGAGCTTCAGTCATTACAAAATGTTACACATCAGTTTTGAGAGAATGTGATATGGAAGATGCTACAAATTTGTTAAAATGAACTCCTTTAAATTCTGGATAAAGCAGGTTTTTGCTTTGTTAGCAGCAGCTCTATGACAGGCTGGAAGATATGTCAACAACAGCTGATGAGATTGAATTATGTATTGGTATTTATGGTTTTAATGCCTTTCTTTTTGTGCCTCAATTATTTGAAGAATTCTGTTAAAACTGTCAAACTGTGGACCATTAAAATCTTTAAAAAGCCAAATATACCTGTATTTTACTGTAGATGTTTATGATGCCCAGAGAATGATTTTTTTTTAATGTTTTCTTAACCACATTCATTCATGCCATGAAATTTACTGACCAACATTTATGTGGTGGTTGAACCCTTAATGTTGGGTATTTGTTTTCCTCTACAATAAAATATCAGCGATATTGATTCAATAATCATATTCACATATCTCATGAACTTCTTTAAGATTGCCATTAAATTAGCAAAACCCTAACATGCATAAATTTAATTTGAATGACCTTTCCTTTAACTCTACCCTCAGAAAAAAACCTTGCGATTTTAACCCCATTACAAGAAAGCTCGGACGTCACAGCCACCATGGGCTACTAGTGAAGCTTTAGGTGGAGGTTTCATTTTGAATAACAGGTTGGTTAAGAATGAAATCTTCATTGACTTCTTGATGGGAACTTGGGGGAGAAATCAGTGTGCAAAACACACACACACACACTCCAAAAAATACTGTTCTACAATCTTGTGAGTCCTTGTTTAAAGCCAGCAGAGAAAAACACCAGAGACAGCAGATTAAAGTAGTATAGGCATAAACTATGTTAAAACATATAAGGCAGCAAGCACAGTCAAAATGAAAGAAAGTCTTCCTACTAAATAGTGACAGCAAGTGCAGTTGTGCGCACAACCTTGCCTGACATTACAGGAAAAGAGAAACCAGCTGACAACTGCGGTTCCCCTTTTAAGCAGTGAGGGCTGTCACAGCTTCCTGTCAGAAAACCACATAGTTTCTGCAACATGTCAATGTTTGATACATGTTTGTTTAATTACAGATATTTATTATCCATGTTATTCTAGGCTTTTGTCCCATTTTTGTTTTTTTTTAACCCTTGTGATTATGTTTTCTGTTTTGTATTTTGTATATTTTCAAGGAACACATTCAATAATAGTTTTGGTAAACATATTTAAATGACACATATACAGTATTTCTTATATCACAAACTAAACCCAACGTCCATATAAACCTTTTTTTTAACCCACTTCTCCTCTGTCTATTGGTACGCTGAGAAAATGTTTAGTTATAATTAACTCAGATTCCGGCTGAGATTTAGATCAATGATGAGCATGATAACACAACATGGAAGAAGAACATTTAGGTGTGTTTTGGTAAAATTACGATTGTAAGGCATTGAGCATACTGATGGACCGTGCAGGAGTTAATAATTTGATTATTGGAGTAGTTTAAGATGTTTTACATCACAACTTGAATCTATAATCCAGAAGTTAAAAACACACTATAGAGATCCAAGTTTAACTTTTACTGTAGGTCAGATTAGCTTTGAATAAACACACAGTGTCTGTCAGAAAGAAGGGGGAAGTGAAGCCTAACAGCCCTTTATGCATCTCAGGAAGTGGGATTGTTGAGGATTTATTATTGTTGACCTCACATTACCTCACATTACAAATCCCTTTGTTTGTAACATCCAACCGTGGGAAGGTCACAACAGTCTGAGTTTACTTTCTTTTCATTGGCAGCCTGTTAGATCTGTTTGGAATTCACACTTTTACTTTTCCACGGTGCTGTGAAGGTTATTTTTGTTTTCATGGTCATGAATTCTTAATGTTTTTCTGTATGAAATCAAAGGCAGAAAAGCCCCCACTATACCATGACATCTAAATGCTTGAGAATATCCTTCAGGTGTCTGATATCCATATAATATTTTCAGGAAAAAGCAACTTTTAATCCTCTGTCACCACCATGAGTGAATATGACTGACTAATTAATTAATTAATTCCACAAGTGTATTCAATATGAATCATATCGTCAGTTTTTACCTCTCTATGCTGGTTTCTTTTTGGTTAAACTTTGATTGATTTTAAGATTTAACACCCCTCCACTTTTTGGTTTCTTTGATTTAATTAGCGAACAGATACAATAGCTTACATGTATACTGTATGATCTTTAACCTTTATTTCAGAAAATATACTTTTATAGTCTTGTTTTATGGATTTTACTTTTTTCAGTTTTATGATTTACTTTATTTGATATCTTTGTTTAACTGCTTGCACTGCCAATTGTGTTATGTCATGATGGGTGTGGCCAGAGATGCAGCAATACTTGATCTCCCTCATTTTACAGAGGGCTATGTGCCGGACTATTTCTTTGTCTAGAGGAAGACAGTTGCAGCTCCTTGTCAAGAAATACTCAATACATACCCCTCAAAATGGCGAATTGTACTTCTTACATTTGTTTTTTATAGATTAACTCTTCCTCCCTACTTGCAGTCTTTGTGATAAACTAAGCTAACTGGCTGCTGGCTGTTGCCTTATGGGACTAATATAGGAGTAGTATCTATCTTCTCATCTGTGTGCTATAAAGCAAGTAAGGGTATTTCCCAAAATGTTGAACTATTCCTTTTGTATCTGTGGAGCAAACAGGTTTAGAAAGTAACTAAAAAGTAAAGTGAAAAATGGAAAGACACAAGATCAGTGTTGTGCAAGTTCAAACTCACAGATAAGTGTGAGATTAAAGTCACAGGTTGAAATGAACTAGCATGCATAGTTCCCAATTTTTGAACTTTGAACTTAGGTCGCACTCCCAAAAAAGAACCTACTTCTTGTTCATTTCTTCTGTTTTATTTTCCTTGTTCAACAGCGTCTGTACCAACCCGTTCAACGAGTTGGGAATGACAACGGGTTGTCTGTACCTGCTTTCTTAAACATACATTTCTGGATGACTGTAAACCAGGAACTACTCTGATGAACAATGGCTTTTTGACCATGATCTCCTACGATATAGCTGTTTGAAAACAAAGGTAACCATTTCTTGGGTGGAGCAACTTTGCTGCTGTTGGCCTGTGGTTTTATCTTTTGTCAAGGTTTTTTTGTGATTCACTCACATATATTTCCCAAGACTGGTCAGATGCTTCAACTCAGTGTGTTGTTTCAAATTCATTGAGGATGAGTCAGACTTGATTTTCAGACCTGGTGGATGAAATTCACATAAAAAGATATTTTTTAGATTATTTCTGTTGAAATCTGTACTGATTTGTTCATAAAGGTCCTTCAAATATTCACATTAACTGGCTTCACCGTAACCGGTAACTGTGACTGAATTCCCAGTTGCACTGGCAAAGCTACTATGCTGGCATTCCAAGTACCCCCAGATAATTAGTTGCAGATGTGGTGTTAAGAGAAAATATGAAATGAGCTTATGTCTTTTGGCTGATGCCTCAATAGCCAAAATCTTTGTTTTATCTATTTAGTGATTTCTGAAAGGGAATTTACAAGACTATGGACGAAGCTCAGATCATCAGGTGAAGCTGAGATACAGAGTTGTGTGTCATCTGCATGGATAATGTAGATGAAAGGACCTGCAGGCAAGGGTGTAGTTTCACTTTATAACTCCAGGTTGACTGACTCAATTCAGATGAGAGAAGAGCGGAGTGGATCAAAATATTCACTATTCAAATAGTCACTGTGCAGATTCTTTCAAGTGAAGTTATACACTGATCAGCCATAACATTATAACCACTGACAGGTGAAGTGAATGACATTGATTATCTCGTTATCATAGCACCTGTCAGTGGGTGGGATATATTAGACAGCAAGTGAACATTTTGTTGCCAAGTTGATGTGTGAGCGACTTTGGCAAGGGCCAAACTGTGATGGCTAGACAACTGGGTCAGAGCATCTCTAAAATTGCAGCTCTTGTGGGGAGTTCGAAAGATCAGATCAAACATATGAGCTACTCCATTGGGGTTTTGATTTGTCTCACTTTTCTTATTTTAAGGGGTGCAACTGAATTAACGGTGGTGCTTAACCTTGAGCAAAAACTGTTGAGCTATTAATGTGCAGCTTAGCAAGATTTAACCAAGTTGGATTACCGACGTCCATGAGCACTTTGTTCATTTCTTTCAGCTTCAACCTCAGTTTTTCAGAGGGAATCTTGCAGTTAGAGGTACAGAAAGATTTGAGTATTTGCTGACTGATTTAAGATTTGTGATTGGCAAGAATCCTTTTAACCCTACACTGAAAACAATCACACACTATGTGATATGTTTCATTGTTATAAATAAGGGGAATTATTATGATGACATGCTGTATAGTCCCTTATTTATATTACTGTTTCACAATCAACTTTAATTTGATAGTAGTCAACTTGTTTCATTATTACATATTTCCCTTTGACTGTATTATTACTAGTATCTCAATTAATTTCAGTGAAACTTATTATTTAGTTATCACTTTAAAATCTTGTTATTGGATTTATATAGGATGCTTACATTATACATCTGTTCTGTGCCTATAATTTATATGAAATGAGTTTGTATCATGGAAAACAAACTACATCCATGGATGAAATGACAAATTTAAGTCAAAATCAAGACTCGTCCCACTTTCAACACACTCAGTAATCAGATTATTACTGAATAATAATCCCTCCCTTATTCTCCACTCTTCCCCACCTTCCGTCTTTCATAAACACACACACACACACACACACACACACACACACACATACCTACACACACACTCTCTCTCTCACACACACATATGTACACACACACACACACACACACACACACACACACACACACAGGGATTGCGTCCTGCAGAAAGTACTTTCATTCTCCAGCAGGTCTGCATTCCTCAACAGCCACTTGACTATCTTTTTCTTTTTGGTCACGCACTGTAAACTTCCTACCTGACCCTCTCCCCACACTCACCTAAGCAGCTTTTTTTTTTTTCTGGAGGAAAGATCATTTTGACCGTGTGCACACGCCTCACGCACGCGCACATTAAAGAAGGTGTATGGAGGTGAAGCAGCTGCTGAGGACTGAAGACGGCTGTCAGCACATTTCTCTTTCACCAACTGGAAGCAGAACTGAATGGACTAGTACTGGTGAGTTTTTTTTTTTAACCTTTTATTTCAACTGTATGATTTGAAAAACAAGATGCAACATTAATCATCTGCAGCAGATAACTTTCAGAGTGAGTGGATACTTCAGGGATAATTATGTTTGTGTCTGTCTGGCTTTTGCAGAATGTCAATCAACTATGAATCAGACATATTTATAGAGGTCATTTAGATAGATATTATTCACAATCATGTACAAAGATATTGTGGTAGAAGCATACTTAGAGCATTAATTAAATTTTTTTCCAAAGTAAATTTAAACACTAGAGGTCAACTGATATGGGTTTTCAATGGTCGATGCCGATATTTAGAAAGCAGGGCTGCCGATGGCCGATATTAAAAGCCAATATCAAAACAAGGAAAAGTCATGTATAATTCTATTCTATAGGAAATCCAGAAAAACAGGATGTTTACCACACCACACTATAACTCTTTATAACTACACATTCAGCATTTGTCAACAGCACATTTGAGCATCTGTCTGCAGGTCCAGCTACGGTAAGATGAGTAACACACATCAGCGGTAAGTTTAGGGAAAGATAGTGGTTAATCCTGTGGAAAGATTTGTTTAAAGAAAGCATGAATTGTATTTGACTGATTGCATTGTTTCCTTTGATTGTGGGTAGGAGACACAAACTCTGACCTTCACTCCAAACTCCTTGCAGTAGTGTAAGTCAGACTATCTATCTATCTATTTGCACTAATATTGACAAGACATTTTGTGTTAAACATTGACACATTTATTTTTGTCCCCAAGGTAGGTAATTAAAAAAACAGCATAGATCAGCAGCAACATATATACATTGTTAATCTGAAAACTTTAACTGATTCAAAGTTCATGTCAACATACAATATGTAATAAAAAAAAAAGGCTTTAATCTGCCGGTCATCTTGGCTGACAAAATGCTAAAACAAGCAGGTCAACACACCACCAGTCAAAAATGAATGAATGGATAATTGTGAAATCTCCAGTCAAGTACTCAAATGGAGTGAAGCAGTGATTGTTCTGTGACAACAAACTTGCGAGAATTAGTTGTTTATTAGTTGTAACACTGTGTTACAACTAACCCCGCTGTGTGGAGTTTTTCTCAAGCCTAGCTATTTGCTATGAGCTGATTACATGTTTCATAACTGTGATATGTTTTAGGCAACAAAACAGTCATTACAATAATATAAGGTTGGATTCCCTCAACTTAGACACAGCTCAGTAATCGAAAAAGAAGTATGATAAAGAAATTTACTTACTAAAAAAAAACGCTCTTTGCCAATTATCTCCACAAAAAAACACATCCGAACTCTCCTCGGAGACAGTTAATCCAACATTCGGAGGTGCCATGTCTACACTAGTAGTGCTAATGAATGCTTTTATGAGGTGGTCTACTATACTATACTATATGTTTTCCCCATTGACGGTTAAGGAAACAAGCTTGTGAGTGGAATAGCTTTAAACTGTCAGTTTATCGTTAAGCTGATAGTTTAATGCTATTCCACTAATTAAGAGATGGTAGTGGTAATGTGCCACAAAATGTAACGATACACCAACAATGCTAGGGAAGGTAGAAAATGGAAGAAGGTTTTAAAATATTTTAAAATTGCACATGCACACACACAATATATATTTAATATACTTATATTAAAAAAAACAATGTTAACGCCCTCTAATCAGAGGAGGACAGTCCACCTCCGCCAGCCTCTGCTTTGAGTGGGCGTCTGTGAAACCACTGCACTCATTTTCAAATGTATATTGATCAAGAGGCGCATCATTCACGGGAGTTTATGCTAACGTTTTGCTGAACCATACTTTGTATTTTTCTATTTTGGTGCAGTTGTTTGGACTTTTACTTTAGAAGCACCAATGGAGTGTAATGTTTACCTTGATCCGACACACTGACAGTCCGCACATACTGGACAATTAGTCTTTCTGAGCCGTTAGCTCAGCGACAACACAGCCGTTAGTCAATGTGCTTCGAGTGATTGTAAAATCTCCAGCCGACTCTCTTTGATTCCAGTACAGACACGGAGAGAGCCTGACAGCAGCTGCTCATAAGCTCTGACTACCAGCTCGCTATTTCTGCTACACCGCTGTTCAGTCTGTCAATCACTCTGGTTGGTGTCGATGATGCATTTTTAAATTTGCTGAGAGGGAGGGAGCTAGCAGTCATTAACAATGTGCCTTGTGTCTCCATCAGACGTTGTATGGTCACTAATTGACTCTCATTCACTCTTACAGATCCACCAAACATCTGGATCCACCATACTAAAACATAGCGACCATCAAAGTATAATAATGGAAGAGCAGTCCACCAGTGAACCATCCATATCAGGCTTCGTCCTGGCTGATTACGCAGTCTTTGCGGCGATGTTGTTCGTCTCTATGGCCATCGGACTCTTCCAGGCCCTGAAGAAGAGCCAGAGGGAGGCCAGTGCTGATGACTTCTTCACCGGGGGTCGGAGCATGCCGGCAGTGCCTGTTGGGCTGTCTCTCTGTGCCAGTTTTATGTCAGCAGTCCAGGTCCTGGGTGTTCCCTCTGAGGCTTCCCGCTATGGCTTTAAATTCCTCTACATGTGCCTCGGACAAAGCATCAACTCCCTGCTGACAGCTTACCTCTTCCTGCCAGTTTTCTTTCGACTGGGCATCACCAGCACCAATCAGGTCATAATGAGCTTCAAGTTATTACACCCCGGGCTGGAGTGGGACTCATTTTCAACCCGGGAGATTCATGCCTCAAACCAGCCCACTTAAGTTCACAACATAGACTTTTCACATGCATAAAACATGCAGTCTTATTTCATATTATTTCCATCCTATTCCCTTTCAATTGAAATACACTTCATATACAGTGAGTGGTCACTAGTATAGTGGGTATAAATGGTGGTGCTATCGTGGTACAACAGCTCACCTGTGCCTTGCAGTTAATTGGCTGATGTTTGGTGGCATTGCAACATTGCCTAACATTTGGCATCCAACGAAGGACTTCTTCATATTGCCTATGTTATATGCCGTACGCCACACAATTCCTTGACACTAAACTTTAATTGTGGTTTGTAGGCAGCGCTATACATTATATTTTGTTTTGCACACCTAACATCTTGGCACTGTAGTCTAAGCTAGCATACCTCTCTTATCGTCTTATCGTCACCATCAACTTCTGCTTGTTCTGTACCTTGTTTAAATCATGAACAAGTTACTGAGTTTGGCACTCGGGGCGGTGCTCAAAGCAGCCGAAGTCAAAGGTCAAACATTATTAGTCATCAATCAGGTGACCAATCAGGTGACCAATTGAAACCTCCTGGGCCCCTGTAGCCCACATGATCTATTTATAACGTTATTGTGTTTACCAACCCTGTCACCGGCCCTTGTGGATGATCGGCTACATCCCACCGGGAATCTTCTTGTTTCTCCCGATTTGCCACTCCAAGCCTGATTACAACAGTTAAATATATATTCCAGTTTCATGTAACTTGTTTGCAACAATTTTGTATTATTTAGAAATAATATATTCTAGAATAATTATCAAAGGAACACGAACATTTTCTTAGTTTTTGATGGTTGTGTAGAGAATGATGTAAGAGAGAATGCTTTGATCTGAGCGTTTAAACAAACTAAAATACTAATATAATTAAGCATTGAAAGTAAGAGTTATGTATTTTCTAACCAAAGGTAGAAATAAGGTCAGGATTTCTCTGACACAATGTTGAAATGCACCTGTGGGTGATTAAACATGTTGAATATAAGAGGTGAGGAAGGATGATGGATGTGTTCAGAGATACTCTGCTGTGTTATAACTGCAGCCGTCTGCCTGTCACAGTATCTGAAGATGAGATTTGGCAGAGGGATGCAGCTGTTGGGGAGTATCCAGTTTCTTGTGGCGACGGTAAGACAGACATCACTGTGCTCTCTGCTATCTGCATTGTTGAAGAAAAAGTTATATTCATTGCTCTTAAAGAGGATGTTCTTTTCTCGTGCAAATATTTGCTTTGGCTCAGACCCAGACTCCAGGAACTCCAGGGAAGCAGCTATTTCATTTGCACAAACCAAGCAGGACCTGTAAATGTTCTTTAACCCAGTGATGTTGTTTTGTTTTGCTCAGCTGCTTTACACAGGGATTGTCATCTATGCACCTGCCTTGATCCTTAACCAAGGTAGGAAAGCTCAACTGAATCCCCTCTTTCTGTATGCATTGATGGGATGTTTTTATTCATTTGACATTTTAATTATAACTCCCACAAAACTTGGAAATTTGGTCCATCACTCACAAATAATTCACAACTTTCTCTGTGAATACACAACTTTATCACCACATATAAATGTATTAGACCTGGCAAAGATAAGATTAGACACAAGGGGACAACCTGTGTATCATCTGTGTATTTATGGTATGTGAAAGTGTGAAAGTGATATGAAAATCCAGCAAAACCTATTGCACTGAGGTTGAAGGAATTTTACATAAATATATTCCAAAAATTAATTGCAGTAAACTTTTAGGTTATATAGCACAACAAACATACATTTCATGGTAACCAAAAGATATTCAAAGGTTTAAGTTATACTTTTATTTATTCTGTATGTGTTTTTTAGATTTAGATTTAGTTTTCTAACTGCCTCTTTATTAGAGCCCAACTAATACATTGGTCAGGAATACATTGTATTCAGTGCATTATCTTATCACAAATAAGTTAATATCACTGAAATGGCAGAAATACCAAAGTACGAATGCTGAGAACAATTATTTTTTAATGCCATTATCTCGAGATCAAAAGCTGATTTATCTTGTTATCTCAGTAAAACAAAAGGTAGATTTCTTAAGATAACAAGATAACTTACCACAAGAACAGGACTTTTGTTTTCTCTAGATCACAGAATGATTATGAAGAACTGTAAAATGAGTGCCTGGTTCATTTTATCACGCCTGGTTACAGCCGTCACTGTGACTGTTGGGGAGGAACGGAAAAGAGTTGTTGTTACCACAATGTACATCAGACCATTATTATTATTATTTATGTACAATGTGATGCAATCCTGACAAAATGTATAAGGAGGAGACTGAGATTTATTAAGTGAGTTTAAAGATCCCTGCAATGTCCAGATGTTTGCCCTTTTTCCCGACTGCAGGCTCATTTTGGTCACTAGGAAAATGAATATTAACCCGGCACGTTACATGTCAGTCCTCCATACATTGTCCATTATATTGAACCAGTGCTACATCTATACATCTAATACACCATATATGCATGCTGGCATGGCACTCTAAGTAATAAGTAATAACAGGAAACAATCTTTTCTTTTCACAGGATAATAAGTTAATTATCTCGTTATCTTGAGATAACAAATCTCCTTTTCTGGAGATAATGAAATAATTAACTTGTGATCTTTTTAATTTCAGCTACTGGACTCAACATGTGGGTGTCTCTGTTTTCTACTGGCATCATTTGCACCATGTACACCACACTGGTAAGGAAATATTTTTTGCCATCTCATCAAACCTGCATAGCACCTAAGTGCTAATGAAATACATTGGCAGGGTGTTGTCCCATCCTTATAAAATGAACTGTGTCTACTGTGTGTATACTGTATCTGCACAATCTATTTCTTTGTGTTGCATAAAGAGACTGCAAACTTTCATTTCATTGTACAATCGTGTGTTATATAATAATAAACACATTTCCTTGATCCTTAATCTTTAATATCGATTGATCTTTAATTGAAACATTTTAACAAATATATAAATAAAATTATCCTTTGGGACAACAAACTAATAAAATCAAACCAGAGTCTATTAATATGAGTATTGATTCATTAATTTTGATTGGTGTTGGCAGCTCGATCTAACCGCATGTTGTTCAAGACGTGTTGAGACTGCAAAGGAAATGCCCAAAAGGGTTACTTTTATTAGAGTAACTGAATGACTTTATAAACATAACTTCAACTGTGTTTCTATTGAAATAACACTATTTAAGCTGTGAAGTGAAACGCCCAGGCCATACTGCTATGTAAACGCTGAAACTAAGGGAACAGGATAAGCAATTAACATGTCTTGCCTTTAATTTGCTGATGATGTGGTGTGTTTTCCTGTCTGCCTCTTCCATAATCTCTCTAACAGGGTGGCATGAAAGCTGTGATCTGGACCGATGTGTTCCAGATTATCGTCATGTTGTCGGGCTTTGTGGCCATTTTCATCTACGGCACAGTTCTGGTCGGTGGTCCTGCAATGGTCCTGGAGATCGCCAACAATGGATCACGCATTAATTTTAATGAGTAAAAACACAGTTTTCATTTAAACACATAAATATCTGGATAACCCTACATTTCAACAATAATGCACAATAACAACAATTTACACAACAGGACCGTTTGAATGTTTTCCACCAGTTTTGACGCTGACCCTCGGCAGCGCTATACCTTCTGGAGCCTGTCTGTTGGGGGTGCATTTGTTTGGCTTTCCATGTACGGAGTAAACCAAGCTCAAGTCCAGCGCTACATCTCCTGCAGAACGGAAAGAGAGGCCCAGTGGTGAGTTGAGATCCTTTTAGCACTTGAAGATCGAGATCAGGTGTCTAGAACAGCAACTAATACGTTTTTGTGAATTGAATTTAGGTTGAGTTTATAGATTGTAGGAAAGCAACAAGCATCGCCTACAGGTTTCTAAAGAGATATTTTAAGGCTTGGTGTTTGGCTCACCATAAATTAATTAACCACTCTGCACCTGAGAAGAGGCCAAGACAGCAAGACAGCAAGCCGAGCACACAAAGGGCTCTGCTGGGGTCCAACACAAGCCAGCCACTGCCTCAAAACAGCATTCAATGTGCCAAACAACTTTGTTGTTTTCAGTGCATGCATTTGGTTCTATATATTTTTATTCTTTGTTTCATCTTTACTTTTTCCTCTGCACTGTCTGTAAATTCAGGCTAAACATAAAACTAATTTTCCATTTGATTAACCCTGGGCTATACTTTGCATTTAGTGCTAATTTGCAAATGGTAAGGTAAGATGGTGAGCATTTTAAACATTATACCTGCTTATTATCAGCAACATAACATTGTCATTGTGAGCATGTTAGCATACTGATGTTAGCATTCAGCTAACACAAAGCAGTTAGCATAGTTCAATGGTAATGAGTATCTGTGGCTATTCACCAGTGAGTTGTAACTGTTCCAGTAATATAACAATAGTGTATTACATTGCCTCGGTAAATGTTTTTTTTAATATGTGACTTCAAGTTTTGCAAATACAGAATGTCCTCCCATTAAACAGCATGATCATGCAGCTGAGCTAACAAATGACTGTAGGTGATGACAGCTGCTTTGATTATACATAATATGTTAATAATAATACTTTACTGCCTGTGTAAATTGTCTGCTTTGGATTCTGGGATTTGAGACACAAAGTGAAATGTAATAGTTTTGTTGACTGTTAATTTAGATGAGGGTAAGTTATATTCAATAGACCTTTTACATCATCAGACATTGTGGCTCTGAATTATTTTCAATATATTTTCTGACATTTTCATGATGACATTCCCCTGTAAGATATTTCTGGTACTGCTGACTTCTGAGGAAGGACATGATTGTAATAAATGTGAATATTTTGAAAGGATATAAGTGACCGCTTCCATTTGGACTTTGTAAATGAAGAGTTCATGAACATGCAAGGCATAAATAAGCATCTAATTTCTCACAAATGACATTAAAAAGATACAACAGCATTTCGGGTTTCACCAAATTACTTGAAATTAGAGACTTCATAATTACAGAACCATCAGCAGGCAAATCTGAGGTTCGCATTTTCCCTCAACTTACCTGTTGAATGAGTAAATAATGAAAATGCAGAAAGCCAACAGAAAACCTGGGGCACTAATACTGTTTGCGTTTGATTGCAGGGCGCTGTTTGTGAACCAAGTGGGTCTGTGCCTGATTGTGAGCAGTGCAGCAACCTGCGGCATTGTCATGTTTGCTTATTACATCCACTGTGATCCGCTGAAGTCTGGGAGGATTTCTGCCCCTGATCTGGTACTCAAAACCCTCCAGAATAAATATTAATATTGATCCATTACAAGAGCATGGCACTGTATACACTGGACAATAATGACCGGTATACAGAAAGATACAATGGTGTCTGAGTTTATGGAAAAGGATCCATACCTATACTATTGTATCTATAATATTGTTGTATTTTTGTGCATTTATTCCAGTGTACATAGGCTTCAAATGATACTGGGTTTTTAAAGCTGGTGCCATTATGTTTTTACTGAATTTCTATTCTCAGGGTTGTTAGTCCGCTCCCATGCATTCCATTGTACAGACTGAAAGAATATTTGTATGTCTAAAATTTGTTTTGCCAAATACTCCATCCATCATCCATCGTTTGAAGTTGAATGTTTTACTTTACACCTCAAATGTTTCCTTTAGTTGTTTACACACTAATGCACACTAAAGTCAAACATTGCTGAAAGTATATTTTATAGATTATTAACAGGATAAAAAAAGTCACCTTTTGTTGGTTGGTGTTGGTTTGTGAAAAAATAATTTATTTACGAAATGAACAATTGAAAATAATTTATTTACTTTTCCACTATTTCTCCCTCTCCCTCTCGTCTGATGAAGTACATGCCTTACTTTGTGTTGGACATATTCAAAAGTCACCCTGGCTTCCCAGGTCTTTTCCTTGCCTGTGCATACAGCGGGACTCTCAGGTATTTCAATCTTGGCTTCTCTAAACTAAGCTTTCCCCAGTGGTGGGAAAATTAACTGAGTACTTTACTGTTTATTAAGTGCTATACAACAACTTACTTTTCAGATTAAACCATTCTGGTTTGTGACTTTGTGCATAAAAGCAATGTATGTTTGGGGCCCTTTATCGTGTTTCAGATGTCTATGAATTGTTAGCAGTTCCACCTTAAAGACATCTCCCCTTTGTGATGGTTTTATCTTACCTTAATAAAGTAAAAGATTATTAATAGTGTGTTAACATGGCCAGTGAACTGCTGATAACTAGTGACCACATGCTTTTTTCACAGCACGGCCTCCACAAGTATCAATGCAATGGCTGCAGTAACGATGGAGGATCTGCTGCGACCTCATCTGCTCCACATGACCCAGAAGAAACTGATCTTGGTTTCCAAAGGACTGTGTAGGTTGATTTCACTGAAAATGTCCACTTAACTAAGTTGTTTTCATTCTGAAGTATTTATTCTCTTTTTCATTTAAGCGTTGCTGTACGGAGTTAGTTGTATCACCGTAGCTGCTCTCTCCTCCCTGTTGGACTGGGGAGTTCTTCAGGTACAATGCCTAATTATTACAATATTACATGATATTTAATCCATCATCCAACCTCCAGTCATTTGTAAACAAAAAAATTGAGCTTTAAAACAGCTTTAAATGGAACACAATGTGCAGCCTTGCAACAACCTGCAAGTAGCTTAGATGATGTTTAATTGTTATTTGTAACAATCAGGCGAGCCTCATACAACCCATAGTGATTACTATTTGTTTTTACTTTTATTTAAATTGGATTTTTTACGATTAATCAAAAATTGTAATAGATGAATAGAAGTTATATGACTATAATAGCGAATTCTGTCTCAATCTTGCACAAACCAAAGCAAGAAATAGTAAAAGTTGAAACTCTCTCTGGTTAATTTCAAATATTTAATTATCTGAGCTCTGAGCAGACTGAGCTACATCATAAGATTTACTTTGTATTCTGTATATCAAGTGTCAGTGTTGTGTTTGGTTGCCTTTCCAGAACTCCCTTTGTCTTCTCTATTCAGGGTTCGTTCACCGTCATGGGTGTGGTCAGCGGTCCATTACTGGGCGTATTCATTTTGGGGATGTTTGTCCCAGCAGCAAACAGGCTGGTGGGTGACTTCATTTGTGTTGATTCAAGAAAACCTATAAGAAATGTTCACAATGGACCTACTTTATATCCTCAAAGCCAGTGATAAGGTCTGTTAGATCAAAGACGCACAGCTTCTCTCATTACACTACTCACAAAAAGTTAGGGGTATTCGGCTTTCGGGTGAAATTTCAGAATGTAAATAAAATGCACTATAACCTTTCCAGGTGATCTTAATTTGAACTTCTCTACTTAAATGCCCTACTTTCATGATATAATATCACTGTAGCATCAACATTTTACATTTTCATTAAATTTCACCCGAAAGTGGAATATCCCTAACTTTTTATGAGTAGTGTATATATCACAGAAATCTTCTATAAGAATCTTATATGGTTCTTTCTTCCAGAGCTTGAGCTTAAAATAAAAATAAAGACACACCACCACTCTTCTAGCACACTTAAACTACTTGTAGCTAGTGATGTAGCTACGATATAGCTTTTGACACATTTGGCCGTGGAAACTGGGCTGGTAGTTTTGCAACAGGTAAGAAGAAGTGAAAACTGCTGCCACACGATGACACACGATGTCTCTGAACTGCAGTTTTAATTCAGCACAATAAACTACACTGATTTGCCAATAGTGCAATAAAAGCTTTTATGTTCTATTGTTGATGATGAGAGAGATGTGATTCAGCTTGTAATAGTGAAATGGAAGAAACTAACTACAACACTTTAACAAAACGTTAATATGCTTTACTTATTTTACAAAAGTTTAAATGATTTCCTCCTCCTAAGACACGGATTTGTTTAAATGCAGTTACGTAAATTCCTCCGCTTTGTGTTATTACAACACTGCTTCTGTTTCATTATGAATGCTTTGTGTAAGAACGCCAAACAGTGCTTCTATCTATTAAGGAAGCTTCATACTTTCCATGTTGGTCATAGGATCCATTGTTGAATCTGCATTTACTGTTAATATCCTGACTTAAGAACGTCAGTGTCTAAAAGCCAACAAACCCATTTAAAATCATTAACTGAACACCTCCTTAAGACAACTTTCAGAGCTTTTTTTCAGCCACTTTCTATTGTCCTGTTAACCAGACCGTTTATCTGGAAATCAAACTTTCCTCAGCAATCTGTGTTCTCAAGAAGTCATTTTATTGATTCTTTGGTGTTGGTGAGTTGTATAATTATATGTTGGTTGTGTTATGTTTCACTTTGCTAGAAGGTCGATCATTAAATAAGAACATCATTATCACATTTTTTCCAAATGTAAAAAGTATTTTTTGCAACAAAGCTCTTTTAAAAAACATTACGCTATTTTCAGAGCTAATATGGATCTATTTCTGGAAAAGCTGACCTCAAACAACTTGCACTGACAAAGACCAACTGATGTGTTGCATCCTAACGTCTTCTGCTAACACTTGTACTTTCTTTCAGGGGGCATTCTCAGGAATATTAGTGGGCTTCTGTGTCTCTCTGTGGCTGGCAGTCGGTTCAACCCTTTACCCGCCCAGTGAGGAGACCATGGGTGTCCTGCCAAGCTTTGCAGGCGACTGTGGATCCAACAACGTCACCCTGAACAGCAGCCCTAACCAAGACGAACACTCCATCTCCACCCTGCTTCGCCCCAATAACCAGGGGTCAGTGAGTTCAACAAGGCCTGAACTGATACACAACTGCTTTATTAGCTATGTGGTTTACATTGGTTGAGGATGGAGATCAAGACCCATAACCTAAAACTAATACAAGTTAAAAGTGTGTGTGTGTGTGTGTGTGTGTGTGTGTGTGTGTGTGTGTGTGTGTGTGTGTGTGTGTGTGGTGAAATTTATTTGTGATTGCTGTAACTTTATTGATAGAAGATAAAATAAAGAACTAGATACATGAAAACATACTTTAATGAACCCTGACTTTTCCAAAATTAGGGGCCTGCTTAACTTCTACTCCATGTCCTACCTCTACTTTGGTGCCATGGCGACTAGTTCGGTCGTGCTAGTTGGGCTGATAGTGAGCTATGCTACAGGTAAGAAGATAAAGACACAAGTGAAAACTGCTGACACATGATGACATGTTATTCAGAACCGCCGGTTTAATTTAAACCAATAAACTACACTGAGTAGCCAGTATTTTACATACAACCTGCACTCAAGGCAATCCAACGTAATTGTCATGCAATATAAGCTTGTAATGTTCAGTTTTTTATGATACTGTATCAGAAAGGTGTGATTCAACTCAGTGGGGAAATTCTCTTGCTTCTGTCTGCACACAGGACCAACAAAGAGGAGTCATATTAAAGAGGGTTTGTTATGGTGGGATCTGAACAAAAAACAAGTAGAGGTCCCATCAGAGCGCAGAGTAAGTACCATAACACAAGCTTATGACTTTGGTGCCCCTTGTTTAATGTGTGTAGATGTGCCTACAGATTGTAGAAATGTAACAGAGTAGATCAGGATGAACCAAACATCTTAATAAATAAAGGCAATTATCTTGGGCTTGTTAACAGGATAGACTTATGGCAGATTTCTACCTAGTGCTCTTTCTTTCTTCCAGTCCAAAACATCTGAAATAATCTGAAGTATTATAAATCAGTTTTTAAATTTGTCCCAACTATGACTCTAACCCCTTTATTATTGTTAATAGATCATTTTGGAGCAGATTTGTAATGACACTACATGTGTTGCCTGTGACTGTGTGACTTGTTTTAAGACTGGAACAATGTCCAGGATGTTTACCTGCCTTCGGTACAATGCAAGCTGGGATACACACATGAGCCTGAATAGCAATAATCAGGTAAGGAAATTAATGAATAAATCATTATCAAAACAAACAAAACAACATATATTTTTGCTAAGTGAGTCCCACTTTTGATCAGCATTTGGAGCTTGACGTGTGATTTTTTTTCAACTGGAAACATAATAAATGTAACGTCATGTGCGGCAGATATGGTAGATACAATGTGTTTGTAGCATTACATCTACACAGTCTCACTGCTGATCAAACTTAATATTTCTTAATCATAATCGTGTTCTGAGAGTGCGCACCTGGCTATCATAGTTCAGTATGTGTGTGTTTCATTTTCCTTTTTTTTATTGTGTTAAAAACAGAATCTTGGTCTTTTTTTGCAGGGAGACAAGATGACAGATAAACCACAGCTTGTGCCTTTAAGGGAACTGCATAGGGAAGATGCAAATGAAGAAGAAGAAGAAGAAGAAGAAGAAGAACCAACAGATGCTGGTAACATTAAATCACCTCTCAGAGTTTAGGTGTTGAACAACTAAAAGTTTTTTGTAATCTCAAATAGCACTGATGATAGTGGCATTTCTTCTCTATTGGCAGAAACCTTTTTTAATACACGTCTTTTTCCTGTTCAATTCAACTTTTTGTCTCTTTGTATGTCCTAAGTCTGCCCCACATTTGGAGCTAAGTTTGAGTGAAACAAGAGGCTTTTTAATAAATGTATTTCTTAAAAATGTGATTGGAGGCCTTTATAATTGTGCCAAAGAACATATAGACTCTAATCAAATACCCTCCAATGTTTTTTTTTAAATTCTTTTAATGTTGAAAGGCTCTTTCATCAGGACATTCATTCTGGTATGTCCCATATCTGTAGCAATGCACACCTGCACTTCAAACAGTCTTAATGGATATGTGACAGGCAGTGTCTTGGCTTTGTGCGTACGCATTAACAGTAATTCAACCTTTCCCACTGTTTCATCACTCTGAGTTCGTGTCTTATCATCTCGTTACCGAAAGCTTCCTCTTAAATGGACAGTAAAGGGAGTATTTATTGACAAAAAAGTGGTTCGACTCTCTTCTTCTTATTGGCTACGACTGCAATGAATGGGAGATCTGTGACGGTCCCTGTCTAGTGTTGATGTGCTGATGTGGTTGACCAGTTATGACTTTCCACATAAATATGAAGTGCGGGAGACATCGTAAAGATATCAGAAGCATTTCCAGCCACAAAAGTTCAGAAGTCATCACTCATCTATAGTCCACACACAGCCGGCATCAGTAGAGACCTGTTACAACAAGATAAGCACGAAGGCAGCACCATCACTGACTATATATAACCCAATTCACTATAAATAGCAGCATTATATGTGAACAACCTCTGCTATATTCTGCAGTGAATGGAAGGAAGAAACATGAAAGACATCTCCTGTTGTGAATACTTTATTCATGGTACTTTGTGGATAAAAAGCATGACTCTGATTGCTACTGTTCATATCTGATAAGCCACTGGTTGTGCTTTAGCTTTAATGGAGGAATATTCATAAGAAATAAAACACCCCCAGTGCACTAAAATGTCACTACTTCACTACTTCTGCTACTGTTTTGTTTATGTTTTAACATTTATTCCATTATTGCTGCTTGTTGTCACAGTTGAAACAAATGTCTTCGGTTTCATAGAACATGCTTTATATGCACATGTTTTATAACAACAATTAATAAAATATATTCCACATTACAAGTTTCGCTGTCTGTGACTACATGCGTGCTTAAACCGCCTCCAGTGTTGTTGGAAATTACCTGTCAATGTAATAAATTTAAAATGTCAACACTTCACTTTCTGGCTCTTCAAAGGCCCGTGGAGGTTCAGTTGGTTCAGGTTTATTATCAGAGGGAGAGGATCCAGTTTTATGAATCTGTAATCTGTGTGTCACAATACGTTTCTTGTCTGAGGAGGAAGTTGCAGCAGCTTCGGGAGAGTTACGTCCCAAATTTTACTTTCCCTACATAAAGTCATGTCGATTTGACTCTAACGTAATATCATATTTGACAACAGCTTCACGATCATATCTTATAGCTTTAATGTTTTTGTGGATCTAACATTTTTAAGTTTTTTGTGTATTTTCTTGTACATGCGGTACCTTACATGAGACCCAAAATACATTGTCTATTGCGTGCGTCAAACTAAAAATAGTTTTGCTAACAGATTTTTATTAATGTTAATATATAGCTTCTTCTTGTGGTGATACTTTAATGAGTCTATTATCAGGCTAGTATTTAATTTCTGCTTTAACTTAAATATATGTTTCAAATGGCCTAATGTTCTTATTTTATTTGCTTTGTCTCTTTACTTTTTGTCTTGTGATAAATCTTTATGATGATGAAAAGATGGTCATATATGAGACCATCACTTAATTAGGAGTGACACACACACACACACACATATATGTGTGTGTGTGTGTGTGTGTGTGTGTGTGTGTGTGTATTTTATGCTCAAGCAGATGTAAAAATCATTTTCAAAATAGCCTTAAATAAAGTAAAAGTAAGTTTTATTTATCTTGTGTTACATTATTAGGAAAATAACCTGTACTTGAGCATGCAGGACACTGATTCAGTTACTCAATTTAAATTATAATCTTAAAATTAGACTTGAGCAAAAGAAAACGTGTGATTATATCCTCCCATTAATAATGATGTTATGCTGTATTAAAGTATATCTTGGTGTACACTGACACCTGCTGATGACTGAATGTGTGTAATCCAGTCGTACACACATGGCTGATAACACATGCGTTATGGCTGCCAGACACACGAAACCAATGAGTACAAAAGAAACTTCACATGAACATGATGATCATTTATTGCATTTTTCTTCATCTTTCACTCATTCTCTCCATACAAAAGTAAGCTCATAACGCGTTCAGACACTCTTATCTTCCAGAATAAATCGATAGGCCTAACTGCAGGTCTGTCTTTAATGTTGTGGGATTGTGCTTCCGTGCACATTGGTCCTGAATCCCTCACAACCACCTCCATGTTGCCGGCCGCTGCTGCTGCTGCTGCTGCTGCTCTTCTCCAGCCCGGTGCTTCACCACTCATCTGCGGCCCTGTTAGAGTCCTCGTCCGCTACAGCACAGTCCAGGCGCTGGACACCGGGCAGCGCCAGGTCCCTTTCGTTAAGCTTCTCCAGAAACGAGGAGAGCAATCGTTTGTTTAAATGGTCCGTCAGGGTCCTTTCCTCTTCCACTCGCTCCTTGGCGACATTTCTATCCGACTCCACTTCTTCCGCCTCGGTGTCCGCGCTGAGCTGCGGAGGGGCCGACCGGTGGTTCAAGGACAAGCCGTTCGACTGCTCGCCCTCCCCGGACTGCTGCTCCGTGCAGCTCCCGGCGTCCGCACCGGATTCCGTCTCCATCCGTGATATTAAAGTGGTCTGCAGGGCGGCATTCTCCAGCTCTTTCAGGCGTTTACTGTGGAGGCCGCAGGCAGGAGGTTCATTCCCAGTCGGGTTGTTGTTGTTATGGGGTGGCTCACCAGTTTGCTCCATCATGCTCTGCGTCAGGAGTGTAGCCCATAGATATGAAAGACTCTTGCGGTGCAGACTGAGGGCTCCCTGTGGCCACACATGTTACTGCATCAGTAAAAGACACTGTAACCCTTTGCCAGTGGAGGAAGGTGCTAGAAAAGTATCTGGCATCCCTCTCCTTCAGTTTAAAGTAGCAACACAATTACAAATAAAAGGCAAAAGTAAGTAGCATCATACTTTTGATACTTACAGAATCAAAGATGTTGTCGAGTTGGGGCAAATTTGAATTTATTTGTACTTTTATTAGATCAAAAGCTAATATATGCTGTGTAAAAAACTTCATGTGTATTGTAACAAGTAACTACAGCTGTAAAACAAATGTAGTGAAGTAAAAACTATATTTTCCCCCTGCAGTATAGTGGAAAATAAGTGCCTTAACAACATTTTACTTGACTTGATGGTTGAGTCGCTTTCCACAACTGTTTATAATAATATTATTATCATTATTGTGGACAATAATGTGTCATAATGACACAAATTACTAGGAAAAACTACTAGGTGTGCCCATAACACCTTGATATTACAACTAAGGGACGGTTTCCCCAAATTGAAACATCATAATGACCTTTCACCTTAATCCAGCACTATTACACTTTAAATCATGCTGGACAAAGTCATGGGACCTAAAAAAAAGTCCTTATTCATGATTCAGTAAACCCCCTCTTGTACTCTTCCTGCACGGTCCAATTTAAACTGTTTTGGCTTGATGTAAGTGAACGTCATATCAAAGCAAAATTAGAATTTCCTACAGATGTTTTGGTGAAAAACAAAATCTGTAATATTTGGCCACTTTACTACAACTAAAACACCCACTTCTTTTTTTGTTTGTTTGTTATTTTTACATTGTTTTTATTTAATTGTAGTTTATTACAACAATTAAATGCAATAAACTCAACTCATGCACAAACAGTGTAAATTTGTACACGGGTCAAGTGAATTTAACTTAATTCATTAATCCAGTTGACTTAATAACAAGTGCCACTGTAATAAATCGACATTCGCTATTTTTCTTCTTCTTTTTGACTTCTGTGAGCTTCCGTAACACAAGAATCGGTTTCCATAGAGACCATCGGTGATAGAGGCGAACGAACACTAAGCTAACGACAGGTAACGTTAACAAAACCAATTTAATGCCCGTTTTCTAACCACTGATCGATTACAGTTAGTTAGTTCAGATATAAGCTCATCGATATCTTATTGTAACTGTCTAATCTTCCGTTAACCATCGGCGACACCAAGCGTTAGCCCTTTTTTTTACTAACTTCCAACTAGCCACAAGCTAGATAGGCTATACTGTAGCTACCTCTGCTACACACACCTTCACACACACACACACACACACACACACTAATTAATTCACTACGGATTCTAGTAAAGCAAGATATGGCTGTTTGTTTAGCTTCCACCACCCTGACATGTGGTGTGTGGAGATGAGGATTTACACAGATCTTCATCTTCATCTTCGACCGACTCTCTCAAGATACATTCATGTCAGTGGTGTGATTGTCTGTCAATAACGATGCCTCTTCTCTTCTCTGCTTTGCTGCCAGTGCATGTTTTGCTGTGCAGTGCCAGCAGGTGAAAATGTCCTTCAGAGACTTAAGAAGTAAGTGACGCTCGCTATCTGCTCCCCATTGTTTGTGATAAATCCTCTTTTTTCACTTTAAGAGCTGTGTTTTTGTGTCTTCATCCCCTGTTGGTAATTGAAGTTGCATTTCATTTGGCAGATTTTACTGAAATGATGAGGGCCTTGGGCTATCCTCGGTTGATATCCATGGAGAACTTCAGAACACCAAACTTCACTTTAGTGGCAGAAATCCTGATCTGGCTCGTAAAGAGGTAGATTATATTTCTTAACAAATCAAATCCAAATCCTTCTTCCAAGTTTTACTTTGTAATATGTGAACTTCATTTTCTGAGTCTGGAAGTAAATCTCGTCTACTATCGCTGGGTTGGATCAAATGTTGATGTTTTATTTAGACTAAAACTATATATGGACATCATGTATGTACTCTAATATATTTTTGCTCTTTGTCTTTGGCTCCCTCTCTTTCTCCATTACATATAGATATGAGCCTCAGATGGTTATTCCCACTGATGTAGACACAGAGTCAGACAGAATATTCTTCATCAAGGCCGTGGCCCAGTTTATGGTGACGTCTCTTCTTAAGTTTATACAGAATGTACAAATTGCTCTCAGCTATTGTAGGCCTGCTTTTAGTCAGTCTGTCTTAACCAGTGTCTCGCATGGTTGCAGGCAACTAAGGCTCACATCAAGCTGAACACCAAGCGTCTGTACCAGGCCGATGGCTACGCAGTGAAAGAGATGCTGAAGATCACCTCAGTGCTGTACAGCGCTATGAAGACCAAGCAGATGGCCCTGGGAGAAAACATCGAGGAGGACAACAACAAGTTCAAGTTTGACCTCGGCTCACGGGTGAGATGCAGTTTTTACACTGTGTAATGTTATAGAAGACATATGTATGTTACTTTATACGTAGTTGTTTCTAAACCTAATTACTAAGCTATAAGCTCTCAGGCCCTGCATTGTGGTTGGTTTTAATGTGTTTTGTTGCATTACTTGAAAGGATCTAGTTGGTCATGTATGTCTGACCCACATGCAGTCAGATCAACAGAGAGGTCAATACAATATGTTTGACTTAACAACACATAGTATTTAATATCATTAAATATATTATTTTTCTTTGTATAAAAACTGAACTGATATTCTTATCTTTTTTGAACTTTCTATTTCATATCCTGTTTTATGTTTCATCAAATCGAAGAAAAAGCTGGGTGACTCTGATCACCCTGTCTTTACTTTAGATTTCAGATCTTAAAGTAGCTCGGCAGCTGGCATCAGAGGTCACATCTAAAGGAGCCTCTCTGTATGATTTACTGGGAAAAGAAGTGGACCTAAGGGTGAGTGAAAACACAGATATTACCAGACACACATACTGAGTCCCCACAATCCTTGATAGTGAAAAGGTTGTAAAAAAGAAAAATATTTTTTTGCCATTTGAAGGCCAGATTGTCTGGATTGTATAAAGTGACACAAATGATAAAAAAAAACATTGTAATTTCTTCCTCCGAGACATGATTATTTCAGAAGTAATAAATTTACTAATGTAAAAGTGAATCCTCTCATCCTTATTGGTATTTTTGTTGAGAAACCTCTCTGTTACATAAAGCAGCCATTAACAATCCTAAATGGTTCCGCTGTGCGTGTTGATGAGGCTGGTAGCATGATGTGGCTTTGTTTTTCAGCAGTGAACCAAAGCTGCTGCTCTCAGATGATAACAGCTGTACAAATGTAATGACGTCTATTTGAAAAGAAATCAGTTCAGACAGTTCTGCAGGTGATGCAGGAGATTGCTATACTGTCTTTGTTATCAATGTCCCCACAGGAAATGAGAACTGCGGCCATCGCCAGACCTCTGGAGATCAACGAGACTGAAAAAGCCCTGAGAGCTGCAGTCAAGGAGGTTTTGGTTCGTAGTTATCCTGACAAATCCTTATTTTTTTAAATTCACATATCTGTGAATATCTATGAAATGGCTCTGAATCTTGGCCTTTGTGTTCATTGTCAAGGAAAGTGTGGAGAAGACCAAAGACATGTTGAGTAACGTTGTTTCTGATGAAACCAGTCTGGACAATAAGATTGAGAAGAAGAAGCAGGAGCTGGAGAGGAATCGGAAGAGGCTCCAGACACTGCAGAGTGTCAGGTCAGTTCACAACCTGATAGGTAGCACACAGGAATGATTCCCAAGTGCACTGGGTAAATTAAAGCAAAGCATAGAGTGATTGAGAGTGACGTCAAGTTGTACCATTGCTAAACTTTTAGCCATCTTAAAAGTTTTCTTTCTCCGACTTGCAGCAAGACTTTAAACAAAAGTTTGACAAGCAAGCAGGGTTGCTCAATATGGTTAAAAATTAGAATCATATTGCGACTAGTTTTACAGATATTACAATTGTGACATGATTCACGATTAGTGGGAATGATCATTTTTGCATCACAATATTAATTTTCACTAAAGAAAATATTAAAATGATGATGTCACATTGCAGCCCTACAAGTAAATGTGTCTGTGCTCACCCTGTTGTAAGCGCTTGTTTTATGTTCCTCTGTCACTTCTTCAGGCCGGCCTTCATGGATGAGTATGAGAAGATTGAGGAAGATCTGCAGAAGCAATATGACACCTTTGTGGAGAAGTTTAGGAACCTCTCCTTCCTGGAGTCTCAGCTGGATGAACACCATAGACTGGAGCAGGAGAGGTTTGAGGTGTGTGTGCGTATGATACCTTCTCAGATGTTTTATAAAAAGGACTTCCTGTAGAACTGCTTGTACGTAACCAACACCTGGCACTTGGTCTCAGGAATCTTCAGCATAACTAATTTATAATACTTATATTAATACTTCACTTACCATCCCATTAGTTTTACTCTTTAGCTTAAGGAGAGAGTGATTTATCCTTCTCTTATGTTTTGAACTTGCTTAAATCACAGTTATACCACACAAAGACATCTCCATTTAGCTAGATTTGACAGATGTACGAAGGTTCTTGCAAACTGACGCTCCTCTTCTCTCACCGGCCCTCATTATAACTGGCTATATGTGTTTGTCCTTCTCTTTCCACTGCAGGAGGCTGAAAACACACTGAGAATGATGCAGCACAAACTGAGGGAGGAGGAGAAGGATCTGATGAGGAGTTCCTGTGAGACAACCAATCACACACCGTGAAAGCAAATCACATAATGTCAACTCCAATTTTATGATGTCTCACACTTGTTTCATAAAATATTTTTTCTGCAGTGAAAGATGAGGATTCGGACATGGACGAACCAGAGGACGAAGGTTCAGACAGCGACATGGAAGAGTGTCGCCCTTCTAAGCCACGGCCCACACGAAACGGCGTTGTGGCAGGTACACAGACGAGGGAGAGCCACGTTCTTGTTATGATCCACTATGAGTTCCTTGGAAAAAATGCTTTCTATGGTTCTGATTGGTTTCATATCTGCGATTCTCAAAAGAAAATGCTTCAATTGTTTCATCAAAGTGTGTTTTGTTGCCTTTGTTTGCACCATAGGAAGAGGAGCTCGATTCATCGGGAACATGCAGGGCGGGGACAGTGATGAGGTTAGTACTGACATAGCAACATCAATACAAGATTACTTAAATTAAGCCTGATGTATTTTCTTTTTGAAGACTTTTTTTGCTGATTTTACTCCCAGTGACCCTAGATGGCGCTCTCTCTGTTGTCACAACATTATTTTTTTGTCATTTTTAGTATCCCGTGCACCAGCTCGGATCAGCTTCAGATCCCTTTGGGTTTCCATTTCGTACTCTGTTCCGTATCTCATGATTTTCTGTCATTCACTTGTATTTTAAAAGCCCGCTTTAGCCGTTTCCAGAAGGTCATTCCCTCATGCCAAAAAACAACGGAAAGTAAAGGTTTGTGCAGGACCAGGATCTAGTTCACTCCTTGTTCGTCTGTGTATTTAAAGGAAAAATCCATTCTCAAATTCTCTGACACAGGATAGAGGTTTGTTCACACATGATTAGGAATGGATCTTTATCATTTGCAAAGCATTGGCATGACTATTTTCTTCACAATACCACTGTCGATGCATATATACAGTATAAACCTCACTAGCCGTGTCTTTAGTGTTAGAGAGAAATCATCGCATCTATGGGTGTAAATATGGTATCTGTCTCTTCCACAATGCAGTATAATTTCTGAACATTGGAGCAGATGTTGAAAAGTTTGGAATGGATTTTTCCTTTTTTAAAGTAGGTAAATGGTTTAACTGATCCCTGTAGTGATCTGGCTCCTGGTGGACATGTCCCAGTTCAATTATTCATGGTTAAATCAATTCTGGACTGGGTGTGTTTTCATTACAGCCGAAGAGGTGATTCAGTGATTAGATCCTCCTCCTGTCTGATTGATGTTTTTGTGAGACGTTAGCTGGTTCAGTGTCTAGTTAGAGTGGAATCACGTCCTTCTCTGTTGTACGTCGTGTGTCCAGTAATTACCCAGGTGCTGTAAGTTAAGTTGACATATTAAATCATTTGCCTGGACCTGGATGAGCGTTTGTTAATTGCTGTCATAATTAAGCGTCCCTCCTGTTTCAGACTGAAGATAGCGAGATCGATGTGGACGAGGACGATGAGGAAGATGAGGAAGGCGAGGAGGAAGAGGATGAGGAGGAGGAGAGCAAGGATTTGGAGGATGACAGTCTGGAGGGCCCAGTGTCGAGGGGTGCTCGCCCCTCCAGGGGGGGCCTGAAACCGCCCCTGCTGGAGGAGAGTGACAATGACTTCTGAATGAAGAGCACACACATACACATCAGATTAGAACATCTCAGTACTTATAATATATATATATATATATATATATATATATATATTAATATACATTGATTATGTTCCAGCAGTTTATTTCAACATAAAGCGTTAATATAGTTACTATTTTTCAATATTTGTGTAAAGTGTTTGCCTAAATAAAATATTTACAATTTAAAAACGTTGTCTGTGTCCCTCGACTCGAATATGAGTCAGCTGGTCAGATTGATCATAAGTATTAACATTTTCAGCAAATTTTAGTAAAACACTGAACTTTGAACTCTGTTGTAGCCTTTAGATAAACTCTACTCTGCCAGATTTTACATTTGTATCCACATGATAGATATAGTTTCTTTGACAGTGAAGGAAGTGGTAGTTTATAAAATAATAAAAAACTTAAATACTTAAACAGATACAGATTTCAAAAGTGTTGCCAAATAGAGATGCATCTTAGATACGAGCAGTATTTAAACCAAATGTTTTTAAGTACATTTATAATAGAAGAACAACGTCTTCCTCTGAAGATGAACATCCTGAGCCTCCGTAGGGCCATGGAAACCACAGGAGGCGTCATCAGAGTGCGCGGTGGTCGGAGGGAGGAGGTGGCCGATGCCTCTTGGAAACAACAGTCCGCCGTCGTCTACTCAGCGACCCGTTTCTCCCTCTCATACTGGTATGAAACCGTGTTTACACTCGCCACGTTTGTGTGTCGTGATCATTATCCTCTCAGCTGAAATGTCGGTGGAGTAAAAAACAAAAGAGTGAGCGACTCTCCAACAGAGAAAACATCTGTTTATCAGGCTAACTCCAGTTAGCCGGAGCTAACGAGCCACACTGACAGGCTCTTTGTAGACTTGGCTTACTTTAACTCCTCTTTGCCAACTTACCTGTTTGGTTTTTGCTTAACCCTCGTTTTCAAACCGGTTGCTAAGTAACGGTAGCTATGAAGCAAGAAAAAAAAAAAAAAAAGTCTTTGTTTTATTTAGATGTTATATTATATTAATTCAGATAACGGTAGATTACTACCGTCTTACATGAGCTGCCTGTAATTTAAACACCTTAAACAATTTTCTTTCAGTTAATAGGTGATAATCACCGGAAAAAAATAAAAAATGTAGGTATTGGATTGAAACCCTGACTGTATCAGTACTTGGTTGCAGCCTTGAAAAGTCACTGCTTCAGTCAGACTCTCTCTGATGATGTTTCCTCGTTTCCCAGCTGAAGAGCAGCTGTTGGGATGCCAAAGAAGTTCCAGGGCGAGAACTCCAAGGCGGCCACAGCCAAAGCCCGCAAAGCCGAGGCCAAGGCAGAGGCAGACGCCCGCAAGAAGAAGCAGGAAGAGGATGCTCTGTGGCAGGAAACTGACAAACATGTACTCAAAAAGGAGCAGAGAAAGGTGAGCTGTCTCCCCGGTTTGGTGTCAGTTTCAAACTGCCTCCCCTTTGGCTTTGAGAATTTTCATTTGTCTTCACTGTGATACTTCTTGGATGAGGGGTGTACAGTCAGTTAACAAAGTGAACGTCGTAGTCCCTTCATGCTCCACACAGAGAGAACAAAACAGATAATACAGTTTAGATAAGGATAGCAGAACAAATAGAAGAAAATGGAACAATATATAGTTATTTTCAGACATTTAAACATGGGGGGGGGTCAACAGCTGCAACAAGATAGTGATGGTTTTCATCTTCACATAAAAAGTTCATAGGGGAAACGTCCAAAGAGAGTCTGCCTTCCTTGTCTTGCCGGAGTCGGCCCAGTGATTGTCTAATCCAGGATATTGTTGATACAGTCTGTGATTTCCCATTTTGTCCTGATCAGACCAGGAGCAGGGTCCAAGCTGGCTCTTATCCCAGCTGTCTTTCCTCTCCCCCTGGGGTGATCACCCTCAGTGGTGTCTGGTCCGGTTGATCTTGCTTTGTGATTCTGTGTGCAGTGACCATCTCAACGTCCACCGCCACTCTTCCTTTTTTGATGGTGATGGGCACGGTCGTTCTTTTCAGTGTACTGAATCACGAAGAATTGTGATTTTGTAGACCAAATCATTCAGTGCTTGACACAGGTTCAATACACGTAGTGGCCAAAGTACTTTATAACAACATGCATTTTTTAAACACAAAAGTCTGATGAGAAATCTTTCGGCCGTTGCAGGATGACAAGGAGAAGAAGAGGCTCGAGCTTCTGGAGAGGAAAAAGGAAAATCAGCGACTTCTGGATGAAGAGAGTGCTAGGACAAAAGGCAGAGCCCAGAAGGAGGCTGCATCTGGAGGAAAAGTGACCCGTGCCCAGATCGAGGACGTGCTTCAGAACGAGAAGATGCAGCAGGAGCAGCAGGAGCAGCTGGAGCTCAAACCGAAAGGTAAAGTTCAGGTTGAGTAGGATGACACCAGTATGCTGGTTAGAATAAATATGAAACTTTAGTGGAGATCGGCTATATTCCAGCAGCATTAACTGTTTGGAGGATCAAATTTAGGGCATTTTCTTGAGCTTGACGCCACCATTGTTATGTTTCAAATGAAATTTTGTCCCACAGAAAAGAGCCACCTGGAGACTCCACTGGAAGAGAACGTGAACAGAATTATCCCTGAAGAAGGAACCATCGAAGCTAGAACAATAGAAGATGCCATCGCTGTGCTCAGGTACCGATTGTTCACCGTTCTCTGTGACATCCTGTTGTCCTTGTGATTACTCTGATGTGGATTTAAATTGAGTTTAAGGCAACAAAACAGCACCAATGACTAGTGAGTCTTTATCATTCTCATCTTCCTGTCTCCAGCACGGGACCTGAGGACGTGGACCACCACCCGGAGCGGAGGATGAAAGCAGCGTTTGCCGCCTATGAAGAGGTCAACATGCCCCGCCTAAAAAAGGAGAACCCCAACATGAGGTTGTCGCAGCTGAAGCAACAGCTGAAGAAGGAGTGGATGAAGGCGCCAGAAAACCCCCTGAACCAACGCTTTGCCACCTACAACACAAAGTGAATGCACTGTTTCTCTCCCCCCATAACTCCATTTGAAAACTGTCTGCCTATGCACATTGGAGACTTCCATTGAGAAATTGAATAATCTCATCTAAAAAACGAGTGTTGCTGAGGAGAACTTCACCACTACCCGCCCAGAAACCAGAGGTACCGGAGGACTCCGCTTTGTCACAACTGATCATCATAAATTTAATTATATCATTTTTTTTCCCAAGCACTTCTGGGGAGGTGGGAAGCCAGATGTTTTGAGAGTAACTTATTAAAGTTCGCCACTCGATCATCAATATTTCTTGTTGTTTTTAAATGCCAGACTTCTCTCTTGTTGGGAGACACATAAATCAAGTCACATACGCTGATGTCAAACATTTCTGCCAACTAGTTAGCTGAGCTGCTGTCGCCAGTGGATTAAGAGTGTGGGTTTTAGGCATACAACAATGCCTAACCCCTTTAAAAACAGCATTGCATTTACTCTAAAATAAAGCTGGATGGCTGAGTGGTTACAAAGATTAACTGTAACAGCTTTTTTGCCGTTCTCATGTCTGTCAGCCAGACGACAAGGACCAGGAAGTCTGTTAAATGCAGCAAATGTAAAATGTGATACTGTTAAGTTTGTGCTGTTGTCTCATTACCTGCAATGCAAATGCTCATGCTCAAGTATTCACACAAGTATGTGCGCCCTGATGCCTTCCCGCCAGTATTTTAAGGCGGTATCCTCAGCAGAGGCCTGGGGTAGCAGCTTGTACCAATAAAATAAACTGTCACTTCATTTCCTTATAACTCAACTGCAGGAATTGAGACCTAATTCAGCTGTGTTTACAGGCAAGATTTTATTAGTACAAAAAAGAACTTGACAGCATAAAGCCATCATCAGGGTTACAAAACAAATATGAATCTGTAGAGTCAAGGAAATATTCAGTTTTAACCATCTCCAGGCCTGTAACTGTGGCTGAACTTGGCCTTCCTTATCTTCTCTAGCAGATCCTTTGGCCTTAAGCCAGTTATTTCAAGGCCCTATTAGCTTCATAAATTAGGTGGGCAAGTGAAATGAAAGTAGATTGTGACTGACTGAAAACAGACGGCTCGGGTTATGATCCAAACACTCAGAGCTGTGTTGGTGCTTTGTTTAATTGTGTACGGATGCAGCTTTCCTTTTAATCACTAGTCACAAACCTTAAAAGAACTTAAATGCAGTTTATTGCAACAACACTTGTTTTTTGCCTCCTAACATTTACAGAATTATTTATGTAGGATCGATTTAACACCGCCATGGTAGTAGTTGTTTCTTTTGAGTTAGTTAGTCATTTATATAGCCAGCAATGGTGTCCAGTGCTGCTGTTGGTCACAAAGGTTTTCTCCAGCGCAGCAACATTTATATACTGAGCTGCTGAGGCAGCAAGCTGTTGGCTTTGCAGGTTTGTCTGATAGCAGTTGCAGAGTCAGAAAGCAGCAGTAACATAGTTAAAACAATTTAACAATAATATCTGCAGTATTATTTGGGAAATAACCACCCAACATGGCTCCTCCACAGGCCTGAAAATGAAAAGGAAATATGTAGAGCAAGTGTAGCCAGTTTAAGATTCTTGGGAAATACATATACTGTGTTCCAAATTATTATGCATATACTGTTTTTGTTCTTTTTCTTACTAAATAGTCGATATATTTGGCAGTCAATAGGGTTTTTTATTCCTCAACAATTATATAGTAATCTGGATTTTATTAATCCATAATAATAATAATTACCAATTATGACAATGGCATTTTTTGCAAAATAACTCAAAATGCCGTGTTCCAAATTATTATGCAAAACAAAAAATAGTTTCTAAAGGATTGAAAACAGAAATCTGTTGTATTTGATGCTTTAGAGGGGATACATTTTCTCAAATAAAAGCTATTTAAATCAAAAACATCTTTACAGATCGAGTTACATATTAACATAGGAGCCCTTCTTTGATATCACATTATCAACTCTCTCATCCATTGAACTTGTAAGTCCATGTACAGTTTCTGCCTGTATTTCCTTTGAGGATACCAGAATTGCCTCCCAGAGCTGCTGTTTTAAGGTAAACTGCCACCCACCCTCATAGAGCTTCCTTTTAAGGATGCTCCACAGGTTCTCAATAGGGTGGAGGTCAGGAGATGATGGTGGCCACACCGTGATTCTTTCTCCCTTAATGCCCATAGCAGCCTAGGCCTCAATGGTATATGTTCCAGCATGGGATGGTACGTTGTCTTACATGAAAATGATTTTACTCCGGAAGGCACGGTTCTTATTTTTATACCATGGCAGGAAATGGGCAGTGAGGAACTCTACACAAATCCATCATTTTGACACCTTCAGGCACCTTAAAGGGGCCTACCAACTCACTTCCCATGATTCCAGCCCAAAACATCCCTCCACCACCTCCTTGCTGACGTCGCAGCCTTGTTGGGACATGGTCACCATCCAGAACTCCATCTAGTGTAGCACTGCATACATCAGCGAATAAAACTGTTAGACAATTAGTCTTAATGTATTTCTGAGCCCACTGCAATCATGTCTCCTCGTGGGCATTGTTTAAGGGTGGCCGAAATACAGCTTTATGCACATCAGCAAGCCTCTGGAGGATCCTGCGTCAAGAGGATCTTGGGACTCCAGAGGCACCAGCAGCTTCAAATACCTTTTTTACTACTCATCAGTGGCTTTTTTCACAGCTGCTCACTTAATACGATGAATTAGCCTTACAGAAACTTTCCTTTATCTGAACGAACCCGTTTGCGCTCTATTTCGTAAAATATCCAGTAGTTTCATACCTATTGAAAGATACTGCACTATTTCACACTTTTCATCTGCAAAAAGATATTTTTTCCCCCTGTATTGCATGAAACCTGTGACTTGCTTAATAATGTGAAACAACATCCTTAAGTAGTTTCCCATTAATTAGGCTCACCTGGCAAACTAATTAGGACAAACCTGTCTGAGATTGATGTCAGTGAACTAAACAGACATGGAAAGCAGCACAATTGAAAACTTTCATTGAAAAACAAAAAATCTAATGTTTTTTTAATTGAAATCATATTTGCATAATAGTTTGGAACACAGTATATATATACACACTGTGTTCCAAACTATTATATGAACATATATATATGTTTTATGGCCAATAATTAAGAAAATAAATTATTTTTTTAGAAGCATGTACTTCACTTTGAAAGGCAACAGGGATGTTTCAGGTTTGCAGATCTTTATTTCAAAATGGAAGCAAACCCCCACAAAACACCAATCCTCCTCCTGGCTGAATCTAGACTTCGAACATCTGTGATCTTTTAAATTGACAGTGTAGTGTTTTTAATAAATATATACCTTTTAGTAGAATTATTACAAACTTTTTGTTACATTTGTTCTGTCATCTACGACACATCTGTGGAGGTCTTTTAGTCACTGGTTTGATTCATTCAGAACCAGATTTTAAAAATGTCCACCTTTGTCCGGCCAGGCTCTTGTGGCGGAGGAGATAAGAGACTGTGCGAAGGCCTTTGAACCACAGAGCTTCAATGACAAGTTCAACTGACCCTTTATTTTCCTTTTTTGAATTGTAAGCGACCAGTTCCTTTTCTTTCCCCTAGCAACCAATCAGTCCATTCGCAATTTATAGGGATTTCTTTGAGCTTGTACGTCTGATCTTCCGCCTTAACACTGGTCTGATGTTACAGGTTTTTGTTTTTCTGCATCCTAACCTGCTGCTGCACCCTCCCACTCCCTGTCCATTTGCATGGCAACCCTTTACCAGGCCAGCTGCTGCTGCCCTTTTCTTTCTTCATGTTGAATTCTAATCATTACTTTCAAAGGAAAGCGTCTCCAAAGCTCCTTTATCAAGTGTTCGTACTGGGAGGAGGCAAGCCGCTGTCCAACACCCACTCAGGCTACTGCTCTTCTTCTTAACGCTTCTGTTTTGCAAACCAGGAACATTTCCTATTAGTAACCTGCTTTCAAGTTTGGAGAAACATCGTACGGAAGAAGAAGGTAAGGGTTACTGGTAGTGGTGGGAATTTGTTCATATATTTATGAAAAAGAATATCAGAAAACTTGAGATGGTAAATTGCAGTTGGAGGGTTAAAGTCGAAAATAAGACAACTACCATTTGGAATAATTAGGTTTGGCTCTTAGAAAAGGATGAGCACCCATGAAAATGATACCTAAGTTGTAAAGCATGTTAAGATGAACTGTTCTCTGTCTTTGAGTATTTACTGAGGGGTTTATTTAAGAGTGAGCACAGTAAATATCATGTAGTATCAGCCGTGTACGTCACATCAGGGTGACATCTGATAAAATAAAAATAAATGGATACATCATTACTTTTCTAAAAATATGACAATTCTGTGAGTTTCACTGACTAGAGTTATTCATTTACGATGTGTTTTCACCCTTTTTTTTGTCACAGTAAAAATGATTAAATAGTAGGTGACACAAAATTACATACATTTCTTAAATGTTTGTTGTAATTTAAGACTTTAGCACAACAATGCCTAATTCTAACTGAATTTATTTCCTCCAAAATAGTTAAATAATGTTTGAAACTGATCAGTATAAATCTCTGAGCCTTCTTGATTTTCATGTCCAGTAGACTAAGATCAGAGGGGGGTCACATCTGCTTCTGACAGAGTGTTTCACATTCATAACCAGCTGAACACGCAGTTTGAGATTAAAGAAATAATTGCTTTTATACCAGTGATTATTTTGCCTTGAGTAAACACTCTACATGTAAGCACAGGAGTGTGTATTATTAGTCAAATAACTGACTGACTGTTATATTTACATTTTAAGGATTAAGTACATTTGATTTACTTTTTTGCCATCCATGTTTCTCACCAAGCAAATGTCATTATTGAGGCTAAAAACAGACACAAATATGAGATAAAACAGTTTTTAAAATACTTTAAAAATGACATTAGTTTCTATGTTTCTTTTGTTGCCTACGAAGACAAACATTATTCTCATTTTCAAAGATCTGTCTGATTTGTGTACACTTTTAGTTGTTTCTTCTTGGGTAATTCGGAGATCCTTCTGCAGTCCGGGCTTAATACCATATGCTCATTTATGGGCTATGTTTTTGGGAAAAGAAGGAGAAAAATAAACATTAATTTATGGAAAACTGTGTGCACATCATTTAACTGTAACATCCTGCATTCAAATATATTTCAGTCTATTTCTTTGTTGCATCCGTGTGTCATCCTCCTCTTTCACATCTTCCCTCTTTCTTTCCAGTTACAAGTGAAAAATGATCTGTGTATGTGATCTCTTTTTTTAGCTCTGCAGTGATGCCATGAGGTTGATTCTGGTTAAACCCACCAATGCAACTCGACGTCTTGACTCAACGGGTGAAGTCTTCCGTGATGAGGACCATGAGCATTGTACCTCAGGAGGTCCATCACCTCTGAGAAAATCTCCTGAGCAGATGCATGATCGATACTCCGGTACCTCTGTGGAAGCGTCGTCTCCCCCACAGGAGACGAGTCTGTGCTGTGTTTCATCTTCACCCCACGAAAGGTCTAATGGAATCAGTCCGTCGCGAGTTTCAGCCCAGATGTCACCACTGAAAACCCGAAACCTAACCTTATCACAGCTGAGTGATCAGGACTGGTTGCTGCTTTGTGGCCAGGTTAGCGGTGTAGGAGATGATTCACTCTCAGAAGACAGAGCAGGGACCAGTGTGGGACATCCAAACCATAATGACAGATGTGGTTGTTCCTGTCCTGATGCACACCAACATACAACTTCTAGTTTTCATCCGCAGTCTAAACAGGGCTCAGTCCAAGACTGCCTCTCCCGGGTTTCAAACAAGAAAAGCCTTTCATCCTTACCACACACCCAGACTTTCTCACAAAGCCCCCAAGCTCCGACCACTTGCCAGGTTTTACCGCAGCAAACAAACCAAAGGGATCTTTTGAAACCTGCAACAAACCATCCACAGGATAATTTCATGCTCCAGTGCAGTGACCAAGAAGGTCGAAAGGAGCTGTTGCAGCAACAGCCTTGCAATCATTTTAAACTGAAAGACAGCAGCCAAGCAACTTTATTCAACATCCCTCTGAACTCTATAGAGTGTGCTGAAACAAACCAGAAACTTCACCAACATCCTCAGTCTGCTGTCACAGCAGACCTCAACTGGAGAGAGCTTTTTGGTAAAGAACCACTGCTAGTTCAGCAGTGTCAGAAGCAAGACTCTCACTGCTCAACAAGCAGCGATCAAACCTGCAAGTCATCTGGGGAGCCCTCTGTTGTCCTCAAGTGCCGTCATCTCCCTTACAACCCTTTAACTAGCTTGGCACGCGTGAAGAGGTCGTCGACTCCAGCCAGTAACAAAAGTGTCCAGTCCTTCTCCACCAGCCAGTATAGTTCACTTGAGAACCAGGATTTAGTGGAGGAGAGAGCAAGACAGCGACAAAGTCAGGTACAGGATTTTCTTCAAATGCTGTAGCTTCTAGACCTGGTGTGGGAGGTCTTTACCTAAAGAAATTAAATAAGTCTTATAGAAATAGTGGGAAACATTGTTAAATGGCAGCTAAACTTCATACCTGTGCACCTTTAAAACACATCTTCAAAGACATCTTATGAGACTGTAATTAAAAGGTAGTGACGGAACAAGAGAGAAGTTCTGTTTCTAAGTTGTGGACAAGATTTTCTACTAAAATCTGACACCAGAATTTAATTTGGGCAACTTCCACAGCATGAAAGTTTGCCGTTGATGCGGTACTCCTTGAACGTCTTTCCTTGTGCAACTTTGATTGTCACATAAAAGCAGTTTGGTTTGCATGCAAAATTTGAAGCATTGTATTATGCTGTGTTTCCTCCTTTTCAATAAGCCCAGTTGCTGATTCTAAAGGCAATAGATAAGTATATAAGTATGTTGTCTGATTAATTACATGGCCTGTCCTGACTGTCTTACTTTGTTTTGCAGACAAACTCTCAGCACCTCAGTGGATCAAGACTCTCCTTTGCCAAACACACCCCTCCACCTTCTAACACCTTAGAAACTGGTGGCATAGTAAACGGGTATGCACTGCGACCGCTGAGCAGCAACAGCGCTTTAACATCCAGTCACTCAGATCTCAACTTGGGCCAGCAGCCTCTTCAGCTCCTTCACAGTGCCATCCTGGAGGACGCCTTCTCCAAAGTCATCAGAGAAGATTCCAGTAAGGCCAACAGCGAGAACCTGACCAGGGAGGAAGGCAGCGTACCACAGAAGAAGACCAAGGACATTAGCTACCGGCTGGGTCAGAGGAGAGCTCTTTTTGGCAAGCGCAAACAGCTGAGCGATTATGCGTTGGTCTGTGGGATGTTTGGCATCATCGTCATGGTGATTGAGACAGAGCTGTCGAGGGGGTTTTACAGCAAGGTACTGTAATACTCCTCAAACACACTTTATTCATACAGTAGAACATGTACTGTAAAGCGAAAGGTTTCATAGAGCATTTTTATACATTTTTGTACAGAGATATCAAGTTTTCATCAATGTGTTCCTTTAAAATATCCCATTACTGCCAACTTAGCAACGATGTCGCTGGAACAGCAAGAACATCCTTGATTTAGTGGGCAGACATCACCTACTTTATTTGTTTTGGTCATTCAGTGTGTCTTCACAACCGGCTGCACTCACCATGTTCATGTTTTTGTCTTACAGGAATCCATATATTCATATGTACTGAAAGGCCTGATCAGCCTCTCTACTGCTATTCTTCTTGGACTCATTGTGATGTACCATGCGAGGGAAATCCAGGTATGTGGAAGAAATAAGAGAACTCCATGCATACTTATGGTCCATGGTTCCTATATTATTATCCAGTATTCTTAGTACTCCGAGTGGCAAAATAAGTCAGCCATGTGGGTAATCTGATTTGTAGTATATCCTGATTTGTGGTACATCCTGATTTGTGGTACATCCTGGGGCACAAAAGTGGACAATCTACTGGTTCTGTATGATAAAATGCCCAAAACCCTTTGAATAAAACAAAACACAAAGACAAACCTGACTGCTGATCTCAATTGCTTCAATCGAACTTTCAAATCAAAAACTACAGTCCAAACAAATACATATATTGTTAATACTGCTTCTCTTCTCCCTACAGCTCTTCATGGTGGACAACGGAGCAGATGATTGGAGGATAGCTATGACCTTTGAGCGGATCCTTTTTGTTGTGTTTGAGCTCCTTATCTGTGCCATCCATCCAATTCCGGGCCAGTACGTGTTCACCTGGACTGCCCGACTGGCCTTCAGCTACACAGCATCAGTAGCGGACGCTGATGTCGACATCATCCTCTCTGTGCCGATGTTCCTGCGCCTCTACCTGATTGGCCGGGTCATGCTGCTCCACAGCAAACTGTTCACAGACGCCTCCTCCCGCAGCATTGGGGCGCTCAACAAGATCAGCTTTGACACTCGTTTTGTCATGAAGACTCTGATGACCATCTGCCCGGGCACAGTCCTGCTGGTCTTCAGCGTGTCCTGTTGGATCATCGCAGCGTGGACCGTGCGCGTATGTGAGAGGTATCAGCTTAAAAGTTTTCACTCTTCCTTTGAGTAACCAATTCCATTGCTTCAGTATCACAGTTTTTCAAATTGTGGATATTATTTTGAGAAACCCAAATCAGTGCTATCAGAAAAGACTCTCTGTGTTGAGGATTTACATCAGCTGGGTGTTATGACTCTACAGGTATCATGATGCACAGGAAGTGACCAGTACCTTCCTTGGAGCGATGTGGCTGATCTCCATAACCTTCCTGTCCATCGGCTACGGCGACATGGTCCCTCACACCTACTGTGGGAAGGGGGTTTGCCTCCTGACAGGAATCATGGTGAGATTTGTTCGGATACAGTTGAATCAGACATGTGATTGAGGATAATCCCATATTAGAAACTTTTTAATTTACAATAAACATCGTTATGTTTATATAATTTTGTCTCCTCCTCAGGGAGCGGGCTGCACAGCCTTAGTGGTTGCTGTTGTTGCAAGGAAGTCAGAACTCACCAGAGCCGAGAAGCACGTCCATAACTTCATGATGGATACTCAGCTCTACAAAAAGGTCTTTACACTCACACATGTACATTTATTGTATGTTATTTTCAATGTTCCATCTGAACAGTACATTTTTGACCATATTGGGTCAGTTCATGTTTTGTTTGATTCATGTCTCAGACTTTCACAGGTCAACAGTCAACACAATGATTTGACACAGATACCAGCAAAACAAAGCACATGACACAAATGTTACTTACTGTAAATCTGATTGGAAACAATTAGTGACATTCATATTCAGCTGTGTAATCTGCCTGATTTCCTATCCTCCTCAGATAAAAAACACAGCAGCCAATGTGCTGAGGGAGACGTGGCTCATCTACAAAAACACAAAGCTGGTCAAGAAGATTGACCGTGCCCGAGTACGCCACCACCAGCGAAAATTCCTGCAGGCCATCCACCAGTAGGTATAAATATGTCATCACCAGAAGGAGTACAGAGTTAAGACAAAGAGAAAAGACATTCCCCCATCACAGCTTGAGTAACATTCAGATAGATAGTTACAGTGTGCTGGTGGCTTTATTCATATACATATGTAATGATTTCAGTTTTTAGCAAGACAAACTGTACTGTACTGTATTTATTTTACTTGAGGCAAAAGTGACTTTGGTTTTGATTTTCAATTTTAGACTGCGAACGGTTAAAATGGAGCAAAGGAAACTGACTGATCAGGCCAATACAGTTGCTGACCTTGCCAAGGTTTGTATATGCAGTAACTGTGTTTCCTTTTTTACTTTACTTGGATGTTTGGAGCTTCACTGTGCAGAATGATGTATGAGTTTTGACGCTAGAAGACTGTTTTCATTTTCATCTGCTCAAGTGTCTCTGTGCTTGCCTTGAATGTGTACGTACAAGCGGGATTTTATAACACTACATCTAGTTTGGAAGCTAATAATGGTCCAATATGCAACTTACACAATTGTGATGTGGGAACTTCACCAAACCCAAACACCTATTGTATTGTTAAGATGCAAAATGGCACTAGAATCCAAAGTTCCCACAAGAAAAACTGAATAAACAGCGATTTATACTATACATATATTTTCTTTTATTAATTAAGAAAGTGTTATTGCAAACAGCAAGGCCCCACTTTGGGCAGCTGTGCACTAAGTACTTTTAGTGGGAGAAATTTGTATCCAAATTAAACAAAACATATCTGTATATCAATAGATTATGAATTTTTCAATAAGGGAGAATGTTTTTCCTTTTAAGTTGTATGTTGTTTATTTAAGTTTTCACACATATTATCATTATGAAAACATATCTTGAGGGGATCTGTAAGTTTCATCAAACACACAACCAGAAAACATCTCTTTCTATTTTTAAATATTTTTCGATCAAATTCCCATTACTTTAGTAATAACTTTGTACTGTATTAAAAGGCACTTCACTTTTGGGGGCTGTCTGAGGTCTTTTTATTTCATACAGTAATGTGGAATGGACTCACTGAGGGCCAGAAACTTTACTACTATAAATATGCCATATTATGGAAAAACTCAAGTGGGATTTAAATATTACCCCTTATTATTATTTTTCTACTTTGTATTACTGTGCATTGACAGCTGACAAATCCTACCTTTTTACAAAAATCTTTTTATATCTTGCATTTTTAACTACTGCAACCACTAGATAAAACTTATTTTACTTTTAACATTTCTGCATTCAAAAATATGTCTTTGGCGTAGATGTTCTCTACTCCACTTACCTTGATGTCTCCTCAAATAGACCACAACATGCTGTAAAGTCAGATGTATGAACAGTCCTCCCTGTTGCTTTGCAGACCCAGAACATGATGTATGATCTGGTGATGGAGCTGCAACATCGAAGTGAGGAGCTAGACAGGAGGATTGTAGCTCTGGAGGAGAAACTGGACTCAATCCTCCTCAGCGTGCAGTCGCTGCCCGTTGTGCTTTCTCAAGCAATAACAAAGCTACAAAAGGATTTCCTGGACGACTTGGCCTGCCGTGTCCACTTCCTGTCATCCTCCCTGAGCTCTGAGTGCTGTTCAGTCCCTGCCAGGCAGCTCTATCCAGGATCCACCACACCAGAGACACCATACAGCTCATAGGCCTCACTCAGTGGTTTTCAGTCCTTCTTTTTCATGCTGGGAATGATTTTCTAAACATGCACACTCTTTTATAGCAACACTCTGCTACACATTCATACAGTTACACACATTCACCCCTGGGAGTTAAAGCTACCATCTCATACTGAGCACTTCCAATGAGAAGGGAAGTACATCATTTAGGGGATAAAAAGGGAGATTGTTATTCCTTAATTTCCTCTGCTTAAAGTTAAAGTTAGTTCAGGCACTGGGTTTTCGCCTATAACGAGACAAACATCAGTCCATAGAGCCTCCTTTGGTCCATATAGGAAGATGATTTCTATGGTTCATGGAGAGTTAAAACTTTGTCAATAAAATCTACAATGAAAATTAGTTAGAAATTATTAAGTGGAAAGAATTAACTAATTCCTAACCAATCAACTATCTTGCAGCATTTTAGTTCTGAAACTTTCTCAGAAGTGTGCTTGTGACTGAGTTATTCCTACAGTCACAGTGGCTGTGAAAGGAGGGAGAAAGGCTACTTCCCCTTTTAATGCTGAGGTTGCATAGGGTGGGAGTATTATGAAAGAGAAAGAAAATGTAAACATTTAAATAGAATGTATAATTCACTCATTAGTGTAATGCTATGTCAACTAGAAGACATCTGCTGCAGTTTGTGAAGACTAAGAAAAAGATACTTAAAGTCCCCCTCCACTCAAAGATATGTTTTTCTTCTTGTTCCTACAGTTAGATGTTTGAGCTATTCATAGATTCTGGTATTTTTAATGAGGTAATGAAGCTAGTTTTTCACACACACGTTATTGTTCCAAGCAGATGGTTTGTATATATGTCTTCATGCATGTCTGAAGGGGATCTTAAAGTTAACTTTTTAAAGAATGAGATCAGTTTTTCTGTTCCTGTACATCCGAGCGTTGTTGTTTTTCCTGCTCCATTAGGACAATGTTTTCTGCATTTTACAGTAAATGGGGCCCTCCATTAGAAAAAAGTGATTATCCATAGAGGAGAGATTGTCTATGATTACTTTCAAAGCAATAATGGTCTAGTGCCAGCGCTTTTATTTGCTCACCATGAGAAGTGTAGTCTACCATGGTAAGACAACACTATTATGATTGTGTCAAATGCCAGATTAAAGCCTAGAGGGGAAGAAACATTGCAGTCAGGACACCTAGACTTTAGAAGTTTGTCTGAAGGTATAACATTCATTTAACACTGAAACTTCTTTCATTTAAGACCTAATTTGCTGCTTCTTGTGACTTTTCCTGTGTCAGTAACTTCTTAAGTTGCAATAAAGTTTGTTTATATCTAATAACTGTATTAGTTTTGAGACCGTCCTTTTTGTTTCACTGGCCTTAGCCTACACAACATTAATGTTTTATATGTGTGTATGAAGCAGTTTAGACATAATGGAGACGTATTGTGTCTCTCACAAGTGACGTATACTTTGTAGTATTTAAAACTTTTTGTAGCAGCAACACAGTATTTAAGACAGTCACTGGTAATAAAACCTATCTCCAGAACTCCATTTCTGTGTTGTTTTACTCACTTAATCAAATATAAATGTGTATCTCTTGTCGTAGGTGTCTTTATGTTTGCCTTGGCAGTGACACCTCTCTTGGGAAATGGTACTACGCAAAACAGAGAAATATATGTTTCAGTAAAGTTAATTAATTTTCTTTGTTTTAATTTGTATTTTTATGATATCTTGCTTTTAATTGATGGCCGACACTAGAGAGTGACAGGACAACACTGGGGGGTCAGACTTTGAGCAGGGGGGATGCTGTGGGCCCCCCAACACAAAGTTTATTATAATCACTAAACAAATAAGCAGCAGCAAGTGACAGCAACACACAATCTATACTATGAACCAAAATACAGATCTTCCTCTCACAATGCTGTTGGCCTCATTCACTTTCAGCTCCCGCCAAACTGAAGGGGAGGTAATTGCTCATCATTAATTAAACAGTATTGTTAGGCCAATGGGAAGGGGAGAGAGAGAGAGGGGGGGGCTCCACATCAACATTTAACATATTTATACGATTAATTTGAAGAATGGGAACTCATTATGAAACCAAATAACGAAACAATCATACTAAAAAAACATGATAAACATCTCTCCCAGTGAGGTTGTTTACGAGAACCACCATCTGTCTCTCTGGGTTACCGGTTTTTTTTTGTTTTTTTTTTACATGCTGTCAATAGCTTCTGCAGGGCGCTACGTAATCTCGCGATACTTCCCCCCCCTCCCGGAGACGAGCTGCACCCACGAGAATGTCGTTTCGCGCGCTGAGGCTAAGCTCCAGTCACATTCCAGATTGACGTGTCTGTCAACCAATCAGCGCCACTCGCTTGGAGGAAACCAGCCAATGAGGAGCTGAGTTGTGAGAGCAGGCGGGATATGAAAGTCTTGAAGAATAACTCATTGATCAATCTCCAACAAGGCTCAGAGTTGGTCGTGTAAACCGTACATAGAAGTTATTTGGAGAAAACGTGCGCGTTACTCCTTAAACGTCAATTTCTTGTTTTCACTTGGACGAACAAACAGGTAAAGCAGCTTTTTTTTCCTCACGTACTAGTAACTTTTAAAATTGTATTCATTGATATCTTCATCAGTAGCTAGCTTACTGAGGTTAGCTAACTTGACCAAAAAAAAAAAAAAAAAAAAAAAAGTGATACCTCGTTTCTTTTTCGCTTAACGTAAAACACCAAATTCCCCAGCCAGTTAAATGTAACGTAAAAAAATGAATCAAATGTTTTTGTTTTTATGTCACCCGGGCAGTTTTCGTGCCGTTTAATGACCTCTTGGTGTCTCATTGGTTAACAACCCAGTTGAGAAAAAAAAAAACCCCTCTCCTCTCAACAATAAGTTGTAACGTGGTTTGCTGTAGCTGAGCATTAATGGGTCCGTGATGAACTACCGCCAGCTCTTATCTTGTGTTGTTTATCTGTGTGCTGTAGCTGCATAATGGGCAGCACATGGTGACATTTCAACCCACCTTTTTGCCACTTCATTTTCTTCCTGTGAAGCAAAACAAAAATACGCAAACCTTTTAAAACAGATTGCTTATTTTTTTCCGTGTTTTTTTTTTTCCACCACCCCCACCCCCAACCAACCACCTCCTCCCCCCACCCCGTATTGGCTTGTGATGAATTAGCTCGTGTTTTTATTTTGAAGAAGAGAGAGAAAATGAAACGGTGTAGGCGAAATAACGCACATCAGGTGAGAGGAAGTAGTTTGTTTTCGATGTTATTACTCGTGTTTTGTTCACTGGTTTTTAATTTCGAGCCAGCAGAGCGAACAGCACCCGCAAAAGTAAAACCCCCAAAACCAGCCGTCGCACTCGCTGGTTTCCGCTTAATAAGGACAAAGCACCGTCTATGCGGGCGAAAGGGTCGTTGTAGTGCGGTAATAATCGACCCCGAACTACATACAAGGTTGTATTTCGGTGTGCTTTATTGTCAGAGAGCGAAGGCACATTGTTTGCTAGCGCTCCCTCCCGTCCGGATGTGCTTGCTTTTAAAAAGAGCTGGGAGTGGCCTGCAGCTCAGTTTCCCGCACTGTATTTAAATCAGCTTGTTCCCTCCCTTTCTGATATTCTGTTCAAGTGACAGCCCAGGGCTGACAGCAACACGGGCCAGAGGCTGGGGCCAGTCATGTTTCTGCTGCTGAGAGTCATTTAAGGCTTTCTGGACTAAAGTTAGTTTGGTTTTGTAATGATGGAAGTGACAGGATGTTTATACTTTGACAATGTCCAACACAGTACTTTAAAAAAAAGAAAGTGATGCTCCCGAGAGTTAAAATGTAGTTTTATTGTTTTGTATTGAAGGTTAAAAAGTAAATTTAATTCATTTTTAAATTAGGTCTGTGTCCAGCTGTCACAGTTTAGATTCAGTAAATATTTTATTGTCATTAAAGAAATTCAAGAGGATTTACAAAAAACACAACAACAAAGCGTAAAACAAAAGTAAACACAACAGTGCATATAGAGGAAGAGAGTGTTGCATTTAAAATGGTAACTTCATCCATAAATTAATCATTTTTAAAACTAAAAACATTATGGTTGGCTACCTGCAAGTGTCACTTTACATCGTCTGACCACCCTCAATATGATATCCATCTATCTGCCTTCAGATATTCTATTATACATGTCAGACTATTTGTTAGGGTTTATTTATACCTTTTGTTTCATGTATTACTTTTGTTTTAAAATGTTTTTTGCCTGAGATTTGTGTAGTAAATGCAAATGAATAATAGACAGATCTTGTTGCTGCTCAGGCTTGGCTTCTGATCAGTCTGCTTTTTAAGATTTATATGATCCATTAAACAAGACTGATTAATGCATTTACTCACAGTAATCTAGTAAAACAATATCAACGATTGTTGTGTCTCTAATTGCTCGTGCTTTGGCTGTTGACACAGGGCAGCTGCAATGTGGATTCAAGTGCGCACAATGGATGGGAAGGAAACCCACCGGGTGGATTCCTTGTCCAAACTCACCAAGGTGGATGAGCTGCGTCTCAAAATCACGGAGCTCTTCAATGTGGAGCCCGAGAGGCAGAGGCTGTTCTACCGGGGCAAGCAGGTGAGGCAGCATGGATACAAGTTTTTCCAAGATGTGTCTTTGATGCTCTTCATGGTGGTGATTGTGTCTGAGTAAACTCAAATATGAAAGTATTGGCATCTAAAAAAGCACTCTTAGTAAAGGGATGTAATTTATTGTTGTTTAATCAATCTTAGGTAATACTTAATCTTCAGTACAAGAGATATGGGTGATAGTTGGTTGTAGCTCATTGCCGATTTTAACATTTACTCATCATAAGCACAACAAAGAATGCATAAAATACAAAAGAGGCATACAATTCAAAGTGTGTATTTACGAATGTATATTTCCTGTGAGTGCGCACACGAGCAGGAAAAATGAGGGACCGCTGAAATAAACAAAAAAAGGAAGTGCTGCTTTTCTCCCTTTTTCTCACCATGTCGTATCTTTGTTTTGTATCAGATGGAGGACGGCCATACCATATTCGACTACAACGTGGGCCTAAATGACATAGTACAGCTGCTTGTTAGGCAGAAGGCGCCCCCTGTTGATGTTGTCAAAAGCAAGGACAAAGAAGCTGAGCTCTCTGACTCCGACTCCGGTTGTGGCTCAACCCAGAGTGAATCTGACAAGAACTCCACTCACGGTGAGGTAGAAGGTCAGACCGCCGGCACCTCTGCCCAGACAAACACCCCAGAGCTCGTCGATCCAGGATTTGGATTTTACAAGGTGCGTTTTTCAAGCTGGTAGTTTGTGTTGAATTAAATATGGTATATTTTTTTCCACAATATGTTTAATGTTGTGTTCTTGTTTTGAACATTACGTCAACAATACAACAGTTTGACACAAATGCATACATTACTCAGTTACACACATATTGACAGCTTGCATCAAACTCGGATAGTATACCAGTAAAACAATTTTTTTTCCCCCTCATTTGCATGTTTACACTGTATTTTCAGGAAAAGCTTAAGTTCATGTCTTTAATTATATTCATGTGAGGCTCCCACAGCTGAACAAAGTCTTGCTTCTTGCCCTTTGGCGATGTAGGTTAGTCTTTCCGGACCAATACAGCCCGGAAGCTCCCTTATCCACATACTCAATGATAGTGCAGCCATGCTCTTCCCACATAGTGAAATGGCCCTTCTGGCTTGAAGAAGAAAGTCTGAAAGTTTAGTCTTTTTCGATGTTTGTATAAAGTCCTCAGGGTTTATTCCAAGCACACAGAGTTTGGCACATAAGTGGACTTTGGTATGAAACAACCTTCCAGAAAGTTTGGATCTTTGGACATTCCCATAGACAATGAAACAGCATACCTTTCTCATTCAAACATTATGAACAATCATCTGGAATATCAGCAGACATATGATGAAGTTTGACTGGAGTTATATACATTCTCATCAACCATTTATGTTCAAGTAATTTAAACCATGTGGTGTCCGGGCTTTCAAACAAGCATCATTCCAACCCGTTTCATCAATATCATCTTGTGTATCCATATTCCAATCATTTAATTAATCTAATGTTGATTCAGTACTATGTTCTACCTATATGCTATAATATTTAGATATATGGGCTTACCTTTCTAAATTTACAGGTGTTATTTCCTCCAGTTGTAATAGAGGTGGTATACACGTTGTCTGTTTTTTTTTTTTTTTTAATAGTTTATACATCTACATAAAGATCCATCATTTTTTGGATACCCTTTATTTTCCACGCTCTAAATCCTCCGTCTCTTTTAGCAGGATTGTGGTCATAACCCCAGACAGGTGTTCATACAGACAGTACAGGCATATTACCTATGTGTTTGTATGCAGCATACCAAACTGAAATTGTCTTCACTATAAATACAAATTTATTGGTAGATTCGGACTCTTGCTCAATGTTTACCCAGGCTGGCGGTGTTGTTGTTAAATATCATATTTAATGTTTACAGGTTACTTTTGCTTTGTGGGGAATGGGGAATTGAAATGAAAACTCTGTGGGATGGGTGATAAACAGCTGTAGTGAATGAACTGCATTCCAGTTCAGGTTGCAAAGAGGTTATGAAGCATGGGTGAATTAAGTTCAGGTTTTGGGCCCAATTACATTAAGCACCGGTATGCGTTTAATGTGCTGGGCTGCATCTAAGACATTTCCTTTACTTTTGGTGATTTTATTAAAAAAAAAGTTATTTGTATTGCTGCTTCCAACAACAGTTTGGTGCATCGCCAGAATCTCCTTCCTCGAACAGCAGCATAATTTCTGTTCATGACCTCAACAATATTTGAAAAATATCAAAACAATTCATGTATGTGTTCAATTTATGTATGTACAAATTGAAATTCTGTGTATGTGAGGATAAAGACAAGACAATGAGATGAGCTGTTTTGCAATAAACAAACTGAAAAATCAACTTTTTTTGAAACTTTTACAGAACATCTGAAATTTGTTAGGTTTGTCAGGTTTTTAAATGTCAATAACATGCTAACTTTTTTTGTGTGTGTTTTCTGTGTTTTGAAGATCAATGAACTGGTAGATGCAAGGGACTTGAACATGGGGGCATGGTTTGAGGCCCAGATCGTCAATGTTACAAAGACAGCAAAGACTCCGAAAGAGGAGGCTGCTGAGGCACACCCAGCGGAGGAGGAGATACTGTACCATGTTAAATATGAAGAGTAAGAACCCCTTTCCTGTTAAAAACGATCACTTCTTTCATCAGATTAGATGACTCCTGTTTTACAGAGCTGACAATGTTGAGCTTAGCTAACATAACTCTGCACATAACAAGATTTTCAGTGCAGATCAGTGTATTCCCATAAAGGAAAGTTTTCTTTTTAATAGGCATGCACATATTTGCCGATATTCACCTTGTTGACATCGGCCTGTCTGTCTCTCAAATTCGATGGCCGTCACTGATGGTTGATTTCAGTGGCCGATGATTGTCGCATCAATTTTGCCCGGGCAAAATGTTGATTATTTCCAACTCAGATATTGGAGGAATAATCAACACTGTTTTCCAGCACTGGCACAAATTGCATTCAAATACCTGTGCTCCTGTGGCTGTTCAGCTTTACATCTCGCATTTTGAATGAGAATAGAAATAGACTGAGCTGCAACAAAGCAGAGATGCTTATTGTAGATTTATTTTTCTCTGGCACAAAAGAGCAAGTTAAAAAAACATCATTTCTTACACCTGTATCTGCCCAGGATTTCCCAATCAATGCAATCCTTTCTTTTAACAAATAGCTGGCCACCTGGAAAGTAGAGCTTTGTTGTGGTAGTCATGAATTATAGTTGTAGAAGGAGAAACAAATTGGCTCAGAGAAAATGTTATACTGTAAACACACAATTGAACAGAAGTTTTTTTTAAACAGGCAACTGTGGTCTGATTGTGTTGACTTGCTGTAAGCTGCAACCAACTGCTAGGTAATGCTGCACAATTAATTGAAATATTAGCAAAATTGCACTATTGCCAAGTACAATATCAAAATTGCAGAAGCTGCAATTTTTTTTGATGAAGGTAAAATTTGACCAAATTACATTATAATAGTGTAGTGCTGGAGAGATACCCTGGCCTAAAAATCTTATTCTACCTGATGTAAGAAAACATTTGTTTGGTACAAACCCAAGCAAATGTCACAGTATCATGATTTGAATACTGAATAATGCTAATACTGAATTGTATTGCAAGGTCGTGCAGCCCTAAAGTCAGGATCAAACCCAAAGTTTGTTTGCTAGGTTAGGCAACATAAAAATAAATCACTTCCTGCTGCAACTCCACATAAAAGGCTTAAAACGGATCCAAAAGGATTGGCACAATTTCTAATCCAGAGACTTGAACGCTTACTAGCAATAGCATTTACATTGAAACCTTTATTGTGGGACTAAAATTGACACTGAACTAAATTAACCTAACTTTTCATGAGCGTGTACCCGTAATAGCGGAAGCATTGGGCTTTCTGTGGTATCTCTGGCTTTTCCCAGTATGAGAGGTGTTTTTGTGTTTGTGAGCTTGCAAGTGCGTTACTGTTGAGGGAACATTCATCTGAGTGGTGTAGTAGTCAAACCTGTTGCACTTTTGTACATTTAGCTACACCCAGGCAGCACTGTGGAAGTGTAGGAAGCACCTGTGGTGGTGCGTGGCTTGCCTCTGAACTGCAAAATAATATAATATCCCATTCCCTGTCACAGCTACCCAGAGAACGGTGTGATTCAGTTGCTGGTCAAGGATGTTCGCCCACGGGCCCGTACAGTGTATCAGTGGCACCAGCTGGAGCCTGGAATGGTCGTTATGGTCAACTACAACCCAGACGACCCCAAGGAGCGCGGCTACTGGTATGACGCTGAGATCCAGAGGAAGAGGGAGACACGCACTGTGCGAGAGATCTACGCCAAGATTATCCTCGGGTAAGGGCTCTGTTGCATATTGTGGTTTAGATATAGTAGTATGTAGTAGCACACCGAGTAGGGGGAACTGCCACAAGTCAAATATCTGCTCAATCTGCTGCAGTGGCAGGTGATCCATTTGTGGTCCCATTTTTATCTACATGTCACATTTGTTGGGTTTTTGAATGCCACAGTAACAGGTGGGCAGAACTTAATTTCCTTCTGCTGTATGAAGTACATTGCAGAATATGGTACTATGTACTGGTAACATTTTAAGAGGTTGGGGTATTTGTCACTTTCTGTGGATTTGGATCTAATTTCTACCTAAAGGGGGGGAAGCACATGTGTCTGTTGATGCAGTATACAAAGTATATTGCCTTACTTTCTATTTATTTGTTTTTAGTGATGCTGGTGACTCTCTTAATGACTGCCGGATCATGTTCCTGACCGAAATCTACAAAATCGAGGAGCCTGGTTCTCTGGGTGACACCCCAGCTGGATCTGAGAGTCCACTCAAAAGTAGGTTTGCACTTGGTGTAAAGTGTATTTTAGTAGCAATTGACAATTTGAATCTTGTTAATTGGTACATATGAAACCTGCACCATCCTATTGAAAATACTGTATAATCAAATAGAACACATTATCTAATGAAATGTTTGTGTTTTTCAGGATCAAATGGCCCCGAGTGCAAGCACTGTAAGGATGATCCCAAAAAAAACTGTCAGTGGTGTAATTGCAAAATCTGTGGCATCAAGCAGGATCCTGACAAACAGTTGTTGTGTGATGAATGTGACATGGCCTTTCACACTTACTGCCTGAACCCTCCGCTCACCTCCATCCCAGAAGATGAGGACTGGTCAGTACTATCAAATGCAGAATTTTCTTTTAAATACATTCAAATATCCTGAAATGCAGTTATTTGTTGACAATTAAGGAACCATCTTGTAGCAATTGTGACCTTCATTCTACATGTCATACTGTCGCAGGTATTGCCCAGGTTGCCGTAATGACGCCAGTGAGGTTGTGTTGGCTGGAGAAAAACTGAAGGAGAGCAAGAAGAAATCTAAGATGGCCTCTGCCAGCTCCTCCAGCCAGAGGGACTGGGGCAAGGTGAGATGATTTTATATTGGCAGTACATACAGTATGTGTCAGACACAAGTTTACAGTTCACATCCTCAACCCCAAATGGCTACGATACTAGATGTTAAACAAATTCAAACTATGTTCTCTCTCTCTCTCTCTCCCTCCAGGGAATGGCCTGTGTTGGTCGAACTAAGCAGTGCACTATTGTCCCGTCCAACCACTACGGCCCAATACCCGGCATCCCCGTCGGCTCACTGTGGAAGTTCAGAGTGCAGGTCAGTCCACACAGCTGGAGAGTATAATTAATGCTGTTTGGGGTTTTGTGGTAATTTGTTCCTATGGCCAGCAATAATGTTTCAATTCTTTGGCGTTTCTAGGTCAGTGAATCTGGCGTCCACAGGCCACATGTAGCTGGGATTCATGGCAGAAGCAATGATGGCGCCTACTCTCTGGTCCTGGCAGGAGGCTATGAGGATGACGTGGTATGCTGTGTTTTTTAGAGTATGTAGTAAAGGGGCTTAACTGATGTGTGTCTCATTATCATTTAAACCCCATTTGTTTCTATTAACATAACCAGGTTTTTAAAGTGTGTAATTGTGTTTGTGTGTTGCATTGTAGGATGATGGTAATGAGTTCACTTACACTGGCTCTGGAGGGCGAGATCTTTCTGGAAACAAGAGGACTGCTGAGCAGTCGTGTAATCAGACACTTACCCACATGAACCGGTATGACACTAAAGGACTAAACATATAACTGTTTAATGTTGTCTGTTTTTGTTTTATTTTATTTTGCATATGTAAACTGTCTGGTCCTCACCAGGGCGCTGGCTCTCAACTGTAACATCCCTGTCAACGACAAAAATGGAGCTGAGGCTAAGAACTGGAAGGAAGGCAAACCGGTTAGAGTTGTGCGCAGCTGCAAGGGTCGCAAGCACAGTAAATATTCCCCTGAAGAAGGAAACAGATATGATGGGATATATAAGGTATGCAGGAACACTGGATGTATGTACTATTGATCTATTAATCATTGGGTGACAATTCATTCATTATGTTGACAAACTTGTCATTAACTTCTTTCAGATAGTGAAGTACTGGCCAGAAAAGGGAAAGTCTGGCTTCTTGGTCTGGCGGTATCTGTTGAAGCGTGATGATGATGAGCCGGCACCATGGACCAGAGATGGCAAGGAACGCATCAAGAAGCTCGGTCTAACCATGCAGGTAAAGATGATGATTCAGGGGTTTTGTTATTTCGTTTTTAGGTGTGTTAGGATGTGATCAACTCCTAATTAAATAAGCAATACTGGCTTCATACTCAAAACTAACAATACTTTTAATGAAAAACCTTCCACCTCTGTCTGCTTTGCTTATTATGCCACTAAACCCCTCCCACCAAACCTACAGCAGAGCAGAAGGAGCCAGTTGCCCTTCATGCTTCAGATGACTCGCTTTCCATGGCAAGGTGGCATCTGGAATATAGTGACAGTTTCAGCAAATATGCCTAAAAGTTACCTACTACAGCTTTAAGCATGAAATGTGCAAAAACATTTGTACTTTTTATATTTCAATTTCACATTACCATGTTAAAGTACAAGCATGTTAATATTCTAACACATTTAATTGGGTAAGTATAGTGTAAATCCATGTTAACCTGCTAAATGACCTGTTAATAAGCATGCAAAGATTAGCTGTGCTTTGAGCTGATCGCAAACAATATCATGAAGTCAATTAAATGGACTCCATCTTGTTCCAGTATCCTGCTGGCTATCAGAAAGAGAAGGAGAACAAAAATGAAGTGGAGGAAGCGGCAGCAACACCCAGCAAAGCGAAGAGGAAGAGAAAATCTCAGGGCAGTGGTAAGTTCTCTTTATGTGTCTGTTGGGGTGTATTTGTTTTTTTAACCTAGTATTGAACAGGGTTTCATACAAGACTGCTGCAAATCACCCCCGAGCCATGCATACCTAAGCATAATCAGCCACCTTTATATTCCACAACTCCTTAGTGAATTTAAATTGTTTTCTTTTTGTCAGACTCAAAGACCTCACCAGCCAAGACTACTAAGAAAGTAAAGGTAGAAGTGTACAAGCTTACCAAGGAACAGAAATCCCTTATCAAGAATGATGAACAAAACAAGAAGGTGTGGGATGAAGCCATGGGGTCACTGTCTCTTGGGCCGGTGAGTATGGTTGCATATTTGGTTACGTCACTAGCAGTTTCAAAATGCTTAAGCTTATGTTTGGGGAAACTGTGGCCTCTGTTTGTTCTACTTGTGGATACGACTAACGAAGCAGTAAATTCAGCTTGGAATTTCTAGACCTTTTCAACAGTTTAGCGATAAATTAGTGGAGTAGAGTTGGAATGATACCCCAGCATAACAGATTTACAACAAGCAGATGCATAATACATCACAGTAGTTTGACTTGGAATTTCCCCATTGTGGGACAAATAAAGGAATATCTATCTTAACTAGAAAAAGCCAAATATGGTATTTCCTTGTATACCTTTTGGAAATTAAGAGATATCATCATGTTGTCAGCAACTTGTGTATCTAGAGAACTTAAAACAAGAAATATCAACAGTGCTCTTGCATGCAAAGTTCTATTCACAATACATCTTAATTAACTAAAAATAGCTTGTCTGAAACATTTGGTTTGTGTGGAGCTTTGTCAGTGCTGATTTTTCTGTTATTTGAAACTGAAGTAAGAAGTAGTTGTCTCCTTGTAATTTTTTTCAAATGATAACTGAGTTGTTCTGGAAATATCTCACACTTGAAAAATCTGAAATAGCTCAAGGCTGTCTGTCAAAACCTACTATGCTGTCGGCTACTGAGAACTGCTTTAAACCTGCTCTGGGCAGTTTAACGATAGAACAATTTGTAAGGTCTTGTCACATGTGTTGTTTCTGCAGAAATTCTTGAACAAAGTTGAAGAAGTTTTCCTCTGCATTTGCTGTCAAGAAGTGGTCTTTCAGCCCGTCACCACAGAGTGCCAACACAATGTCTGCAGGGTAAGAAATTATCATTGTCTCAAATGTTGGCATCCCATGGGACTATGGAAAGTTGATTTACAATTCAGTTGCAGGTGCAAAGAGTGATAAACAAAGACTTAATGGATACACTGTTGGAGTACATTGTGCTTAAATAGATGAGCTTTCCGTCTGTATATTTAAAATACAGAGGGCAACAGGGAAAACACTGGGTAACTGCATACAATGTAAAAACAAGTTTCCAATCCTACCTCTTAAACTGTAGAGGGATGGTTTTTTTCAGTCAATGCTATATGACCTAAAAGGTGTTATTTTTACTGTATTGCACTAGTGGTGGGGTGAGAACTGCCATCTTAATGTCATGTTGCGTAGCTGTGGTAAATTCATCAACACATCCCTACCATACACCCCCAAAATGTCACTGAAACCGTCAAATGTCATTCTGGGAAATGCAGGAAACCACTAAGTAAAAACATGTTACAACAAAGGGAATTTTCACAGGCTGATATTTGACGGTATGAGAGGGCAACTGTGAAACAGTGAAAATGTAATTTAAAAAAGAAAACAAAAACCGACTCTGAGAACTAAAAACAAACTGTTGCTTTTTACTCCAGGAATGCCTTCAGAGGTCCTTCAAAGCAGAGGTGTACACCTGCCCGGCCTGCAGGCACGACCTGGGCAAAAACTACTCCATGGCCGTCAACAAATCCCTGCAAGACATTCTAAATCAGTTTTTCCCAGGGTACAGCAACGGGCGATGATCATTGGTTCTGCCTACTCAACCCTCGAGGAAACGTGATGTAAACTGTAAGGGGAATTTTCAGTAGAGGCAATAAAGAATCAGTTTCTCTTAATATATTTTTTATGATTTATAAAACTACAAGTTTTGTGGACTTCAATGCTACCATTTTTCGCCTTTTTGATCTGCCATGATGTGTAGTTAATGATAATTGGAAGTTCCTTTGTAAGTGTGCCATTACTCCGTTAATACCTTCAACCGTGATTTTACTCCCAGCGTTTTGTTTTGTTCCATTAACTAATGCTAATTTTATCCATAATGTAAAATGTTACTTATAACTACATCCCTCCATGTGTAGCACTCTTTAAGGGAACGTTACGTCAAAAGTGGTTTAGCCGTTTGCCCAACTTCTTTGGAGATTCTTTTGTATACGACTGTTGTTAGAGTCTGGATCGTATCTGGTCTGCCGTTAGTTTAGCTGTGGTTGGTCGTCGTTTTGGTGCAATTCTCTGATCTTGCAGTTGCTGGTCTACATTCACATCTGACCTTTAAGACTCTGTTAAGTGCCTCCTGTAGTTGTGTACTTGTCTGTACTGTACTTTTTAAATTCCCCCTGCTTATTCTGTTTGTTTTTTACAGACACAGTGCAGGTCGATTTCCTGTTAAGAAATCAGTTGACACACAACTAGAGAAATGGACTATATAGATAATGTGACACTTTGTTTGTCCTGGCATGATCAGATGATTGAAATTGCACCAACATATAATTTCTAGAGAAAATAAGTTTTCTGAAACTAAAGTTGCTCCATAAAATGTGGACGAGCTCTAACATACAACCACAAACTGTTTATACAACCACAAGTTAAAAAACAAAATTCTGCTCCTCAGATTTCTGAGACAGTGTCTTGTCGGGGAGGGGTGTCATCAAGTGTGATTGGCTTTTCTAACTTGTGTATTGGTTCCTTTAAATGTTTTTACATAGTAATTTTTATATTTGTATATGAAAGTTGGTTTAAAAGTTACTATGAATTTGATAAAACCTTGATAGCTAAACATGATAGATTCTCGAGGCCATTATATTCTTTGGTATAGAAATGTATTTCCCCATGTTTTTGAAGAGGTTCACTTTTATAAAGCCCAAAGAAGCAAAAGTGCTTAACCAAGAGTGTAATGTAGAACTCCCATCTATCTAGCTCTTTAGACGTTGTCCCTGATGCTCAAACCTAATTGAGTCTAGAAACTGTATGTTTTTGTTTTTTTGCGAAAATAAAAATTTGTACTTTTGACATCTTTTATAATCTATTACTGCCATTTGTTGGGGGGCTATTCAGTCAGATTTTTGTGTCTCCTGTGGTCTCTTGTAATACCTGACCTCATTTGAAAAAAAAAAAAGAAAATGCTTGCATTAGGTTGAAACATTTAAGGAAATTCCACACACTGTTCCTGAAATTTGATATTGAATCGGCTAAATTATCTGAATTTGTTATATATTACTTTTGCCGTTGCCTTTTTATTAATATTTGGTGTTGAATTTCAACAGCAGTGTGTGTGACAATGTCCATCCACATATCAGCATTTTGATTTTTAACGGAGAGACAAATATTTGCATAGACCGGGAAATGTATATTTTCAGAAATTGTATAATTTTAGTCCATTTTAGTTTTGATATGTAGTTTTAGAATTGCTTGCACAGGTTTGGTGCAAAGATTTGTCAATACATTTTCAGTGTTATTCAATAAAAAAGTGAAAATGAGGTGGTATTCATTTTTTTTTTTTGTGAATGTGTTTTTCTGGGGAGGGGGTGAATGAAAATTAACTTAAATATTGGCCTTCCACATCTGTCTTGAAGATTTTTGCCATAACCTTTACCTAAGTAATGAACTGTTTGTACCTTTTTTTGTTATAAATGGAATAAAAAGACCAGTGAGTTTTTGCAATGTTGGATTTAAAGTACAAAACTGATGTTAAACTATATTTCTTATGTTAAAAGGTAGAAAGTCAAGATTCACACTGGATAAGGAACAATAGAAAAGAGCATGATAATAAAGGTTTTGGACAAACTCTTAAACTCATTCAAGCATTATGAGGCTACCGGTTAAAATGTTCACCTGCACTGAGGGTGTTTATTTCCCTGATGGTCGACGAGTGATAATAGCCTTCAGCGAACCCGGCAGTGTCTACGTGCGAGGCGTGCACATCGGATAAGCGCAAGCACCGAGGACGAGTAGTAGTGAGCGCCTGTTTTCATTGGTTGGTTTGTGTGTCTATCACCGAATGAACCAATCAGATCGCTGGGTTTATGACCGAGAATTCTATTATCGGGCTGGTTCGACCAATCGCAAGACGTTGTTTCTGTGGGGGGGCGTGACTGCCTATAGCCTCTGCTTGCTAATGCTAGAGGAAAATCGATCCAGGGAATTTTTTACAAAACGAAACCACATCGATTGAACGAAACAGGGAGAGGATAATACTTTGCTGCAGGAGGTAATATTTATCCAAAATGGATTAATTTTATTCAATCACAAAGACCGTGTTCTCGTGTAATAGTGGTGTGTGGTGTCTGTCGTCGCGGTGTTTTGTTTTTTCTAAATGCAGATATGGAAGTAGCTAGCTAGAAGCGAGCCAGTGTTTGCTAAGACTAAATAAACGTTAAGATACGACGGACTGTTTCTCGGTTTAAACGCTCGCTGTTGCGTATTCGTACACCTTTAACGAATTTCATTGAAGGCAAATATGAGTTCTGCATTTTACTCATTTTGAAGCGTTTCAGCTACAGTTATTTGTTCGGTGTCACCTGAGATAAAATGCTAACAGTTTATGTTAGTTGTGCAGAGCCATCGTCGCCCTTAGCAGCAGCAGCAGCAGCAGCAGCAGCCTGTACTGATAGCTCCTTTTAAAGCGAGCAGCGTTGTTTACTCCAAAAAGCAAGATATATGAATTAACTGTCAGGAGGATAAATGCAGTTTGTGGGTATAAGCATCTCCGTGTTTATTATGGAGGGCAGCGAACTGCAGTGTTTAAGTTTCAGGCCTAGATAAGAGTTAAAGGGGTTGTGTAGGCCCCTTTTTGTTGTGGTTAGACAGCTGGGGGTCATGTGGCCTTCCTTCCAGCTCCTGAATAGGTCAGCACCGGTTAGAAAAAGGGACCTTGTTTGTGATACAAAGTTGAAAACGTGTCTATATGAGAAAGGAAAACTAGCTGTAAATTGTTACTTTGTTTATGAGCAGCCAGTTATTTTGAAATCATACTCTTTGTCACTAAGCAGGAAACAATATTGTGTTGGAGAGGAATTATAATATATTAAATTCAGTAGAACATACTTGTCCCTTTTTATTTTTGTATTATTCGGCTGCTTGAAACGTGACAATTTCGATTCAACCTTCCAGCATATTTCCTGTACTACAGACTACAGGGTGTTTGTGCTTCATGCAAATTACTTGTTGAATCGTCTCCATTTGTCTTGTTCCTCCTGTTATAAGAACATGCAGTACAAGAAAAAACTAGTTCACATTTAGTGTTATTTTAAAGTTGTGGGTGGCAGATAGGGCACTGTGAAAACTGTTTAAGTCTTGCAGAGGAAAGGTAGATGTAAAATGGGTTAATATTTTTTATATATAGTTTTTAATAATAGTTTTTTTTAATGAATCAATTTCATAATTAATTTTATTTAAAACATATTTGGAACTATATCTAAATTTAATTTACAACCCTTGCATTGTAAATGACAATTATATATATATATATATATATATATATATTGTCAAGCGTTCTGAAAGTGTCAGTTTTGCATTTGGGGACAGCCATTGAGAAAATGTTGATTGAGGTTTTTTTTTTTTTTGGTGGCACCTGTGTGGTTATTTTCAAAAAGATAACTTGTTGTCACCCGTTTTATGAAACAAACTGTTGATTCCATGTCACCTGTTTGCTTGGATACAAAAAATTGTACATCTTTGATGCATTGCACTTTTCAAGAGCACAAAACTGCATTCTCTGCTGACATCAAACTACTTTCTACTCCCCGTTGACAAAAGCCATGCTGGGTGCACCTTTTTACAGAAGTTATCATTCTGTATACGCTCTGATTTAACTATTAAATCAATAAAAGTATTGAATTAAACCTGTTCGGGGTTTCCATATATGTAGAGCTGGGTGATATGTTTGCAATAGTTGTAGGATACTAAATTGTCAAACTAATGTTCAGAGCAATGAAATGTTGCCCGAAGGCCATGGTTTACCAACCAAACAGTCTCCCACAAACACAGATGTTAGTTTTGTGTGCCTTGGCTGGCTGTCCTTGTTTGTAATATTTTGGAGATGTTTGGTCAGATTTGACATGCTTTCAAATGCACAATAAAAGTATAAATATAGTAATTATAGTATTTTCCTGTGTGAAGTTGCAGCATAATGGCACTTAATAAGTTGTATACCACAATATCGTTCATCAAATCGCTCTGAAAGTGATCACAGGTATTTATTGCCACTGTGATTGTCTTTATAGTGGTGGTGTTGTAGTTATTGTTATAGTTCTTGGTTTGATGCCCTGTGCAGTTAGTTAGGTAGTTTTAAAAACACCTTCTGAAACGACTGCTAACAACATTAGAATATACCCTGTTGTTGGAGAATGATTGATTGGTGTGCCAGTGGCTTTTAGAGAGTGCAGCAGTTTTTTCTTCTGACTTAATGGACACATTTTATGAAGTGGACGGAGAAAGGAAGCGAGATAATAGCCATATAATATATATTTCATATTTATATTTAGTAAGAGAAGTAACATGTTGATTTTATGCCAAACAGAGAAACAGAACAAGTGTTAAAACAGTAAACTGACGACCCCTGAATAAAAACGGTGTTAAATGGTACATGGATTATCAAGATATTTGCTGATTAATTTTCTTTCAGTTGACAAATAGATTCATTGACTAATTGTTTCAGCTTTAAATTAAAGGTTCCTGGAGCATAGTTGTTTGGCCCCAATAAGCCTGTGCTCCAGTGGTTCAGGTGGCCTTGGGGCTATCAGGATGGAGTTTTCTGTACTTTGTGTTGCCCGTTGGTCAAACACAAACCTCAGGGCTGCTACAATTTAAACAACTTCAGTTCATACAGTAAGCAAGCACTAGTTGCCAGTAGTATCAATATTAGGACTAGGCGGGGGAATGTCCTGTAAAACAAAGTAATAGCCTTTCTGACTAGTGCAAAATGAGTGAGGTAAAGGGGGGAGAGTCTGTGGACGACAGAGACAAGACAATTAACCTGGATGTAGCTACATCACATAGTCATATCCACGTACAATATTCTGAGTTGTTATTAAATATTTCGAAACTAGCAGCAGCTACATACTTTTGACTGTGCTTGTTTGACGTCTCACGTAACTTGCATCTGCAGCTTTATCAAGGTGCAGAGACACCTGTATGCAAATGTGCATCGTTAAAAAACATAAGTAACTGATACATAAATAAATATTATTGAACGTGAGCAACAAAAGAGATTGTCGTTGAAATGTCAAACAAACTAGGAGCAACGTGCTTCTGTTGTTATGATCTCCTATTCTTTGTACCAGCATTTTATGTTCTGGCCTTTACTTTGTTCACTTGATTAGCTCTTAAAAAAGCCTCCCATGTTTTGTGGTCATGGTGGAAAAAGTTGGATTATTTCAAGTTAAGAAAGCACTCTGCACATTTAGTTAAGGGGCCATCTCCCTACTCACAACTCACTGCTTACAACATGACTGGTCCAATGCTGTTTTCATGTACTGCACACCCCGGCATAAAGACTTGAAGAACCTGACATTTGTGTTGCTTAACACTTACATGTTGTCTGCCTTGCAGCTGCTCCTAATTTGGTTTGTAAAAAGGTCATGGCAGTTTGAAAGAGGTGGAAATAGAATGAATAATCACTGATTGCCCATGCCCTCTCCTCCAGGTCTACCTGCAGCCCTTACGAGACCCAATGGCTACCGACATGCCCATGGACACGGTGCCGGCTCCTCACCCTGCCCCAGCCGCGCCTCCTGACATTACCCCAGCCTCTCCTCCTGATCTCAGCTCCAGTGCAGCCCAAGATCAGATTCCCATCCGGCAGCCAGCAGTAGCTGAAACCCCTGACACAGCGGTGACCTCAGAACATGATGCTGCTCCAGATCTCACCACGGCTCAGCCTACAGACTCAGATGTGGCCCCAGGCCTTGTTCCCGGCTCTGAGCTGCCCTCGACCCCTCTGCTGCCACCACTGCCACCAGTCAGTGCCAAGAACCCCAGCTGCAAGATCATGACCTTTCGGCCCACTATGGAGGAGTTCAAAGACTTCGCCAAATACATTGTCTACATGGAGAGTCAGGGAGCTCACCGTGCTGGGCTGGCAAAAGTAGGGACAGCATACGTACATATACATACTGTAGTATGTCAGTATTGACAAATGCCTAATACAAGTTACACAATGTGCTTAAAATTACTTATTATTTATTATTATAAATATAGTTAGAACATTTTGATAAAAGCAAACACATTTTGGCATTTTAGTAGCTGAAATCAGCAAATGTTTGGCATTTTATCTTATGTTGATTTAAATAATGAAATAATAGTTTTGTGTTATCTGAGTTTCAATGGTTCAAACTGTATACAGTGGAATTAAATAGGATTTGAATGTCCTGCCAGTTTGGAGAATTGTACCAGCCTCCAATAATGTACAATTAGACTTTAATGGGCTGTCGGTAACATTCGTGTTGAGTTTAACTTGTGGCTGCAGGTCATTGTAAAACTCAAAAAAACTTTAATGTCAACTCACTAAATGTAAATGTAAACGCTAACAATCTGCCTCCTTCACCAGGTGATTCCCCCAGAGGGCTGGAAGCCGCGAAGGTCCTATGACACCATCGAGGACATGGTGATTCCAGCTCCCATCACGCAGGTAGTGACAGGACAGTCTGGTCTGTTCACTCAGTACAACATCCAGAAGAAGTCGATGACTGTAAGCGAGTACCGCAAGCTGGCCAACAGCAAGAAGTAAGTCGGTCTCTGATGCAGTGGCTTCATTTAATGTGGTTGCTCTGTTTGTATACTTTAAGAGTGTTTTAGAATGGGTTGACACTGATAATGAGAGGCTTCTTTGTTGCTTATGTCTTCCCAAGCAAAGTTTTTGTAAAAGAATGAGCTCACATGTAGTCGAGTTTTCATACATCTGATGAAACAAATATGCTGATACAGTCTTTAGGATTTTTAATAAATAAAATACACTTATCCAATGGTTTAAGCTTAGTCTATGAGTGCCTAAGCTCATAGACTGCTCTTCAAAATTGTTGTTCTGCCTGAGTTTTAAATGAGTAGGGATGGACATTTGAAGTAATTTCCATATTCAAGTACTTGCATTGAATTATTGGGTACTCACCAAACACACTCACATGTGTTTATTTCAGACCCTATTCTTATGTTAAGGATAGAGTCTGAAATCCACACTTCAGTGAAAATGCGGTTAGGGTCAGGGTTATCCTACCTTGCACTGCACAGACTGTAGAGATGAGCTGTTAATTCATTTGGTTGGTAAAAAGGCTGTGACCTTTTCATCTGCAACCATCTTGGCCCGTAGGCTGTAACAAGTGTTCATTTAGTTCAGTTCACAGCACTTTCCTCATACATTCCCTCTACTCTTGAAGTTGTTATTCGCCATGATGGTAGAATGTACTCTGGCTCAACAATCAGCTTGTGATGAACAGGAGCATATCCCGTCACCATCGTTGATATGAGCCGGCTAATCTCTGCCCTGGTTGCTTCGCGGCGACGCTTGCTAACATTTGCTAGCTTTAGCAAATGAGGTGGTAAGAGGTTACCGCCTCAGCTGTTTTCTCCTTGTGGGTAATCTGCAAATGATTAATCAGCCAACTGATTGTTTGTTAATACACAAGTTTTAATGTTACATAGCTTGCACTGCACAGTCATTTTGTCTACTTCGAGATACCGCCAAACATCACTTTTATGCTTAGTCGTAGTTCTGCCTGCAATGTTCGATAAGTCTTGTGTGACTGAAAGCGCTGAACATTATCTGCAGTCGCGCAGACTTAAATGCGAGTACTTGATAAGTGGAATGAATACCGACGTCCTAATTAGTACTCATGCCCATCCCCATAACTGAGTTATGGCAACATTTACTAGTACTATTTTGCAAAGTGGCAGCTTTTCCTGATTTATATTACAATTTCTTCATTTGAAGATGATCTTGTCTTAAAGGAGATTTCATATTCTTATTTAAAAAAAATCTACTGATTACTACTATCTGAAAGCACTAAAATATGAAGAAGACCAAGGGAATTAAATACATCTTTTGGCACTGTATAAAGCCTTGTTGCTGTAGGTTTGTGTTGAAGTGTGTTTTCTGCCCTCTAGTGGTCCTAAAAATGCTTAAATGAAGTTCAATAAAGGCAATAGTAAAACCATATCTGCACAGTATATTTATTGAGGAATTTGTTATATTCTAAAAACGGTGCCCTTTTCCTCATTCTTCTTCCTTTTCTGCCGTTAAGAAGCTAAAAGCTATCATGTCAAACATGTTCTCAAACAGCACCTGTTTTTGTAAGAATGTATTTATCTTATGTTGTTCTTAACGTCCCTATTTTCTGTTTGTACATCTAAAGTGTGTAGTGATTAAAACCTGGCTAATTGTTGAACTGCTCATAATGCTGAATGCCTGTCAACATGGGGGTTTTAGTTAAGGGGGCCATCTCCCTACTCACAACTCACTGCTCACAACATGACTGGTCCAATGCTGTTTTCAGGTACTGCACACCCCGGCACAAAGACTTTGATGATCTAGAGAGGAAGTACTGGAAGAACCTGACATTTGTGTCACCAATTTATGGTGCAGATGTCAGTGGCTCCATCTATGATGAGGTGAGGGTTGTGTGTGTGCTGATTTGCTAACACTGCTTATTTCGCTATATACTTTGACATGACTGTTGCTCAGTAATTTCAGGACAAAATAGAATTTATGACGTACTCTTATTTATATGTTTTAACAGTTTTCAGAGACAGTGGACCTTTACAATACTGTGATTGATTGATTAATCCATTGTAGGGATTAAATACATTTCTTAAAAGGTAATTGTAATGTAATGTCCGTTAATCTAAGCTACTTTAGAGATTGTGTGTTTTGATTACTTTATTCCAGCATCTAAAAAGGTTTCTACAAAGTGATATTTTTTTGATACCCTGCTCAGTGAGTGAGGTACTATGATGACCAGAATCAGTACATTTTTGGTTGACTACAACACTACCTGGTGGTCATTAATACACTGTGAGGACCACTTTGAGCATAGAGACTACTCTGTACATGCTAATCATAAAAATTACTTTTGTCTCCATTCAGGACATTCAAGAGTGGAACATTGGCCACCTCAACACACTGCTGGATATGGTGGAGCAGGAATGTGGCATCGTTATTGAAGGTGTCAACACTCCCTACCTCTACTTTGGCATGTGGAAGACCACATTTGCCTGGCACACTGAGGACATGGACCTTTACAGCATCAACTACCTGCACTTTGGACAGTCGAAGTCCTGGTCAGTACTTTTTAATTTTATTTCTTTTTAAGGGAGCCTGGGCCTGATTTTCTGCCACTCAAATTATTTGTGCAGGTTTTGCTCTGGAGGACAGAGATCCGATCTCAATGAGGATAACTAGAACACAATAAAACTACTAGGTGTGAATGCAAAATCTGATTGTTAAATGTTGAAGTTATTATCAAAGTATTTTAAAACTACTACTTACACATTTTAAAAGTGATTTCATTCCCCTTGCGCCATTTCAATCAGCAGTTGCATTCTTCTTACCTTTAAATTCTGGACAGGACTTTCTCCACTGCATGCTTCTTTGAATTGTCACAAAGCAGCTTGAAAAATTAGGTCATACATTTTCCCATTTATTTCACATGTGATACAACTGCCCAAGAGGAGTTGTTTATTTGCTCTTAAGGACAGTGGCTGGATCAGGAGCTCTGTGGCAAACAGCAGCTGACATGTTGGCTCACACTGCTGGCATGCCAACAGCCAGAAGATTCTGCTTGCCTGATAGCATCTGAAATTATCGTACAGTGGTTAACAGCACCATCTAAAGTCCATGTGGAGTCTTAACAGGAACATAATGTGCCTGTATGGTGGAGATAAGGCAGCCATGATGAATACGGCAACGAAACCCTCTTTGAGTCCGGGTTATTTATTTGCCTTATCTATTTCAAATTTTATAAAGTTGCTTTTTAAGAATCGCATTTGTAATAAATGCCAGCTTATTTTGTTTGGTTTGTCCTTTCAGTTAGAGGTTTACTAGTATCATGCAGTTCTTTATTGGTAAAAGGAAACATTTGTACAGGGCTGCAACTAATGATTGTTTTTTACTCCCTGCTGTCACTTTACTCCTCGATAAATCGGTTAAGTGTTGGGTCAAAGCCTTTTCCAGTCCAAGGTGGGGTCTTCAGGTGTCTTGTTTTGTCTGACTGACTGTCCTAAACCCAAAGATATTCAGATTACAATAAAAGAAGACTGAAGTAATCAGCCAGTATTCACATTGGAGAAGTTGAAAGTCTTTGCAAAATTAAAAAAATTACAGCTTTCTCACAGCCTTCTGCATTAAAAATATAATTTGTAATGGTACCTAGTTGTAGAGATACTGGTATGAATAAACAGATCCCTGTTCCTCACAAACTTGCACACAGGGACAGTAGCATAGACACACACACTGAAGGTGATTATCAAAGCATAGTAGTCAGGACAGGAGCTTCTACCTGCTACAAGCTGTTGTCTGTGTGGTGTATGTTCTTCCTCTGTCACTTTTCCTGCTGTGTTATCTTCTTTGTATCATACATCAGGTTCCCTCAACCAGACCCTAACCGATTTAGCGCCCTAGGCAAGATTTTAGGTGGCCCCCCGTTGTATCGCAGTAAATTCCACTGCCAGTTATATACATACATATACTCACGCAAGAAACTGAATAGCTTTGTCTTTGACATTTTATTTTATTTTTAGAGAAACAAGTTGTTCAATCAAAACAGTTAACAAGAAAATAATAAATTAGAGGAGCTGGCCAGTCAGCAGGGTCTGTTGGTGCAGCCTTTATTCCTGATGCTGCATCACTGGGTTCTTCTGAGGTGGAGGCAACAGGAGGATCACTTGATGCTGTTGATGACTGTAGAGGGCCCAGGATTTGCAGGAGGTGGATTTAGATATTTCAACAGCGCATCTGAAGAGAGAAGAGGAATGAGTGACACAGTTGGGTGTTACAGTCTGATAATAAAAGAAATGATTCCAAGAATAAAATTAAATAATAAAAATGAAAAACCTAAGAGATGCATTACTTTCACTGTACTGTACATTAATGATATACAGTGCAATTTCTTCTGATATGCAAATTAGATTAGATTTAATCTTATTGTCATTACAGGGAAATGCTGATTAGCAGAATGCAAAGAAGCAGTAAACTGCAGTATAATATAACATATGGGAATGTATTAACATTAATGATGTGCACTTTAACATGGATGTAAAGTTTAACACTATAAACACACTTTAGACAATACTGAACTGTAACACAACAAACAACAAGGCTTACAACTCTAATATATAAAGGTGTGTGACTGTTACAAGCAGAGCAAACATTAGCTAACCAATAATAAATACAAATAAAATGTAGACAAATGTAAACACCTGCTGAATAGATCTAATCTTTACAAATGTCCCTGAGAAATATAAGGTGGGAGTATTATTTTTTTCCATAACAGCTGTAAGGCCCCTCATGAACTGACGTTAATAAAGTGTTATTATTGTTTAATAGGCTTTGCTATTTAGTTAAATTAATGTGGGCTTATTTTTTTCAGACTAAGAAATAATAGCACCAACTAGTTTTAGTATAAAAATATTGAAAGTTGCACCTTTTTTTTTTTCTTCCCCCATTGTGGTGCCCCTAGATAGACAGCGCCCTTAGCATTTGCCTATACTGCCTATGCCATGGGCCAGCACTGCCCTCAACCCATTTATCTCAGTGAATTAGTCTACTACTCATGACAGACCAGGGGTACAGGGTTGGAAGTTTCTATTGGGTATTAAACATCACAACTCTGTGCCAACTACGTCATTCACAGTTCTCAGATTCTTGTTTTAGGTATGTTTTGCAGGAGCAACAAGCTTTAAACCTTTAGTTGGGAATCGCTGCTATAGATTAATGCTGTTTATTTGTGCTACTTTGAGCAGGCTTCTCATTGGTTATTTCCTATTTTTATAACCCTTTGATATATTTGATTGTGCTCGACATTCGTTTGTTTGGGATTTGTGTTTTGGCGTTTAGATATTAGGACAAAAACTTCATGAATAAGGCTAGAATTAAATTTTGTTAGTCTCTACCATTTACAGCTGTTTAAGGATTGTTTGCAAATGTTTTCCTCCTTTTGTTTTTCTCTAAAGAATTGCAATTTGTACAGTACATCTCTGAAGCATGTTGAACAAAAGAAAAACAATACATCATGACCTGATTTTCACAGGTGGTGTGAAATTTGAGCTTTCATTGTAACTTTCATTGTAAATTTGAGCAGTTATTTTGCTTACTTGCTGTGCATCATTATTACATTTCCTTCTGTTTGTGTCATTCACCCCCAGAGGTCCCTGGTACCTGCGGAAAAATACTTTTTTTTCTTTTCCCTTTCTGTCGCTTGATTTTCGTCTGTGTGTGTTTTCCTTCTTTACTTCACTTTTGCTTTCCATCCATGGCACTGCAGGTGGTGAGCAGACCCAACCTCCAGTCTCAGAGTAGAAATACAGTTTTTCAGAAGTGTGTGTGCTGTGTCTGTGTGTCTTTCTCCATTTGCTCTCTCACCTGCCTCCTTTTTGTCACAGTATGCTTCCCCACCACCTTTCTCCCACTGGTGTGTGTGTGTGTGTGTGTGTGTGTGTGTGTGTGTGTGTGTGTGTGTGTGTGTGTGTGTGTGTGTGTGTGTGTGTGTGTGTGTGTGTGTGTTCGCTGCTGTGTGTGTGTGTTATTTTCCCGTTTCTTTTTCACACCTCTCACTGTGAGTGTAAAGTGTGTGTGTGTGTGTGTGTGTGTGTGTGTGTGTGTGTGTGTGTGTGTGTGTGTGTGTGTGTGTGTGTGTGTGTGTGTGTGTGTGTGTGTGTGTGTGTGTGTGTGTTGCTGTGTGTGTGTCATATATGGTGTGTTTCCCTCTGTGTGTGTAAAAGTATGTGTGTGTGTGTAAAAATTAATTTAAGCTGTGTTTTAGTCTGGTGGGCAGTCCAGTGGTAGCAGTTACATGCTGAGCCATACAGGTTCACGCCTGCTTTGTTTTCGGTGTCACTGTTTGTGGATCTAATCAATGTTTATCTGTGCGTGCTTTGTAGGTAGTGGGTGTTACTATCTTCTCATGGCCACTTTAACAAGACACGTTGTTAAAGTGAGTTCTAAGAAAGACTGTATAGTATAAAACATAGTTAGGAAGACTTCTTGAGACATTTTCAATGACTATTTTTCTTTGTAGAAGGTTTCTTGTGAAAAGCTGAATAAATTAACATTTCAAGGCCTTTAAAAAAAAATTTTCAAACATTTAGTAAGTAATTGATAATTACAAAGACAAGTGCATGTCACTTTTTGCTGTTATTAATTGGATCATTTTAGAATATGTTACTGCCTGCCTGTATGGCTTTTCATAGCTGACATCTGCCCATGCTGAGTCTGGAGTTTTCCAACCCATTAATGCATATTAACTGGCTTCTGAACTTGCTTTCTTCGTCTTTATACTTCCACTTAACTTTGCCCATACCCATCTTCCCTGTCATTTGTTAAGACTAATTCACTCTTAGATGGATGGATGCACACCATTCGTTTCCTTTTTTAACGTGCTCTTTTTCTTTTTACGATTTTCCTCGCTTTCTTTGAATTCTCTTGCTTGGTTTTGTTCTCTCTCTATCACTCTCTCTTGGTGCTCACCAAGCCTTACCACCTTCAAATTGCGGAAATTGAATCATTTTTTCTTTTACACTTGTGTGTGGTGGGGTAATTACAGGCTGTTAAACAGAGCATGCCCCCTTAAAACACACACGCACACGCAGTCTTCTTCTCCCCTCATAGTGCAGCCGTTTGTGAAATTAAGTCCATTCCCCCCGCAACTCTGCTCCCATCAAAGTCAGACCCCACCATAACCACTACTATTGCCCCACACACACACACACACACACACACACACACACACACACACACACACACACACACACACACACACACATGGCGGATGTGCCTTAGCAGTCTGTCACTTTCTCTCTGCCTTTGTCCTTCCATCATTCTTTCTCTTTATTTTCATTGCTGAAACCCTCAATCACCCCTCTACCCCAACACACACAAGTGGATCTGCTGTCAGATAAAAGATTAGCCTTAGAGCATGTGAGGGGAAGGTAGGGAAAGGCTGACGAAAGAGAATTGAAAGGGATATTTTGAAGTGTACCCTGGCTGTAACTTCCCTGGAAGGGAGGAGTTTATTATGAATCCATCAGTTCTCAAGCTCCGCTATAGTCAAAAGTTTTTTAACCAGTTTTTTTTGTGTCCCAGAGGAGAGAAATGCACAGCCAAAGATCTGCATATAGCATTAGTTGGGTTGTATGGATGTTGGGTTAGGTGTTCTGGACTTTGATTTTGTGTTTGCAGTAATTGAAGGCATCCTTACAGGTCCCATACTGCTTGCATAGAGGGTCTGAGAAGTGCTGCCAGGAGCATTCCTCTGGTGTGTGTGTGTGGGGGGGGTGGGGGGTGGGGTGTGGGTGTGTGTACGCATGCAAGCACAAGTATAACAAAAGAGTTTTGCATGTGGAGATGGTGTAGACAATTGGAAAACGATATTGTGTCCAGTGTATGTTGGGTCACAAAAATGTAATAAATATTAATTATTTTAGTAAATATTTGAAGCAAACCATTGCTCAATGCTAAATACTTTATTTTAACTGATAACATTAATGGTTATATTGTTCAAACCATAGTTAAGGGAAGCCAAGTCCGAAAAACCATTCCTGTCAGTCACCTTGTTGTAATCCGTGTAATTGTAATGCAAAGCCACCAACCATCACTAGCAGCTGCCTTTTAAAATAAACTCTAATGTCAGTCCTAGTACACTGAATTCTGCTTATCCAAAAGAAACTTTACACTGTTTATTTTTGTTTAAAGTGTTAACAAACTACTTCAACAACATGGCATTCAAAAATAGCAAATTTAGACAATTTATCTGGGGAGACTCTAGGCTAGCAATATATCATATAACATATTGTATAAATAGCCCAAGTTGGAAGAACGGGAGTTTCTTCCCAGTTTCTTTGTGTAGTGAGAATGCAGAATAATGCTGCCATTATTATTAATAATACCGGTACAGTTTTATTGAATAAATAAATGTACATTGCTAGACTAAACATTCTGCTAGTGTTTTCCCCCACTGTCTTCTGCTATAGCAGAGGATGGCAATATGCTGTCTGACCTGCAAACCATTAAAGCAAACCACTTTTCATATGTGATCCGGCCGACATGTGCACTCAGTGCTTAAATTGCACTTGCATATAGTTGTCCTTTCTAAAAATCCCATGTTAAAAACATCTTAAAGAGACACTTACTCTTGTTACCATTTTAGTGCAGCAATAATCAGCGTACCTCTTTATACACTTGACCATGAAATGGAAATCACTAAATTACAAGAACGCACATTTATGCAGAATGCCTATAGTGGTGTGAAATACAACAACTAACACATGCTGCGCCGTTTCTCATGCCGTCATCACAGCTTAATTCCACATGCCAGGAATTCTGTCCCACCTTAGATAAATCATACTCTTCCTCAGAGAGGTGGAAAAGTTCAAGTCTTCATTTGCTGTGTGTTGTTTTATTTGTGTGATTCTCTCTCTGCTGCCGGAGTGACAGACGTGTTGCTGCCATGGCAACTGTGGCCTTAGGAGGGAGGGAACGGGAGGAGACGCGCCGATCTGCTGATTTGTGTAGTTTGATGCTGGGATGGAAGGGATCATCTGAAGGATGTTCTCTGGTGCGGGCTGCTCTGATGCGTGTACATTTACACAGAAATGTCTGCAATGTGATTCTTCCCAAGGATAGAAACACCTCTTTTTTAAAGGAATACTCAATTTTAGGAAATGCATTATTTATTATTTATTACCACTTATTTTCTGTCTTAGGGAGTAAGATCAGAAGATCAATATTATTTTTTTCTTCAAAACAGAGGTATATCCCTGATGTGTGCATCTTAGCTTAGAACAAACACTCTAAGGCACATTACTTAGCCCCGACATAAGTTACTACCAACATCACAATGATAAGTGCAGTGGAAGACAGGTCTATTAAATACATTGTAAAATGTGTTTTGAGCCACATAGCTATAAATATGGCATAAACTACTATCAGACAAGTGCTCAAAATACAAAAACAGTGATACAGGACAGCTTGTGTTGTGTAGTTGCTGACCATTGATAAGTTGGTACCAAAAAGCTATCAAAAAGTAAATAAAGCACAGTGATGCATATGAAGGAAGCACTATATCTGGTCACTGCCCGTTTCTCTGTGGTTTAATGAAAAACCAATTTGTTTCTTGTCACTTGCTCCCAAACAGCATATATGTTGATACTTGTGTAAATCCAGTCTATAATAATATAAGCCTAGAATAAAAAAAAAACACTGGAGGAGGTTGCACCCTTCTGAAGCTCTAAGCTTTCGTCTACAGGTGGCAGTGTGGCACTGTGTCTTGGCACCACTGACTGAAATTGACTTTGTCTTTTACTTTCTTTGTGTTTATTATTTCTCTCTCTCTCTCTCTCTCTCTCTCTCTTTTTCTCTCTTTCTTTCTCTCTCTCTCTCTCTCTCTCTCTCTGTCTTATGCTCCTGCTCATTCCATTTCTCTCTCCCCTTAAGTGTTGTTGCTTCTCACCATCTTTCCATCTTTGTTCTTTCTTTTTCATTTTCACTTCTCTTTCTCCCTTTTTTTTCAAACATCCATGCAGTTGTTGAGGGTTGTGTTAGGAGGGAGGAATGTCAGCTTTTTCCCCAGCCATTGTTCATTGCCTGATGTCTCTGGGGTGTTAGGCAACTCAGAAGAAAATAATTGCAGTAATAAAGAGCATTGTAATAACGTCACAAATGAACGGATCAGATTTGAGTTTTGCTGACTCCCTCCCACTCTGTTTTTACAAATAAACTCGCTTTCTAAATGTAGCTTCTGACATTTTTTGTAACAGCATATGCTTTACAGTGTCTACCTCATTATATTGACGTCTTGGTAACAGTAGGTATTTTGCTTTAACTGTGGAGCAACACTGAACCAGTGCCACAGGGCCACTGTATGTGTACAGAAGTAAAACATAAGCATTGATAAGAATAATGATTGATTAGCACAATGTGTTCATGTGTTAAACAGAAGGAGAGAAAGGGGTGATGAGGTGTTCTTCATGGGTAATTTCATTTCTTAAAACAGTTAATGCTGAGGGCAGTGAAATAACCCAGCACTCCCAAAACAGTAATTTCTCCTTGTCCTGCCCTTTACCGGTCATTTAATCTTTTCCACCCCTCGTTTTCCCCTTCTTGTTCCCTTTTTAAATTATAAATATATAATGAGTATCTAGACAATGCTGTAACGTAGGGCTGCATTAAATACTATTGTGTCAGCTTTACTTCTCAAGGTATGTCAATAGTTAACTCTTTTCATTGGCTGTTATTTGTGCAAATTAGATTGCTTGGATGATTTTGCAGTCATGTACCAACTTAGTTGTAGCCAGCTAGCAAAGTACACATGACCATGTGTCTTTGGAGTGTGGCATTGCCGTGTTACAGCTCAGACTGGTCTTAAAGAGTAAATTCAACAGGATAGAAATTCTGATCAGCAGCTGAGGAACAGAAAGAACCTAAAGGGTTCTTATCATTCTAAAATGATGATATAGCTAGTGGAAGAAGATGATTCAGAAAATGGAACTAAACACATAAGGCATGGTACACCTTGTTTTTTATGTTGCTTCACATGTCAAAATTGTGTGCTTCCTGTAATAATCGGATCAATTTGTTTCCCCTCTGTCTGCAGGTATGCTGTTCCACCTGAGCACGGCAAGAGGCTGGAGAGGCTGGCACAAGGTGAGGCCCTGCTGATGTTTTCAATTAAAATCCATTTGCTTTTGCCTATTTTACCCTTCCGCACCATGCCTCGGCTTTCTGTTTGTCACACAAAGCATGCACATGCACATTAAGCGAAGGAGCAAGTGCTTCAGACTGGTCAATACACACCATGAAATCATACACATGCCACACATCCAAAGCACACTTACTTGTTCTCCTGTGAAAGGGAGTAAGGGAAGTAAAGTAGCACCTCTCAGTTATACCCTGCATCATTCCTCTTGAGCACAGCATGCACAACACTGTTAAGAACCCTTTACCACTCACACTAAACCACCTTTCTGCTGTTTCTCGTCTTGCAGACATAGTAGTCATCACATTGAACTGCGTAGTATACGCTGCGAGCCACACATTGAAAAAATCTTTGGCATGTACTGAGTGGATGAGAAACTTTTATATCACACTTTCTCACCACATACAAGAACATAGAGTTGTTAGTCACCTGACGGTGCAAAAATTGACTTTTTGAGAAGGAGGAGTCGCTTGAAGAACAAAGTGTGTGCAGTCACCTGCACTATAAAGATCAGCAGGGCTGTAGATGGTGAATTTGGAGGAGAGGCTTGTTGAACTGAAGCCAGCTGCATCAACTGCCTGTTCTGCAGAATGAGTTGGTTGGTTGGGTATTTCTCAAATTCACACAATCGTGTGTGTCTCAGATAAATAGTCTGAAGTGAAATAGTCTTTAACCACTCTGCCTTCAGTGTTTCTTCATCCATCTACCCTTCTGTCTGACATAAGATGTCTCCTTGCACTTCTCCCTTTTATTTCCAACTCCCATGTTCTCGTCCTCCTCCTCCTCTTTTTATTCCTTGTTTGGATCAATGAGGATTAACTTGTGTATTGTATGTTGCTCAGAGTGAGGTATAAGATGTGGGGACGATGATGGAGAGTTGCTCAATCCCAAACTACATTAAATAGACACCGTTTGTCCTTGTTGTTGTGAAGAGCTGGAACAAATCGATGATCACCAATGCCACTTGATATCCTTCTTTTGTACGGTCGGAATATGTAACGCACAATGTGTGACATGAGACAGACAAGCAATGTCTTTAAAATAAAAATGAAAAACAGCCAAGTAATATTAAACATTAGTGTAAATGATGTTGACATACTGTAAGGATGATCACAGATTTACCTATTTGCACATGTACATGCAAGACTGGCTTGGACTATATAAATGGAAATCACAGGTGTAACTCATAAACAGTAGCCCCATTTCATGTGGATTTGCCAGTAAGTCACGACAGACTTAGTGGAACTGGCACACCTGAATGATATGCAGCCATTACTTGTGTTGTAGCCCTCCTAATCAATGTATGATTCATACTTAAGTTAAATAGCTGCAAAATCAGTATAAACAGAACCACTGCCTTGGATCAAATTGATTAATTTCGCATTAATAACTGTAATAATGGCTGCTTTCTGTTTCAGTTCCACAGCTCTTGTATTGTTTGTGTTGTTACTGGCCCACCTAAATGGAATGGAGGCACAATTAGTATTATTATCTCCAATTGTGCTTTTCAAATGTCTGCTGTAAGAAAAGCATCATTATATCAACAATTTAAGTCCTAGTACACAAAGTCTCTGCTGATTAAGAATCACCTAACAGTTGTTGTTGTTAAATGGCCATAAATATCAATAAGCAGATTTTAACTGCCAGTTACATTGTTTGTCAGGAGCGCTGATGCTCTGAAGTGCCCTCTTTATCTTTTCATTATTGTTTCAATATTGCAATTTAAAACTTAAATGAGAGTGGTTAGTCCTCGTTAGCTGATTGGGACAAGTATTTCATATTCTTAATTTGAGTTTATTAACTTAATAGTTCTGAATCTTGACCTGCAGTAATCATTACAAATAGCTTGAGCCATTGAAGCTAATTTTGAATATTTTTTCGTGTGATGTTTTGCTTTATGTCGTGTTTTCTGATATACTAATGGGGATTTTTTAACAAGATTGAGACTAAACCTAAATAGATTTGATAAGAGTATCAAAAAGGCTCAGATTTGATAGTACTGAATTTTAGAATACACACTGTAGACATTTTTTTATCACTCTTCATGTTTGGCATTGAGCTTTCAGTCACAGTCAGAGTGCAGCCTTCCTCTCTCCTCTTATCTAAGCAGCTGGCAGTGGGAGGAAAGCAATGCCAACGTTATTTAACAAGCACCCACTGACCTATCAAAGCCATCGTGAGCACAGGTAGCCAACTGTTTACGAGGTCCTAAAAAGCCAGTTATGAGCGTAGTAGGAATGCCTAATGGGGCTGGGACAATGGTCTTGTTACTTGAAAACTCCTCTCCAAACATTTGACACAGCGACAGCCGCTGCTCTTATCGCTCCTCATCTCCGCATTATTTTAGTCATGGCTTCACACTTACTGGATTGGGAGGAGAGAGGAGGGTGCAGGGTTGCAGGCAGGAACTTAATTTTCAAACTCAAAAGGACAGAATGACGCTTTAAGTTAATATTACCCCGCGGAGAGCTCAGAGAGCCAGCTGCATTTTAATGGGGATTAATACCCGGGCTCTGTCGGCACATTATTCACCTTTATCAGCTCCAACAAGCAGGCAGGCGATGGGAGAATAGAGGCCTTCTCTCCATCTCTTGCTTTGTAGGGTGGAACAGAGGCTGAAACAATGCAGTGAAAATGAAGGATGAAATGGGTGCCGATTATACTGTCAGTCACATTAAAGTTTAACTGGGTGGAGGCTTGGATGGACCCCCCTTTGAGGCACTGGCGGGTACAGACAGTAAAGAGTGGGGGAGTGAGTGATGGAGGAGAAACTCTTGCTTTTGATTATGCAGAGGCCGTCTGAGTGTCTCTGTCTCCAAGAGCAAACGTGAGCCTTTGTTTTAGTGAGAGTTGGGGCTTTGAAAACCCAAAATGTCAGAGGGGTATATTATGGTCTCGGAGCACTATGTGTTTTTAAGAAAGTGTGGTGGTTGTTTTGTAACACAAAAGGTAACATTGCAAAGTTCCAGCAGCTATATGCAAGTGGGCTTTTGATGGTATGTTTATAGAAGTAGTAGCTGCAATCACACCTATGCACTTTATACAGTTTGGCTGGTTTTGTGAAGTGTGATGAAGGTTTTTTTTGTTTACAATTGACCTTGGGGGTGTAGACATGCACGGCAGTTTTAGACCTCCTTATATTGTTTTGGGATTAATTATGACACCGTAAACAAATGAGACCGTGGTTAAAACAATTGGTAGCCTTTGTGATCCAATCTTGTTAGTACTGCTGCTTTCTAAAATTAATAGCTCAATGTATGTATACACAATTTACTGCCATTGCAAACGTAGACCTTCCAGGAAAATGTTTTCTCTCTGGTCGTGCTGAATAAGATAAAGATTTTTGGAAGTGACAGCAGCAGTCCCAGTTTTGTGCTGCAGCCTTTCTTTGTGACATAATGCAATCCCCTGAAATCCAACTCGGGGGCATACTAACAGTGCATTTACATGCACTTCGGTAATGTGATTATTCCACACTTTTGTCAGTAAATGAATTCACGCCTATGTCAATGAGAAGCTGGATTTCCTTTTCCAGTTTGTGGGATTAACAAAAAAATACCATAGACAGCTATATTTCTGTGTAATAGTTTAAGTACTAATGCTTTGGCATTCCTTAGATACTTACCTGCCTTACTAGTCCATCCCTGAAAACTGCCAAAAGAACCTCATGTGATCATGCAGCATGTAAACTGAGGTTTTAGTAATCAACACAACACATGTATGTTATGTCATTTTTCTTTTTTTGATTACTTACTATTTTAAAATGAGAACATATTCATAATTTTATTATGTCAAGTATTCTTGGTGTGAATTCATATGTATTGATTCTCGTAGAGGTTGATTTCTCATTGTTTTTGCGGGATTGTGGTCCAATACTGCAGTGCTGCAGTGTCAGTCATCTGCATTAGGTGTCAGAATATGGTGCAAATACTGTGGCAACATTGATGATTGTGTCCCCAATCCTGTGCCAGTTGACAGGCAAGGATCACAGAGCTAGGCAATGGTAAGATCAGGGGTTTGTGAGACCAGGAAACACAGGAAAACCTGCTGCATTGGTGTCAGCTTAACTGATAACCTTAAATTTACTGTACATCCCCCATTTGTCTGCTCAGCAATGATATTCTGTTACTAGACAATACCTCACATAGACACAAAGGAGAGACAATTTGAGTTTCTCTGGATTGTCAGTGAAACATCTTAAATTTCCCCTCTTCGCTGTGCCTTCCCTGCAGGCTTCTTCCCTGGCAGCTCCCAAGGCTGTGACGCCTTCCTTCGCCACAAGATGACGCTGATATCTCCATCCATCCTGAAGAAATATGGCATTCCCTTCGACAGAGTGAGTGGCCATTGTTCCACGTTGCATGACATAAAATTACTCATTTTGGTCTTAGTATTAGTATAAGTTTCTGCATTGTACAGCGGGAAAAAACTGTTTATATACAGATACTGTTACAATACTCATATGTCTGTAATAGGCCAATATCTGCTGATTATATCAACCAACCAACCAATCAACCGGTCAGGACAATCTCTGTTATCGTTAGACACAGCAGTATTGAATGAAAGTCATGCTGCTTGCATATAGGTAGAGCCACGCGCCTACCTTTTTAAAATGTGTTGACACAGCATCACTCATCATTCAATGTCCTCCCCTCTCTCTTGACTGCTAATTCAAGTGTCTAGCCTAACACTCCATTTAAAGAAAGAGATTGTATTATCTCGGGGTCACAGGACTGTAATATCTAGCATGTCAAGTGACTAAAGTCTACCTTGGCTAACTACATTAAATTGCATGTTTTTGCATTTTTTGCGTCTTGCATAAATGACAGAAAAAGTAAAAGAACGAATGACAACACAAGGGAGGTTAGTGAGTCAGATTCGATCCAAACATCGCAGCTGCTACAGGCTATAGTAATGATACAGTATGTGTAATGATCTTCTGTTGTGCCTGTCATAGAAAATTAATTGTCCTTTTTTTTTTCTTCTTCAACTTTCCATTTTGTTCTATTTAGTAGGCAGTATAAATCCTCACAGTGCATCAATTAATGAAAGATTGAAGAAAAAAAAAAAAACTGGCACAGAACAGGCATACAAAGTACTCCACTGTCAGCAGAGGGCCCCCGCCCCAACCCCATTTATCTCTTCACTCCCCCCTCAGGACGTCATTATCACAGCGAACATGTTACTTGTTACACACCTACAGTACCTCTCTCGATTCATGTGTAAAAATAAAACCGTCTTCTTGCGTTCTTGCAAGAGCAGAAAGGGATGTTTGATATCTGAACCACTGCCTTTAGTTGAGGAAGTTTATCTCCCACTCTCAGCCTCTACCCCTGTTTCTCCCTTCATGCCTGTCACCTTGTCTGGCTTGATGTGTCTCTTGATTGCCTGGATCCAGGCTTCACAGAGACGTTGAGATCCACAGCCAGACATATAGGGCTTAAGTTTTGGGGCAACACATCAAAAAAAGAATGTGCTTTACTTGTCCTCACATTTTTAAACTCATCACTTCTCAGAATAACACTGAGCTCATGGGAAGACACTCAACACTTGGAGCGGCAGTCAGGTTAGGCTGAATTAATTTTGCTCGCAAGTCAGAAAAGTTTAGAGAAAAGTTGTTTCTGAGGAGTTGAACTCCTCAATGGCAATTGTTGCTGATGTGAGACTCATGAGTAATAATAGAATTATATTTTTAACATTAAATAGATACTATACAGATGATACTTTTAACGGTCAGAATATTGTGAGTCACAGTTGCAAGTAAGAATTTAGTAGATTGGAAAACAGTACATCATAAATAAGGAAAAAAGCAAAGCACAAAGCATACACGTAGAGAATTAAACATTTCAGCACTCAGACATGTAAAAAAGGAATAAGTGAGCAAAAGTGAAAACTCTCAATTACAATATTTTGAGGATATAAAAAGTGGGCACCTAGTTAAGGCAGAGTGAAATGATGTCTGTAAAAATCCACTTAAACAAAACTGAGAAAACTCAAACAAAGTATTCTGTGTAAAAGGTTTTCAAATGATGAAAATGAAAATTTAAGGACTGCTTTTTAAAAGTTTCTTATTAAAGGTAGGAGGATCGATTGGCAGCAATAGAATATAATATTCACAACTATGTTTTCATTAGTGTATAATCACCTGAATATAGGAATTGTTATCTTATTGTTACCTTAGAATAATACTTTTATGGGGCTTGCCTGGTGGAGCTGGCACCAGTGTGGCAGGGTCCAGCCTGTCGCCCTTTGCTGTCTAATGGAGGCAAAATGCCCCAGGAAAAAATAAATAAAATAAATCTATATATGATTTTTTTAAACTGTTTTTTTTAAAACAAATTAAAAATAAGTTCAACAGTATGATTGATGATGAACCTAATAAGTTTTTATTTACCGAGCTAGTTTATTAGATGCATAGTTGTCTTTATTGGATTAGACACTGCAGTGGACAGCTATTTTCTCTTACATCTTCAGCTGAATTAAAAGAGGATTCAGTTATGTATCAATTCACAGACTTGGCCTGGCAATTTCAGCAATCTTTTGTTCACATGTTCACATGTACACATGTTACAAACTTTTAATATGTTGCATTTAAAATGTTTAAATCCGTGTTTTTTTGCTCGCTATGAACAGATAACTCAGAATGAAGGGGAGTTTATGATCACCTTTCCGTATGGCTACCATGCTGGCTTCAACCATGGCTTCAACTGTGCGGAGTCTACAAACTTTGCCACCCTGCGCTGGGTGGACTACGGCAAGATGGCTACTCAGGTAAGATGAAGTAGACTTACAGGATATATATTCAGTCATGTAGCAATAAAATGAAATCAGTGTAACAGAGATGACATTGTTAAATTCCATTTGGTAAAAATGTGGAGATTTAACAGAAAGACACACTCTTATGCCTAGAAACCCTGCCTAGAAATATTTCATTATTTTCTCTAAACTGTAAACTATTGGCATCAGTAGTATGAATCTATTGGAAACAAGATATGACATTTTGAAGTGAAAGAAGACATATCGTACATATGGTATGGCACATATATCTAACACTCCACTTGAAGAAGTTTGATCCGATGTGCGAATAAACAGCAACGTTGTCGCCATCTTGCTCTGGCTGTTTGGTTTTCTGATGGGATGAAGTAATAGATCATATCAAAATATAAAAGCACAGTCTGGTTCTCTGCTGCACACCATCTGTTACCGACACTAACTGTACCCTCGCATCCTTCCATTGACGCAAACTGCCGCTTTGCCTGTGGGCTGCTGAGCATGAAATTGACAGGGCATGGGTTGGTTGTGGACGGAAGCCCAACTACAATGTCCTCTGGAAGAACCTCCCCCCTTGTCTCTATCCTATACATTTCCACTTCATTTTCCTGTTCAGTTCCCCCTCTCTTCCCTTGTGTGTGAGTGTTCACACATATGTGCGTGTGTCCCTATTCCCTGCTTTCTCTCTACTTGGCTGCATGTCAGATTTATGAGGTGCCAGTTTGCAGAATTACATCTCCCTCCCGTCTCCCTCTTTCTCATTTTCGGCCTTCTTACTTTACCCGTGTGGCCACTTGTAATTTAAGAACCAGTAGTCCAGGCTCCAGCAGTCCTCCCTACATCCAGCCCAGTGCTCAAGGGAGCATCTCCACTACACTTGTCTCAGTCTGATAAAGAAGAGTGGTCCACTCTGCACTGCTAATCCGAGTCGACAAATCGACAGAGCAGTACCGCACACGCTCAGAGAAATGTGAAAGAGAACAGCTCGGCCGACGAGACATGCTCTTTCTGCCAGTCCATCTCTTTCTCCCTCTTTCTCTTAGTCTTTCCCAGAGCTGTTCTCATTCTCTTGGGATGGAGTGGCAGCATGGTGGTTACAGAGATTGTCCTGTGTATGTCCTCGAGCAACACCCTGAACCTATTCAGGGTCCCTCACTATGAATCATTCTGAGAAAGAGGGGAGGTCCAACCCCCCTTCACTGGGTGTGGTATATCTTCTCATCCTCATCATTAAGTGGAAGAATCCAAAGCCTTTTTTCTTGACTGCCTTGCGAAAAAATTATTTAGTTATACTGTTAGTATGGACGCATCTTAATACTGCATTTCTCTGTAGGCAATGTCTGTACATTGACTGGAATTGGTTACCTTTTTTTGGTATTTCATAGTATAGTAAACAAAAAATTGTTTTTTAGTCAGGTTTTCAAATACAGTACAATAATAAACTCATCCCTTAAGGAATAACTTTTGAAAGAAGAAGTAACCTTATTCTTTTTACAAATAAAAAGTTGCTGTTCTTGACAATAAAATGCAGCCTTGGCCAGTTCAATACAATCAGGGATTTTTCTGCTGCACACTTACTATTGTTGTTGTCTTATTGTTGTTATTTAATGTTAGCAAACGTGGCCACCCACTTGCTTTGCTACAATGAAGTCTGTCACTCTCTCTTGGTCTTTTAACTTAACCCTCTCATCTTTCTCCCACTGGCTCAGGCAGTCATCTGTTAACTTGTTTGGCTGTCTCCCCTCCCTCTCCCGCCCCCCCCTGCCGAGCTCTGTTCTGTCAGCCACAAACAGGACAGTGAACGATGGGGCTCAGGATCGAATTTGTCACTGTTTGGGGGCTGACAGCACACGGCGGAGAGGAGGAGAGAGTGAGCTTGGGCGTGCTTAATGTCTCAGTCTTCTTAAATACAAGCTCCCCAACTGCTGACCCATCTGTCTGACTTACTAAGCGTACACACACCTGCGGTCAAAGCAGGCCCACTGTCAGCACTCGTGTGCTGTAAGTGCATGTAATTAGACTTTTATTATTTCAGACATTGCAGTCTTAATTAACCTTGTCCTCAGCCTTCCTGACTATGCATTAGGTACTGGCCTTTTTATGTAATTTTTCCTTCAACATCTGACTCAGAGTACTTCAAACTAACATGGCTGTTGATTCTAATTGACTAGTGTAGGGATCAGCTTAAAAAGAAAACGTGCCAAGCATCATTACATTACCACCCAACATCACATTCCCAATAGATGCCAGGGATATAGGTCTCTTGTTTAATTTGAACAAAACTTTTAACAGGGTCACCAAGTATCATCCAGTGCTTAGGAAAACTCTCTGGTTAAACTAGTTTGTACCATTAGTCACACTGATTTACATACTGTACATGCAATTTTTCAATTAACCAAGTTTGGTAGAAAACATCCTAGAAATTAGCCCACTGAAGCACTGGACGTGGCAAAAAGGATCTTGCAGATTATTTCTGAAAATAGTTATGTCTGCTGCACCATTATGTTGCTGAATGTTAACAGTTTCTGTGTTCTGGGTCGGTAGTATTCTCAATGAAAGCGTCTTCTCGTTTGTTTGGTGCTCAGTCACACTTTGCTGCTGTTCCCCCAGGCCTCCACGGTGATTTTTCTGTCTGGAAGAGGAGCAGAAATCATCCTCCCAGTTCCCAGACTAAATCACATCACTTTTTCATCTTGAAAGTGAATTGCAGAGGTCTCACTCTGTCTTTTTTATATTTGTTTGCAGACGTGTCTTGTTTCGGAGAGCCCAGACATGCTGTGATTGGACATACTAAATTTTTATTAGACTTTGTTTATGTGCAACCTTTGTCTATGATAACCAATAAACAAAATGCATTCTTTCAGTTTTGTGGTAGGCTTACTGCATTATTAAGCAGATAGAATACGATTGGTCTTGTAGAAAACACTGCCTAGAGCCTTAGACAACTTGTGTTCAGACACAAAAACTTGATTATCTGCCACACAAACCTAGCAGTTACTCACATTTGGTGTCGTCATCTTGGAGTCTACCTTGACTTTCATTATCACATTAGAGACCTGTGAGACCTGTAGGTGCTTGTAAGACATGGGATAGCCCACAGGTAGTGTCTGTCACAGTGAACCCCAGTACACCACAGATCATACTTTAAGTGCAATTTCGAAATTAAAATTCTCACTGAGAACAACCCCTAATGAAAGTACTTGCATTTGGTAAGGCAGCACAATAACGTGACAAGCCCAGAGATTTCACGATTTTTTTGATGTTGGTGAGAGTTGCTATTCCAGGAGTTGTTGTTTTGTTTCTTGCCACATAGTGAGATTTGTACAGTTTTATCACAGTTGAAATGTTGCTGACATTTACAACAGAAAACTTGGTGCAGCATAAAAACAGATGCAAAAATACTTTCTGTTAGGCACACAGTCAGGTCTACAGTTGTGAAAGTCATGCACCACTTACTACTTAACATTTCTACACTGCTTACTGTTGTTTTTTAATATCTACCTTCTTTTCAGCACATTAGGCTTATGTTGTTTGGTAGAGGGTGTATATTAGGAGATAAAGAAGGGAAAGAAATAAGTGGGAGGGTGAGAAAAATGAGAGCATTCATTTAAACGTGGTCAGAATTTTTTATACAGCATGCATTTCAGCGAAAAACCTTAGAAACATTTGTGTAACAGACACAATCAAATAAAGGTTCAGATAATGTTTTGTCTCATTTCACAGTAGGTTTTAACAGCATGAGCAGCTGGATGATATACAGCCCTGCTGTGCAGTATATTCTACATTTTGCATCTTTACACAGTTTAATTACCTCCCCAATCATTCATTCTCAGGATCATCTCTCTAGTTATTTCTATCCTCATCAGTTATGCGATCAAAGAAAGCATAAATAATTTTGGATAATCACATTTTTCGAGCTACTGTGGGTCAGGTCAGACTAAAACCCTGTTTGGTTATTAGTGCTTGGCACATCCACTGAGTCCACTGATCCATAGAGAGTCCCCTGGCTCTAGGTTTTCTGTGGCTCCAACAATTTAGCTTCATTAGGAGCCCAAGTATACTTCAGGGCTCATTGACTGCCTGCCTCAGGGTTAGTTTTTGTTTTCACAGATCTTGTGCATCTCCAAATCTGTTTCCCTCCTCTAATTAAGTTTTTATATGATAATAAAGTGTAACTTTTCCTGGCCCTTGATGATGGCAACAATCTCCATAACCTCTTAATAGTTTCATAAAAATAAAACAAACCTTTATATCCTTTTTACAAATGAAAATAGGACATTCTGCCAGTTACAATCAGTATAGGAGCAATATTTATCTTGTGTTCTTTTGCGTTTGTAGTTTCCTGGTATGATGCTGTTTTTATTTAAGGTTTCATGATGGTAACAATCAGCTGTACCCATGCTCACTTGCCCCCCTCTGCCCTCCCACTTTCCACTCCAACAACCCCCACCATATTTTAATGTTTCCGTCTGTCAAGTGTTGTCTAGATGATATGTAGGCTGGATATTGTTTTGCTGGGGAGGACGAACTGCTGTGTTTCCAGTAATTGAACATAAGGTTCTCAGTACAGCTCAGGAAATAATAGGTCCAGAATGTAATACAGCCAGCAAGGCACAAAGAAAATATTTTCATCTCTCTCTTTCATCCCCCGTCTTTGTTTGTTCCCTCTCCTTCCTTATGTTTCCTTCATTCCCGAACTTCTTTCTGCTGTACCTGCCATTTTCCCCCCACACTCAACAGCTCTGTCGCTCCTCCTTTCTGTAGTCAGCAGAATGATTCATTGACTTGTAATGTAATTATGAAGGTTTATGGAGTCATATTGAGGTGGGTGTGGTTATAGGATGCAGCTATCACAGTCATTTACCTATGAGCTATCTGCACATTACCGCATTTAGCAAACTCTTATTACCTGCCATATTGTACTCGCTACCTACAAGAATAAATATGCGTCATAGAAATTTACAACCTCATGGGGACACTGATTATTGGCAAGCTCCACTGTACACTCATTTCCTGTTTTGATGTGTGTTATGTTTTTACAATAATTATTACAAATAAATGTTAATTTTCGAAATAACAATTTATAAAAGAAAGACTGAGGTTGAAAAATAATGTTTTGCTGACTGAAGAATTGGTGCCTGCTTATGTTGATGGACCAACTCCTGATAAACACATAGCAGTAGTGAATGGAAATAAGCATTTACTCACATTTTCTTTACTGATTTACTCGACTTTGGTTAAAATTTGCACATTACAATTACATAAATTTGGACTGAAACACAGCTACAGAGATGGAGATTAGAATGGTGTATAACTCAAATCATTTCAGCCCCAGTTACTGTCCTTCTACCCAAGTCGCCCCCATGAGCTTTTTGCTTTAAAAGTGACCAATTGCAGCAAGCTCAGGTTAGCTAACGAACATGTCTCTATTTACTCATTCATACACACAGAGCTCCTTTCACTCCATACTGCTGCAATATGTACAATATCATTCAAAAAACCTCTCATTAGTAACATTACAGTTGTCAGTCCTATACACTGGTAGCATGAATGCATTCTTGTTAATCCATATTGCAGATCTATTTGGGGTGAAATCAAGTTATGTCAGGTATATAATACATTTTTGCACACATGATATCAACTGGAGCATATTAATAATGTTTGCTTCTTTTATGGCAGTAAAACCTCTTCAGCAGGGAGATAAAGACATAACATACTTGTCATACACATGAATCTAATTATATTGATTATAAAACATTAAATTCTTTATATGAATGCATATTATTTAAGTTAAAGAACCATTTCTCTAGAAAGTGGGGGATTCTGCTCCTTCTCTCCCCCGCTGCTCTTTACCATTCATCCATGCTGTTCTTTGGGCTTCTTCATCAGTTTGCCACAGATTGTAACCACCTCATTTGATGATTGACTGCAGAGTTTTCAGTCAAAAATCAGTCAAAGTGTAACTAAAAATGGCATTTGTAGTACCTGCTCCATATGTAGACAAACCACAGCATTCTACCACTGTGGAGGATTATTCTTGTTTGCTTCACACCCTACCTGCAGCTGTTCTATACTCTCGACATAAAGTCATTTCTTCCTTCTTTGCTTGTTCCTCTTTAGTGTACCTGTCGTAAGGACATGGTGAAGATCTCCATGGATGTGTTTGTGCGCTGCCTGCAGCCGGATCGCTATGAGCTGTGGAAGCAGGGCAAAGACAGTGTGGTGTTGGACCACCTTAAGGCCACTGAGCTCAACAGCCCCGAACTAGATCAGTGGAGGCAGTATCGTGTAGCCCAACGAGAAAACCTCCTACGAAGGTGAGAAGCCAAGTTACATAAATGATCTAAATTCTGAGGTTTCAATACATAGGTTACATGTGGTATGCACATAGTAATGTACATTTAAATACACATTAACATTTTGAATGCATTTGAAAAGTGTTCTTTTCTATATATTAGCTTCTTCTGCTCTCAAATGGATATGTTTTTATATACATTTGAACTTAATTATTTACCGGTCTTTGTGCTCTGCCCCAGGGCCATGCAAAAGATGAAGCAGGTCCGTCGTCTAAAGCTGGAGGAGGTGAAGGTGCTGGCCGAGGAAGGCATTGAACTGAATGCTGCTGAGTACCAGCGTCAGGTAGAAGAGCGCGAGGCTCAGCGGAGGCAGGAGAGAGAGGAGCGCCTAGCCAGAGAGGCCATGTTGACCCTGGAGGCCATGGAGCGCGAGGAGCAGGAGGCTGCTGAGGCCGCTGCGAAAGCAGCAGAGACTCCAGCTGTAAAGGGTGAGAATGATATGAGCAGTAATATTGATTTTTTTATGTGCTGTAATGGAACTCGTTGTATGTAATGGTCATCTGCTTCTAAGCAGCAAAAAGATCCAAACATGGTAATGAAATGATAGCGGAGTGTAACTTCATTCTGAGTGTGTCTGTGTAAATGTATCCAATGAGCATAATACTGCATGACAACTGCTTGCATAACCTATGAAGTGCTAAGACAGGAGAGTGATCGTGTCCTCCCAAACTTGTGACACCACTAAGTGAAAACTTACTGAGCTATATGTAAAAAAAAAAACCCATAGATTTCCTGTCTGTTGCTGATTTTGGTGATTAACATGCACCGTAGAGACATTTGCATGAAGAGAGATTAAGATAAGACTAAGAATAACGCAGTTGCTTTAAGTTTTTGATGAGCCATTGCTACTCTTCTAAAGTTTATTTTTCCCATTTGTCTTTGCCAGCAGAAGAACCCGAGGCCAAACCACAGATCTTGACAGAGGACATTGACAAAAAGAAGCACAAAAAGCCGAAGAAGATGTCAATTGCCCACGACACCATGACTGGGTTTGAGGAAGCATTTAAGCAGTTTGCTACATCCAGCATCAAGAAATCAAAGAACGCCACAGTCAGCGATACAGAGGTGGAGAGCCCTCTTGCCTCAAGACCGAGTGACATCCCAGCAGACAGCAAGCTGGATGCGACTGCCACCCAGGTTAGACTTTTCAGCTCTGAATTTAGGTGTGTTTTATTGAGTGTGTCTACATGTGTACTAGTACGCGGTTTTGAGTTTTACCCTGTTTTGACCATATTTGGGATGGAATATGAGAAACCTGCTTATTTATATTTCATATCCCTGTATAGGCTACAATATTATAACAGTATCCACGTTTCTGATTGTCTGCCTGGCTTTTGATGTCTCACCAGCTGTACCATTAGATCATATTCAGAAACTAGTATAAGGTGTTTACATGCTACAGTAGTTGTCTATCGGAGTACTCCAAATAAAATATTCAGGTTTCTCAAAAATCATCTTGTGTTTTATCAGGCATGCTATTCCAAGATGAAGATGCCAACAGAGGTAAAAAAGAGTCGCCGTCACCCCCTCAGCAAGCCACCCATGCGCTCCCCTCTGTCCATCTTAAAGCAAGACCCGAGTAGCGACAAAGGTGTGTATCTGTCATTATACATTTATTTAACCTTTAAAATATTTTCTTATTTTAAACTGCTGTTTGTATGGAAACGTTTCCTACTGTAAGATTTTGATAAATCTGAATGTCATTTGAGAAGTACACCATCAGGTAGTGTAAATGCTGTTTAATTTCTCACTGAGTTGAGTTGTTAAATGTTGACAAGTGAATTATATACAATATATAAAAATGTGACAGTTAAATTTAAAGATTGAGATTAATCACATATAATTGATCAAAAGCAGGATCTGTAAGAAAGCCATGTCAGCTGAACCCTGATTGTTCATCTGTCGCCATCCTTTCTTTCCCTCCCACATTATTTATCCCACTCCTCTCTATCATGATACTTAGAATGAAGAAGACACAATTTTTGTTTTGATTATCGATCTGGAGAAAGAAAAACAAACAGGACTAAAGCTCCCTGTGCAGATAATGAAATCAAGACTGCAAGGCCTCTTTTCACTCCCCTACCTTCTGTCTTTTTCTCTTCATTTTCTGACTGACACTTATTGATTCGGGGATCATGACTTCCAATTACCTGCTTTCAAAGTCACTTTAAGTTGGCAGCAGGGGACCCGACTCAGGGCCTGTCCTTCAGAAGGGTGGATGGGGGACAAGGAGAAAGAGAGGGCCGGTGGAGGTAGAAAAGAGAGAGAGTAAAATGACAAGCGTGTGAAAGTTCTTCCTGCCTTCTGTCCAGGTTTAACAAACAGTCTGGATCAGTAGCTTCAGGGGCTTCACTGCAAAATTGATTCCAGACCCACAACAGCAAGTTGTTGATGCTTGTGCTATTTGTGCTCATCAGCCAATTATATCAGGAGTGGTGTTGCTATTGTCTGGAACAGAATGGGATATTCTTGTCTCTTGGCAAAGGGCTCCCTTATTAAAAAGAGCATTTGGCTTTTCCAAAAATGCTTCACATGCATTTCAGATGAAATTATTACCAATAATGAATCTTCCATTATCTCTTCAGTATGCAGGACTTACTTCACACTGTGGATGTCTTCTTTTCGAGCCACATGTCTTTAATGGATTAAATGTTTTACCTACAGAGCTGTCCTCCCCTATACCGCTGGACAGCGACATGAAGAAACAGGAGCACCTGTGGCAGAATCAGTCGCCCAACTTCCTGGCAGAGAAGGCCTTCAATGCTGCAGTGGCAGCACTCCAACCACACTGTGCTATCTGTTCACTCTTCTGTCCCTACACAAAGGTACAGCCGGACAATGCAGCAGAAGCATATGTATTAAGAGGTAGTGAGGTAGCAGTTCAGCAGATTAGTGGTAGTGTTAATGATGTTCATCAGTTAGTAGTTCAGTAGCAGTAGTTTAGAATTAACAACTATTTTTTTTGTTGTTCACTCTCAGAACTATCCTCTTTCAGTAAATCCTGACTGTGTAAAGGCTGACTAATAACCAACATGGATACAATCCACTAACTGTATTACTACTGCTATCTTTCCTCTGTCCTCTTCAGCCACACAAAGACGCCTTCATTTCAAATGAGACCCATCGCGCCTCCCTTCCCCGCCATGGCAGTCTGACTCGCCCACTGGTCCCAGAGATGTGCTTCAGCGTCGGTGCATGCAACACTGAGCCACCACCCACCAACTATCACATTGGAGAGGATGGAACCAGTCTTCTGCTCCGCTGTTCATCTTGCCACATGCAGGTTCATGCCAGTAAGTGTAACCCCCACGCAAAACTGCAAGAAAGAAAGCTGGCTGTATTTGAGTAACTTTGGGACCAAACATAGTGTGTACAATTTGCAGTGGAGAAAAAGCAGCTGCACCAGTTAAAAATGTGTGTGTTTCCTTGCATATCTCTTTTTTGTTAAGATTAGCAGTAAAAATAAATCTGAGCATCTGTGTTTGTATGCTGTTAATGAAAAGTCAAGACTCTTGCAGCTGCAGGAAGCTTCCTAACAAAGAAAATTTAATTACAGCTTTCACATTGAAGCAGCTCCAGGAATTGGAGTCACTTGGAGCAGCCCCAGGTTTTAAAGGATGTTAGAAGTTAGTCTGAATCTACATTTTAACATGTTTGCTATGTATTTATTTCATTAAACAAATAATGTTTTAAAAAAATAGCTATTAAGGCTGTGAGTGCATTTGCAAACAAACAAAATGCAAATGTAGGACTTTACAATGTAGTTAACATCACAAGATCCCCACATAGTCAGGCAGTACACCCTAATGGATGTGAAATAGCTCTAGGTATGTAATCTCTTTTTTGCTTAAAACTATTTTATGGGGTTTAAAAAATGGCAAATGATTTTGCTTCGTGTATATTGTTGTAGGAAAGTTAGGTTTGACTCTTTTGAACTGGGAGTCTAGCAGCTGTGGGCACACCGCAGCGTTTGATTTAAACAGTCAGAATCTTGGTCTCAGCTACAAATCCATACATGGACTGACAAGCTTTACAGACAGACTCTACTGGGCATTTCACTACTCTTCTCTATTCACAACTCTTTTTTTTCTTCTATCTCCATACCCCTGAGAATAGTGTTGGAAAAATAGGAAGCACACAAGATGAGACTCTACTACAGCAGCGCAACAACCTGTCTGCTCAATTCCCCTGTTGCCACTCTCAGTGAGGCTTCCTAGTTTAACTCTCCTTGACTCGGGTTAAACTAGCTAAGTGGCTGCTCAAGCAACGCAAAGGCCTCTCTAAAGGCAGCACACCATAAACTTTCCCAGCCTTTATTTACCCTGCTTTCTGCACTTTTCACAAAGAAAGTCGACTGTTAAGGGCGTATTGCTTCTGTCAAAGCGAAGCGTGAAAGGATAGAAAGCTTGTTAACTTTGTATATGAGCCATGGGATGCTTTTGCTTGCCTCTACTTCTCATTGCCAAATGTTAATATTGGTCATCTAGACAAAAGCAAAAGATTTTTTTTGTTGGTTGGTTGTCACAGGGAAACAACATGTCTGTACATTCAGTGGCATTTGTTCAAAAAAATAGCTATATCTTAAGACCAATATATCTGTAGACCAATACGCCGACATGTGTGGTTGTTTTATGTCCTAGAGCACATACAACCAGATAATTACAGCATGGACATGTGCACATGTGCTCAGTCAGTAAGACACCAACACACACACATACTCACACCAACCCTCCTGGGTTCTTATTATCCCTAAAGCTGGTGTGCACCTTCAAAAAGGCCAGTTCATTAGTCATCCAGGGATGAGCTGGGCTCAGCTGGGAGTGCAGCACTGCTATTGATAAGAGAACATGAAGCAGAAAGAACTCCTGTCAAAAACAGCAGCTCTGCGCTCCAATCCCTTTGCTCCTCATTGTTTTGGATTGGACATTCACAAAAAATAATTCAGACCTTTTGAAGGTTTTATATAAACATGCAAGCCTTTTGGTTCAGAAGCTCAAATTGGACATGGTGACGAGAAGATCAGACAAGTTCTATATAAATTGATAACAAAAGGACACAACAAACAGCGGTTATAAAAATTAGGATGTATTTTAATAAAGATTTAATTAATTTCAGTGCTCGACTCAAGTTGCCATGGAGCACATCATTACTGAACAATCTAGAAAGTGCTTTGTGAACATTAAATGCAGAATGTTGTAGGAAATATATGTGAAGCCATTAATCTCTCCTCTCTTATAGGTTGTTACGGTGTGAAGCCAGACTCAGTCGGTGAATCCTGGATGTGCTCTAGGTGTGCAGAAGGAGCCTGGACGGTGGTGAGTAGCAAATAAAACCCAATTTAGGGTTCCAACACAAGTATAGAAACACTTTGACCTTCTCCAGAAGTACAAGTATTAGAATTGGACAAGAGTTCCCCTCACTGCCTAAACTTAATCCTCATTTGCTTTATGTTTTTCAGGAGTGCTGTCTCTGTAACTTGCGGGGAGGAGCTTTGAAGACTACCACAGACAATCGGTTAGTGGCACACGCTTGGGTTTTACTGTGGCGTTTTTTTCACGTGTGTGGAATATCACAACTAACAAGCCTCTGGGGGAATATCAACACACCATTCCCAGTAAACAATTAAAAGAACGTACTATTACTTTTCAGTTATGAGCCTTGTATGTCTACTACTGTTGGATCTTCAGAAGCCCGATGCTTCTAGGATCTTTTCTATCTCACCTCTCTCTCACCTCTCTCTCTCTCTCTCTCTCTCTCTCTCTCTCTCTCTCTCTCTCTCTCTCTCTCTCTCTCTCTCTCTCTCTCTCTCTCTCTGTAACCAGGTGGGTCCATGTTATCTGTGCCATCGCTGTGGCTGAAGCTCGCTTCGTCAACGCCATTGAGAGAGAGCCGGTGGACGTCAGTGCCGTTCCAGAATCGCGCAAGAATCTGGTAAGTAATCAGTACAGTGTGATGTCAGACAGGCAGGGATCAATATTTAAACCCAAGCAAGACCACCAAGTTACTAACTTACTCACTGCAGCTGTGTAATTTCTTTTGTGCTGTCTCATAGTTCTCATTGAATTCTCTCTTATCCCCTGATCTCATTCTCTCACTCCTGCGGCCTTTTTCTACATTTAAGCGACTTTGTGTCTTTCCTGCTGACTGCTTTTGTATTTGTCACTCTCTCTGTTACCCTCCTCCTTCCCTGGTGGATGGATAGATCGAATTTTTTGCAAGCTGTAGAGGACATGGGGTAAAACATATGTGCTGAGGGGAATGGCTGAATAATCAGCTGTCATTTCTCACTGCGCCAAATGAACTGAATCGATCTCATGGGCAGGAGGCAATTTCCCCATTGCTGCCACGTCTTTGAACACAACTCATGCTCTCCCTCCCTCCCTCCCTCCTTCCCTCCCTCCTTTCTCTCCATCCCCCCTTCCCAGGCTCTGTTACCCCCTCCATTCACCTGATCCCACTTCACAGCCAACGACAGTGCTTGCAGGTGCATTATCACAAATCTACAAATAATGTCACCTCTCTCCCTCCCCTCCTCTCTGAATAATCTATCAAAGAGAAGCTGGGTGACATTTGCATCCGAGGGCTGTCAAAGCAGGTTTCCTCATCTTTACTTAAAAGGCCATGAGAAGAAGCTCTGTAGTCTAATGATTCGGATGACTAGGCTGATCAAATGTGAACACGCACCCTTGAAACCAGTTAATATTGCACCGTGTTCAGCAATCTACGTCTTTGAACATTTGGTTTTCCTGGAAGAAGAGATTTCGCACAAGCTTTTGTCTTAGTTGTTTCAGAATTTCTCAGACACAGTAACACTGCGCAGATCCTCAAAAGATGTACCTTTCCCAAAGGTAGTGTTGCATATTGCACCTTGAGGTACTGTGATTTCTTTTCTTGTGAGAAAACAGCCTCAAGCTTGGAAAAGCAAGCTGCTTAAATAAATCATCATACAATCTTTAAAAGTATTTTCCACCTACCATTCTGCAGCCATTCTCCTGTTACATACAACAACACATACACCAAAATGATGATTTATCAGTTATTAACTACTGTTCTCATTTGGGAGTTTGCATTTTACTTCAGTGGGTAGGTTTAGTGTAATATATATTTAATATATTACAAGAGGCCAGGTCAAAGTCTGATTGTTTTAATTCTACAGATGGATGCTTAAAATGTATTAAAAGTGAAAATAATTTAGTTGGAACATTGTATAAGATCTAAACAAACAGATGGACATAAAACTAATGTTTTTTCATGTAGTAAGAAACATTAACCCTAACCCCACATGTCACTGCCTGCCTATGATTTGAGCAGTGGCAAAAGTAGACCCAGCATAGAGAAAAGTATAAACCACAGCAGCCGGTGAAATATCACTCAGCACAGCTCTGTTGAGAGCTGTTGTACATTTTTCCTGCACCGGGACGAAAATGAAGTATTGGCACTTTAATAAAGGATTTTTATTTTTTATTGATCGCCCATGTGCTGCGCTACAGCTGCTCGCAGTGTGATTTGTCAAAAGGAGGAGTATGGAGAAGGAAGGATAAGAGAGAAAGCATGAGGGATTGGAAGGACATAGTGTGTGTGTGTGTGTGTGTGTGTGTGTGTGTGTGTGTGTGTGTGTGATGATAGATGATCACAATAAACAACTACACAGAAAGATACAAGTCACATAAGATGAGACAGCTGTCAAAGCTGTTGGGGTAATAGGTCGATTCTGTCTGTTAGATTGAAACATGTTGTCATGAGTTAAATATATATTACTCTACTTTTCCCTTACCTGATTTATTTCTTGGCAGTTGATCTCTTAATAGATGAATGTTTTTATTAGGATTTTGAAGGGAGATAATGTTTCTGAAACACACCTACCCTGGTGTATTGAGAAGATAACTCAATTTGGCAGGCCAGATTTCCTCGCTGTTATAATCTCTCCTTGTTCCCTCCCAGCTTTTCATCTATTTCTCCCTTATTCTCTCTGTTTTTAATTGAATTGAAGGACAAATGAGATATGGGGAAGGAAATTGTAAAGGGGGTAGACATGGAGGGTTGAGGATTCGAGGTGAATTGAAAATGAATGAAGGTTGTGGGGTTGCATTTGCAGGGTGGTGCATGTCAAAGTGTCTGTGGAAAGTAGACTAGCTTCCTGACCAAAGGCAAAGATTTGGTTGGCTGGTTTGGCCAGTGGTAATTTCACACTCAGGATGTGGGGATGGAATGAAGGGATTTGACAAGTGCTCCAAGGGAGGACATCAAATTCCTTGTATGAATGTGAAAGGGTAGACGTTGAACAAGTGATGCAAGAGACCAAAAAGGGTGTAGTAAAAAAAAAAAAAAAAAAAAAAGAAGAAAAAAATGTTTTGAATGTCATAGGGACGACTCAGGCACCGACGACTCTGCATGTATGTTATGTGCAAAACCGAAAGGATCCATTCTATTTTAATGAGTAGAAACCTGTTGCCACATAGATTAGAAGATGTGGGAGAGGAGAAAATGTTTACACTGGATTCCTCCGTCATCTCTGTTTCATAAGATGCTTTTTAAGTGCTGCAGTTAGAAGAGTGAAATTTTGTTGAGAAATAAAGTCCCTCCACTAAGCACTGCTGCTTTGATTTCCAATCCATACTGAAGTTCTGGTTTTTTGGAGTTTAAAAAAAAGGCAGTCACATGCTTGATTTTAGTCCAGCAAAGTGTTGATGTTGCTCTGGAACCAGTTTTCCTTGCCAAGAGCCAGTTCTTTGGCTGTCAAAACGCAAAGAACTGGTTCAAGATTTGGCACTGTCACCAAACCTGCCCCCAAACCGCCTTGGTGGAAAAGGCTTATTAGAGTAGCAGGGTGGGGTTTTAGGAGGTCACACGCTAAAAATAATATAAAGCGATTCATAATTTGATCCTCATTCTGTTCTTCCTCATTTTAAGACATCTCTTTTCAAAACTTCTCATGATTCTTACGAATATAAACAGCATCAATAAATAGCCTCAGTAGGACTTGTGTAGGGGTTACACTACTTTTTCATTTGAAAGGTAATTAATCACTGAAGATTAATAATAGACTCGTAAATGGGGCACCACCTCCGTTGTTCAGCTATTCGAATAATCCGGAGGAAATTATTCCACAGATCTAATCAAATCAATTTTAAATCAATTTATTAAATTTCAAAATCTATATTCAATCTCAATATTTCTGAAGTAGTGATTTCTTTTACACGATTCATCGATTTCCCTGCATCAAATCAAACCGGCACCGACAAGGACATACGGTTATAAATGTTTTTTAACTAAATTAATGAAGGGTAAATAGCATGAAATGACAATGCAAACAAATGACAACAAGTAACAGAATATGTGGACAGTAAATTAATTATTACTATTAGGTGATTCAGCAGCGATGGTGGATTTTGCGTTGCGGCAGTAAGTTTAAAATATTACGAGAGTACATTTTAGAACTGAGAGGCCCTAATCGAAAATTCTCTTAAATTTAAAAGATGGGAATTAAAGCTTATAGACAGACACCAGCTCTCTTTCATGTGTGTGAATCCGGCCGTGTACCGGAGAGTCAGCCTACTTTGTTTGTAGATGGAACTTGGAAGGATTCCAGGTCCTTGGCTTTTAGCTCAACTGCGGCTTTGCGTCCCTGATCCAACAGGCTGAGGGAAGTTGCGTCTCATCCCTGGTACCAGTGGCAATCTCTCCAAAAGGCCCAGCGCAGCGTGTGTGCTAGTGACCGTTGGGGGCAAGGTGGCTGGAGAATAATGTCTTTGTCCGGCTGGAAACGTTTATACTTCTTCTTGAGCAGTCAACTACTGCGACGTCCTTCTGGCTGATGATAAATGTCTTAGAGTGGTTGGTCTTCAGCTTTGATTGTAAACTAATTCAGCTTCTTGTTTGAAAATAACTGGAGGATGAAACGCTGGCCTGGCGAATTCTCCGTCGTAACTAAGTCCAAGAATTAAACTAAATTCACTTTCTGTGAATCAGGTGACAATACTTGATGATAAGACTACAAAAATATAAAAGAAGAAATTTGTTTGTGTTTTGAGCTTTCAAAATAAAAGTACTTAGAAAAGTACTTTAGCACAGCAAGTTATTACTTGAAGAAAAATTCAACACGTGTCGCAAACGAAGTAAAATAAAGTACGGAAATTAAAAGTAATAACGAGTGGATCTAACACTCTTAGAAGGAAGACAAGATCAGAAGAGTAAGAGAGAGAGGGAGTGACCGGAGTCTATCTCTTATATCTTTTATTCTGGAGGCGGAACTGGACGAATTTATTCCTATCGTCTCTAAAAGTTTCGAAATCATAATTCACCATTCACAGAACCCACCATGACTTAATACATAGTTCACATGTTTTAACATAACATAACCGAAATTACTTAATGTAAAGGAAAAGTAGAGCTGATTAAAATCATTAAATCGTTAACCATCAAACATGTATATAAAGTAGCACTGAGGGATTGTACATATTTTGTATAGTGCTAGCTTAATCCTTGTTACAAAAATTATGTGTCAGGCGTTTACTATTTGGAATAATACACAATTATAAAACAAAGTTTGTTTTGAAAGTACCTTACGCTATACCAGAATCTTACCAAAAGGTGGCACTGTGGCTCCATCAAACATTCAGACATTTTACACATGATTTTGTAACTCAGTCCAATCTGAAGACAGAAACATCAGACAAACATTACATTTGCGACCTTCTCATGCTGGGTGGCAATCTGTTAATTAGGAGAAGATGAAATTTTACCATAATACTCCAACAGAACTAAATCTATATCCGTGCAACTGCTGTTACTGCTTCCTAGATTGGAATGTCCACTATCAAAAGAAAACATCGTAATTTACACTTTAGAGGAAGGGGTGTCAGAATGCCAGATGTGGATTCCAGAGGAGTTTCTCTCTGGAGGTGGACCTGTCAGACTAAAAGAGATGTAAACACATTTCAGGGATATCTAACCCTGATTTACAATCAAAAAGGCACTTAATTATCACACACGATCCACTTTAGGTGTAGGGTGTCGTTCTGATCTGTGGAAGAGGATAAAGCAAATTGACACCTAGAGATCCCATCTGAGAATCTGAAAAGAACCAGGCTCTCTGTGCAGGAGACTGTCGGCGCCACAGTCTCACCTGGGTCAAAAAGGTCAAAGGGAAAGAGGAGGCCTTGAAAACTCTCCTGGTGGAACATAATCAAAATAATATGATGATTGTTGAATTAAGAGACGGATAAAGCGTCTCTTGTAGAGGAAGACGAGGACAAGGTCCTACACTTGTCATCGTGTTTGGGCTTTCATGACAGGAATTAAACCTCTACTGTGGCAACAGCAAGTTCACTGAAAACACTAGACTGAGATATGTGCTTTGGAAGAGAATCTGTAATTGTGAACACCAGTGTTTGCCTAAGCCGGTACCTGCCTGTGTCATTTCTTTGGAATAAACTAAACTTTTATGTTTACAGTCTGTATCATAGGACCATAATAACATCCCTGTGATCCTCGGATGTCCATGAAAGAGAATGCATTAAATAAAAATAAGCTCAGGAGGTCATAGGGAATTCAAACTGGCAATTCTTTATTTTCTCTTCTCATTGCAGAAGTGTGTGTTTTGCCATCGCAAGAATGCCAATCAGAACCGCGGCGCCTGCATCCAGTGCTCACACAAGAACTGTGCCACCTCCTTCCACGTCACCTGCGCCCAAATTGCCGGAGTAGTCATGACACCAGCCGACTGGCCTTATGTCGTGTCTGTCACCTGCCACAAGCATAAAGGTGTCATTCTGAAGGTGAGTGCAAATCAAGATACAGTCAATCAGTTCATCATTCAGTATTTCAGATGTGACTGGAGGTTCAGTCAAAGTATAAATTCTTACTTAAAATAATTCTTGAACAGTCAACAGTCAATACCCTTGAGAACACAATTACTACTCAGGAACCACAGAAAGGTTCCCTTCAGAGTAGATGATTTTAACATATTTGAGAGCCACGTGATGAATTTCTGTTAACACCACTCACTCCTGTCTTGTGTTCATTCAAGGCTGAGTCTCTCTTCTTACTTAGGTTTTGGTCATTTGGCTTTTTATGTCATCCAGACTGAGAACCTGAATGAATGAATAGTGAACCTTATAAGTTATACTCAAAAGACAGGACTGTGTTTGTTTGTATGTATGACTGCTGATCACAAAATGGGCTGGATGAACACACAAATTAAAATTAGGTCTGATCCTCTCTTAACCTCAACTTCTCTGCCTGGGGTTTTTTCCCTCCAGCCTCGGACGGCACCCAAAGGCCCACAGAGTCCGAACCTGGGCCAGAAGGTGATTGGTCGCAACAGTGACGGCTGGTACTACCACTGTACCATCATTGGCATGGCAACGCAGACGTTCTACGAGGTCAATTTTGACGACGGCTCGTATTGTGACAACGTGTACCCAGAAAACATAGTGGTGAGTGTTTATTACAGCTTACACCTACCTGCGTACAATTTATAGAGAGAACTTTAACAAATTACATTTTCTTTTTTAAAGCCAGGAGGAAATATCCTAGCAACTGCCATATGCTTTGTTGCTGGAGCATCTTTCCAAATGAAAATATAATGACTAAATGTAACTTCAAATAACCTTTAATGACTCACCGCCATATGTTTTAAAATAAAAAAGCTAGAACTATATCAAGTAATGTTATAGAAAGCAAAACTTATTATACAATGAGGGAACTTTAAATTGATCTTTTGCTGCCTACGAAAACACTTGAAAACAGTTTAAATTGTGTAAGTGTTGAGTCAGATTTCATTGAACATCAGGGACCTGTATGAAAATCCTTCCAACAATGTTTTTGTAAGTTGTATACAGAGTCTCCAGTCATATTATATTACTTGTAAGATAGTGTTTTGTATAAGGACACATGCAGGTCTCTTAAATGCCATTTCTGTCATCTCCTCCACTTTCTCTATTCATTCCCACCTTCTTCCTCTACATCAATTTTCTTTCTTTCTTCCGCCATCAGAGTCATGACTGCCTGGGCTCCGGTCCTCCCGAGGTAGGGGAGTTGGTTGTGGTCAGTACGCCTGAGGGTCAGGTCCTCAATGCTTCCTTTGTGAGACAGCACAGCCACAAGTGCTACCAGGTGAGGAAAAACACAACTATTAGATATCATTTTACAGTCAGACCAAAACATCTGTGATCAAAATTCCAAAGTCAACTAGACGTTAGAGAATCAGGTTTGAGGCTGGAAAGTCACTGCTTTAGCTCTCTGACTTCATTCCTTTTTCCTACAGAAATGTATCCACAGTTTAGGTTTGTGAATCAATTCCTAGCTAAATGGAATAGAAAAGGAATAGAAAACAATCACCTTCCTGAATAACTGCACTAATTCCTTGCAGCAGTCTGTGTAAATGTATGAATCCTTTCAAGGTGAACTCTGAACTGTAAAAAACTTTTCTAAATACAGTCTCTGAGGGGAAAAAATTGTAACGACATCCTTTACATACATCTACTGATGCTCTGCTGCAGAGTGAATTGGAAGTGATTGAACCTGTGAACTTTTGGTAGCAGGGAGCTCTGGATAATTGCTTTGCCACCCTCTGGTTTGGTCCCCGTGATCTGGTATTTATCAACGTGTGAAAAGCTTGGCTGCCCTTGTAGATTATGGTGGAGCATTTTGATACAGTGTGGCATTAAAACATAAGTAGAGAGATTTAGCATCACTGCTGCATGCTGGGGGAATTTATGGGGCAAATATGTGGAGTGCTTACAAAGTGGAAAATGCAGAATTGAAGAAGATGATTCCCTGGGACGGGTGTCTGGGGAGACCATCTTGAAAGTCACTTACAGACGTAGACACAGGAATGTATTAGCAGATGAGGTTAAGTGAGGTTGGTTCATCTTATATTTTGCCATGATGCTGGTTTTGCAAGCAAAAAGGAAAACTTTTACTGGACGTACTTTGACGGGCGCGTTTGTTCCCCAGGATAAGCAAACATTACATGGCAACCATAGCAGCCTGTTTCACGGCTATTTTCTCCTCTAATTTTGTGACATTGGTGATTGTTGGAAAGAGTGTGAAAAGACTAACAAAGACGGTTTTATTGAGTTTTATTTTGCGTATCTGATGAGGTAAAATTCGTGTCCCTGTGTAGCCCACTGGCTACACTAGTGAGAGCCGTGTTGGAGACAAGGAGCTCTGTTACAATGAATTAAAAACAAGCCTCCAGCTGGTCACTGTGTCAGGGCCGCAACCCTGACCATGTCCCTTTCTTTTTACGAATTAAACACGTAGCTGATGCTCCCATCCAGTCAGTGAGCAGCTTTGGGGTTCAGTGCCGTGGTCAAGGACATTTTGACAGAGCACATGGTTGTTGATGGAACCATTTATAATGGCTGAGATCCCATCTGTGACTTTCTGGGTACAAGTTTGTATTTTTTTGCTCACTAAGCTGCCCTGCTAGTCTTTTATTCACTATCCATGGATGAGTCCTCTTTTACTATGATAACAATGTATTTTCCTGCTGAGTTGAGTGTGTTTGGATATATTATTTGACAGACCAGTTGGAAATGTTTGTTGATTAATCCAGAGTTTCATTGTATCTGCTCAGGTTGAGTTTCAGGACCAGAGTCAGCTAATGCTAAAACCTTCAGAGATCCATCAGCAGGATCAGGAACTGCCCAAGAGGGTCCGAGCCAGACTGGTGAGTACATTGCTGAAATTCTGCTTTCTCCTATGCTCATAACATCATACATAGATGTACTTAGCCTTGTTGTAATAATACATGAGAGGAAGACACAGTCAGTTTGGCAGGCATTAGATCGGTTGACACGGTAGATTTAAGAATTGGATGCAGAGTTAAATTAATAGAAAAGGCACCCCAGCAATAGCCTGTATTGTTCAATAAAACGACACCAGTTGCAGATAAAACAACTATTTGTTCAAGCAAACAACCAACGCTTTGCAGCCTCCAGAGTATAAAGGCCTGTGTGTGGGCCAAAATGTGTGGGTTGTAAGTTTTAATAAATATCAGTTTTTCCTTGGTGAGCTGTTGATGAAAATCTGTGTCAGGAGAATGTTGAGTTGACTCTTTGATTTAGGCAAGGGCTACCCTTTGTTGTCACAAGAAGCAAATATTAACATTTAATATGACCTAATAATGCGAGATTCTTGTTTCAAAGACAACAATAAAATACAGTTGCCGCTAGTGTCATTTCAAATTTTGTTTTTAATCAATTGATTCTTTCTTTAATCTATAAATGTCAGTAGCTTTAAAAAGCCCCCAAAGAGCCCAAGTTTGCATGTTTGAATTACTTAAAAATGCAAAAGATAGTAAAATAACAATTGTTTTTTCAATCATCTCATTTATTAATCAACTAATCAACACTACAAAATGAATAGATTAACAGTTACATTACCCCCAGGCAGCTAGTATGACTACTAGCTCAGTTAACATTAAACTACTTTTACTGCAAAAAAAACAATAAAACTAAATCACAAATCACAAAACAACTGTAACAAAGAGCACCTTCTGATAATGCTCCAATAAGGACATTTGGGTAGAAATTAAAAGCTGCCTGTCAGTATTTGATTGGTCACAGATCTAATCTGATTTCGGTTAAACTGCAGTCGCTGTAAAACTGTCAGCAGTGGTTGCTACTAGCAACAGAATGCCTAACTGAGCAGGAAATTAAGATTTCGCACGCAGCCAGGAACTCCTGATAATCCCTGTGTCCTCAGTTTAAGTTTGTACCTGTCTGTTTTCAGGCCATACCTGTAACACAGGAGGAGGTTTCCTCAGCAGATGAAGCCCAAGCAGCCAAACGCCGTTGCCTGCCCTCAGGTTCAGCCCCGCCCGCTGAAACCCCCATGGAGACAACCAACAAGCCTGCCTGCCCCCTAACTACAGCCCCGGTAGCAACACCAGCAGCAGAACATCACAGTATTAGTACACCGCCGACCTCACAAGCTCTGTCCCAGCCCACTACGACCCCACAGGATGCCCCTGCTGCAACCAATGGTATTCAGATGGACGCTGAGACCCCAATGGACACGAGCGTCGCCCTCACCGATGCGCTAACGGAGTCCACCCTGGCCTCAGACCCCACGCTGACTCCACAGTCAACCCCTTTCCAGTCGAAATTGAACTCTGACCCTCTCCTGTCCGCCCCTTCCCCTTCCCTGCCCTCACCTCAGCACATGTCCGACAGCTACATGCCGAGCAGCGGCTACGTTTCCTACATGGAGACCCTCCTCCATTCACATTTCCCTCAGGACGATGGCCCCGGATCCCTGTATTAAAAACCAACTCCACTATAATATTACTCGGCCAGTGGAGGCTGAGCCCATAGGAAGTAAGCTAATGGAGGTGGATTCTACTGAGTGCTGTATTAATGGACAAAAACATTTCCTCCACCGGCTCTGAGAGCTCAGGGTCATGGCAGGAAAAGACACGGACACACAAGCACTCTTTTAATGCATGTTACTTTTCTATTTTTGAGATAATGTATTTGCAGTGGTGCTTTTGCGTGCTCTGAAGCAGCAGCTAAAGAGGACATGTTTTTTTTTTTTTTTTCTTTTTTTTTAACATTATTTGTTGTTTTTGTTTTGTTTTGTTGTGTTGTGTTTTTTTTTTTTTTTTTTTTTTGAAGCTTTGCTTTTTATTTTTGTCAGCTGCTGTGCTTTTTTCCTCCATCTTAATATGAATACGTCTCTGGGTGGTATCAACTCCATACCTCGTTGCATTAATTCAATAACAGCACACTCCCATTTTCTTTGTACAGGAAGCTAATTACTATGAATATGCCTCTCAGCATTGAGGCCCCAGTGGACTTTTTCTTTTTTTTAAATCAAATAACCAGCAACAAAATATCTATTTTTCAATCCAGCCATTCATGGCTTTGGAACTGGTGGAACTAAAGTGTCACATTGTCCATCTACAGGATATTTTCAGTAAGGTGTTTTATTGTCAGATTGCAAGAGGTAAACAGGGGGATGGGGTAAAAAAAAATGTATTGTAGGGGGAACTCAGTATTTAAATGTCTTAGTCAAATATTGAAAGAATTATTTGTAATAGAAGAAACCTGTTGAATGCGAACACTAGTAGATTTGTCTGCAGGATGCATTGAATTTTTGTGAAGATGTGCCACAGTAGTTAACAGATGAGACATTTTATGTATTGACGTCATGAGGTCATTTGGTGGCTCCACTTTTCACACTCAAAACGTTCTCAGGGTTCCTACATGGAGAAAAAAAAGGTTTTAACCTTCGAGTCTTCACACAGTTAAGGAAGTACAGCCCAGAAAACTGCCTCAAAATATTCCTCAGTCATAATTGGCACTTGAATATATATCCGTTGCTTATATTGTCATACTTGCACCAGTTTGTCCATTTTACTGAGTGATATCTTTGTTTAACATCACATTTCTCCAATTAGCACATGAACTGACGGAAACTTATGAAGTCGGTTTTAAAGGATGAAAGTCAGGAAAATGTGATGAAATGATATTTGGAAAAAGGAGAATATGTAGGAACCCTAAAATCTGGAAAGATTTTGTACCATTCTTGGTTTGAATTGTATGTATAAATCAATATTGTATATTAATAATGTTGTCTGTTTTTTCTATTACTGTATTCTTTCTATGTTCATTTCCTGAATTCACAAACTTGGCCGCTCCAAAATATTAATATCTTTTTAATTTTGACAGTTTTTCATAGGCATATTACTCAGTTTGTACTGGTAAATGCTACTTTCTTTTCCCGGATATGGCCATTTAGTGCCACGGAGGTGCTACATAAATATTAAACTACTGATGAGTTTCCTAACACTGTCACCTTGTACATACCGCAGGCCTTGTGTTTTGTGAATCAGTTTTGTAAATGTCGCACATATACCTTTTTTTTTTTTTTTTTTTTTTTTTTCTGTCATCACACCTGAAATGTTGGAACACATTTGTGTTCCTGTATCCAAATGATATTCATCAAGAAAATCTTATTTCACAGGGATTAAAGTGGGTTGCTAGTCGCCAGCTCTTCTGTGTTTGTGTGTGTTCGGTAGCCCAGAGATTCAAAAAGTAGTTTCTGGGTCAAAATCATTGAACTAACTATGGAATGAGGATGGAAAAAGTCTGATTATTAGATGTCATGTTGAGGGATGGGTACAATTTATACATTTATGTTGTGATATCAACAAATATTGACAGAGGAATTACTGGTTTTGGCTAAATCAGTGAATAAAAGCATTGACAAATTAAAGTCCTTCATCACATGTATGTAGCAATCTTTCAAATCCATTAATGTCATGAAACCATACTGTTCATTAATTCACAACATCGTCCACTAAGGCCAAATACTCTACGTAGCCTTGGAGCCAGATTAGCTGTTCTCTCATGCTTTTCAGTCTTTATGCTAAGCTATCTGCCTCCTGGCTGAAGTGTCATTTTTACCCAACATGAATAAGAAACAGGACACTTATGAGGGAAAGTAAAAGAAGCTAACAGTAATCATGCACTCCCCATGACTAATATCACATGGTGACTAGCTGCGAAGAGTCAGTTTTCAAGTGATGACAAAATTTGTGAACAGAATTATTAAATCAAATCCAGTTGAGAGAAACAGACCTTTCTATTCATGTCAACATGACTGCTGTGAAAAAGTTTCCATTTGTAATTTAGAAATAGAAACTTATTTTACTTGTCAGCTTTTTATATATATATAATATATATAAAAGCTGATTTTAAGGGTTTTGCTCCAAGTTGGGAAAAAACAAAACACTTGAAAATGTTTTTTAACCAATATTATTATTTCAACCACCAAAACCCTTACCCAACTAATACACATCTAAACATAGCTATTTTAACTTTGAACTCTACCTGTTTTAATCTTATATTCTAAACAAGGCCTTCTGGCCCAATCACCAGTGCCAGTAGGGGATCCATTATTTTGCACCAGATTCAGCATGACGCTTACTTTACAAATTTGAAATGCCTTTCCCTAAAGGCCTGGGAGGAAATTAGACTTTTTTTCTTATTTATTAATTTAGTAACGGTGAAATTGCTTGGTTGGTCACTGCAGGTCTGTGTAATCGCCTTTTTTAAGACGTGATCGTCCTCCTCAGACGAAGAGATTGCTAGTGTATTTTCAATAATTGGCAGCAGCACTCCTCACTGCAGTGTCTCATTGGCAGGAAATCTGGATTTGCACATGAAGCACACAGCAGGGAAGTATGTTTCTGCGCTTCCTTGCTGGGTGTGTCACACAAGTTATTTTTAGATGGTATAATTAGCAGGAACCACCATCACGACCACCTGCAACTGCATCCGATTAAATTCTAGATTTTGTATTTTTGGAAACAGAATGAGTTACTATTACTATACTATATTTTAGTTTGGCATGCATGTCTGCCTCACAATGACACAATGATAGTATTGGTTGATAGTTGCAATTTTTTATTTATTTTTGAATTCCAAATCCTGACAAATGGTGGTAATGCTTACAGTAAACACACACTGTTTTCTTTGGCCACTCAGGGGCAGCGGGAAAAAGAAGTAACAACACTGTTGCATCACCTTTTAAGTTGTTACAGTAAACTTATTAGTAAATAGTTAATTCTTTACAGCAGGTACAGAATTAGCATTCACTTGGAGTCATTTTTCAGGGCACCTGAAATTAAATCCAGTATTCATTTTTTAGCTCTCCTGGTGGTCTCAATCAACTCCTGAGCGAAATGTCTGGCTCATAAGCTGATTAATGTTCCACTATGTTCACCAGCTAATCGCGAACTTTGTCTGTCTGCTGTTGGGTGCTGAGCAGTTAGTGTACAGTTGGTTTTTAGAGCTTTTTTTTGGGTGTGTAAACAGCTTCCTGTTGTGTCAAGAAACGATGCTGATGACAGCAGTGAGACTGAACTGAAACAGTGAAGTTGCAGCCTGGAAAACCAAACAATGAGGTGAAAGATGCTGAAAAGGTAACAAACTCTCCCAAAATAGGGTTTTAATTCACTGTTGGTTTGTCACTATGAGCGACACATCACACCGGTCATCATTTGGTACACTGAATATAAATATTGATTACAGCAGCTTTAAAATAGCAGGAATAACTAGTAATAAGTGTGACTAGCTCCTCCAAAGTGTTTGTTCACCTCATTGTTTAAGGTTGTTAATTTCCTCTCTCAGGTGCACGCAGCCGTACATCAGAGAGGCCGATGGAGACTCACACACGCACACAACAGTCCTTTCAACCAGGGGGACGACCTGCTGCTCTGAAAGGAAAAATCCAATGATATTCTAACACCGTACTTCCCCTGAACACGCCCTCAGTCTGTTATGGGTTCACAAATATCCTCACACAGGTTGCCATGACTATTAGCTGTAATGTACGCAAATTTCAACCAGTATAGTGGGCTGCATTGGTTCCAGGGCCCGTTTCATAAAAGCAATTTGCAGGCAATTTATTGACCATAGAACGCAAATGGTGGCAGCGTGATGGCACAAAATTTGATAAATCACAAATTGCAATATAAATACATTTGCGAGTCCTTCAAGGCTCTCACACGCTCCTGCATACTTACGCCATTGGCTTTTTCTTCAGGGAAATGTGACAAAACGAGCAAGAGGAAATGATCACAGCTGGCAATTTGATAAAACTACTGGCCCTTGTCTATTTCTTGATAGTGCATGTGTAGATTTCTCTTCGCTGCTATGACAAACCCATCATTGAATAAGCAGTTTGAATTCTTCTCTGAAATCTTTGATTCTGAGGAACTGACACCAAAACTAGTTTTTACACGTTTTAAATCGCTGAAGCATTTGCTGATGTCAAACTTCATTGCAGCTGTTGGAAAAGAAAATAACACCAAATTGTACTCGGCTGCCACGGGATAAAAATACACCACTACCCAACACAATGGGATGACTAGGAGCTGTTTGTAACAGTAGCAGTGTTTTCCTCCTTCATGTCCTGAGACTAATAGGATTCACTTTGACTCTTCAGCGTTAAGAGCTTCTAAATTTGGAAGAAGTCCAATGAGTAGAGGACAGAAGTGGAGAGAGAGAAGGTCACTGAAAGAACAAAAAATCTGTGTCTTACGGACAAATCGTTAATGTGGGCATGTGCTCACACACACACACACACACTCTCTCTCACACACACACACACACACACACACACACCCTGTGAATATGCCAAAGCTGCATTGCCCTCGCTGGATCACAGTGGCCATTAACATTCTGAAGTGTCCGCTGTGTCTTTGCAGAGGAATTGGGGATGTGCCAGCTTGGCAATTACTTTAACAACTCCAGCGTTTGATTTCTTTATTCAGTTGAACCCAGCCAGGGGTAAAACTAAGGAGAAACACAACTCCAAAAAGTAAAAAAAAAGTTTAGGCTGACCCAACCTATAGTTTAGTTGGGAACAGGAAATGTTTGGTATTTTATTAATATCTAACAATATAACCAAGAGAGTATTACAACAGCATGTGTCCTTGTGGCTGTAGAGACCACACACACATACATCTGTAAGTTCAAAATTCGGGACAGCCAGTGTGAGTCCGTCTCCACCGACGTGTCCTTGAGAACGTCACTGAAAGCTCTAACCTGCTGGATGACTAACAGACAGCTGAATGGCTCACATGGAAATGGAAATCAGTGAATGCAGTGGGATCTAATTGCAGATGAAAGTGGCAATTATGTTGACAAGCTGGTTGATATGACAGGCTCCATTATAGCCTTAAGCTTTTACTACATTTATGCCTAGTAAATCACATCACTGAAGCAGTATTACCATAATGACTTAGTGGAGCTCAGTCCGTCAACACTGTCCCTCGTTTCAAGGGGATTGGACTAAGAAGTTGGAGGTGCCTGATCTTTATGAACTTAACTAGACACACAGGACTTTCAAGCGACCCCATCTGTGCATTTATTAACAACTCGCAGGCAATGGTGGCAATGGAAAGCAGTTGAAAACAATCAACTGAACTTTGAGGGTTAACTTCCCTACTGCTTGCGATTGCGGCACTGTGGTTGACACAGCTGCTTTGTATGTTAGCTAATTTATCAAGTAGAGACGTTAGAAAAGCGAGAGCATATTCATTTTTCTCTTTTAGGGGGGTGACATCTGTTGGGAACAGCCCAAACCTCTACAAATAGTTTTCACCAATGGGACAGATGTTTGGGTGATATAATAATCACACCAGTCACCTGGTCAACGTAAGCTCTATATTACCTAGAAATAAAAGGGTCTGATCATAACAAATACAGCTGTTAGCGAGGGAACCTAATGAGGCTAGTGGACCTCAAGGTTGAACATAGCCCCTGAGGTTAGTATCGCCAGAAAAAAACGAAAAAGGAAAAAAAGGTTGACATGGATAGTGGTACAGGATAATACAGACTTAGATTTCAACTCTGGATGGTCAAAGTTGAGGGCAATTTATTGATTACAACAGCAGTTCTCAACCTTTTTCCTTTAGGGACCCCTTTTCTCCCGCAGAGTAGACTGACAACACCCGGCATATTTTATGGATATTTCATTTTATATTAAAAACTGAAGAATTAACCCAATTAGTAACTGATTTGGATGAATTTTGAGCAGAAGTGAACCAAATGCTGAGCGTGTGTTTATTTACATGCCTTAAAATCAAGGCCTTGCAACCCCCACATAAAGCTTTGGCAACCCTTAGTGGGGACCCCCAGGTTAGGAACCACTAAATTTCAACATGATAAAAGCACAGTAATTTGCCATAGATGCTAGAAAGAAAGAAGATATAATACAGTCATTAGGGAAAAACATCTCAGAATCAGTAGGAACCACACATATTGTGAATACTACTAGGATGCCCAGGCACCTAAACACTAAGCAGTTATGCCACATGCAGTGAAGGGGAGAGGGGCACCAACAGTACACCACCCTGCCTATCTGGTAAGACCACTAGGTAAAATGGGGGGGGGAACTAAACTATACTAACAAACAAAAGAGTAAAAGCAATAAAGGTCAGATTAAACGAGGAAAAAAATGCAAAAACCATGAGCAAACCTTAGCAGCTGGCACCAACATTTCTATGGCCCATCCACCTTTTAGCTGGGTCTAGTACAAATAGAAAATCAAGGCACAGAGAGCAGCACAGCATAATAAAGGCAAATCAGCTGTGGCTATGACGACGCAGCATCTGGGAACCGAGATCTGGCTCCACGGTCAATACTACTACAATCAACCGCAGGACGTTCAAGGCAACTCAGTGGGATATCAAATCCCAACGCCCCTGTGGTGAGCTCCAGCACAACAGCTACACAGATTATGCAGCCTATTGGGCCTAGGCAACAAGTTGCTTAAAGTGTCTTCCAGGACACTAGCCTGTTCCCTAGTCACACTGGACAACATGCATCAAGACTGAGGTCCTGAATGCTACTCCTATATATTAGCTCCTAATGAGACAATGAGCTCCAGGTGTCTGCCAGTGTGAGAGACAGAGGGTGGAGCTTCTAAAGAGAGCAAAAACTGAGATGGTGGCATTAATAGTGAGGAAACGCGGGTGTCATTTATCAAGTGGCGTGTGTTTTTTCTAAATGTACCACACCTCCACAAGTGCAACGAATGTATATTTGGCATCATTGGAAACCTAATTGATAATAGGAATTTGATCATTCTTAATTCACACAGTTTATTCTCACATCTTTTACTCTGTAGTGTCTCTATGGGGTTCTCCATAATATAAAAGAACACAGTTACATGGTGAGATGCAATACTATGCGCTGTCACATTGGGTGTGATAAATAACAATTTACTGGATCATTTAGTCTCAAAGTGTTGTGGTATCACACAAAGAAGCAGTTTGCTTTTTATGTTATTTTTTTATTTCACACTACAGTCGACATACACACATTCTGTGCAGCTTCTTATGCAGCTCTGTGGTGTATTATTGTGCAGATAATAATACAAGTAAATACAGTGGCGGTTTTGGGCAGGGGCGAAGCGGGCAGCCACCCAGGGCGGCATTTTTTCATGACACATGGGGGGGGGGGCAGCATGACAAGCACTTAAAAAAAAGAAATCTTGGAGGGGGTCTCGCCCAGGGTGTCATTCAAGATAGAACCGCCACTGAGTAAATAGGTTGCATAACCAAAGTAATCATAACAAATAACACTGATCTGTACATATATTAGAATACCCCTATTTAAAATTAAAAAGCACGAAGCTGTGCAGTATGTCATTAGTAACTGACGTTGCTTACTGACGCTGTGGAAGCAAGGAAACCTCATTTGGCAGATGTGGCTCCTCCGTCCTCGTGTCTCTTCCTCGTTATCTCTGTCTCACCTTCTCGCTGGGAGGAGATAAGACAAGACTGGAAAAGAAGAAATCGAGGGAAACAAGAAAACGCGTTAGCATAATTGAAAGCACTGTTAAAGTTCTCTTAGCACTCTTAAATTAAAAAAAAAATCATTTGAAACATAGCAACAACAATTTGTTTTCTTGTTTTCTTACACTCCTCTTGAAACATTTTACTTCTGTTCCAAAGTTGCACAAAATAACTTTCATCACTCTAACATTTTAATGTCTTCGGAAGAGTACAGCTGCTTCAGAGTGTGAAGTTTTTTTTAATCATACCTGTGCGGGTTTATTATTCGTAAATCCTCTGTCAGTTTTATGGTGTTTTATTAGCTACTCTTTGCACTTCCATCTATGTTTTATGACCACGTACATGCCACTAAAAGGGATGTAAATGGAAGACCGTGATGGATTCTAATGGATACTACAGAAAGTGGACCATAAGCTGTCACTCACGGAATGGAAAGTAGTAGATTCGCAGTGGCATACCTCATCTTGTTTTATTTTGGGAGGAAACTTTTTGTCTTGAATCTCTTGATGTGGTGATGCAGCTCTTTTTCTCTGCTGCTGTTGTCTCCATTTGTTTTCTCTTGCTCCAGACACAATTAACTGAGAAGGAGAGAGGCTTGTTGGAGAGCAACAGGGGAAAAAAACACAATGTTGGTAAGTGCCGGGCCTTATTAATGAAGTGAATCTTCATCCAGTCACACACAACAAATAAATGGCCGCCCCCTTGAAGCTCTTAATCGGCCCATTAGTCTTCGAGCCACCGCAGCCTCCTCTTTTTTTTCCCGTCTTTGGCTTGTTCCCTTCAGACCAGACCAGATACATCCATCACCCCGTATTTGCATGCCGACCACACACGCTGACAGAGCTGAGTGCACAGCTGGAGATGCTACATCATATTTAGTCCCTTACTTGTGCAATAAACACTGTTCTCCATATCTCAAGCCCCTCTCATTTCTCTCTGTCCATCATTTAAATACTCGCATTACTCCTTCTTTTCACAAGTAACCTGGAAACCCATCTGTTCAAGAAGCTCTATTACATCTCCTTTACTTGCACTAGAAATACTCCTGTCTTGTTGTAATACTTCATTTCCTTGCACTTCTTTATCCTACGTGATCATTTTTGGAAAGAGTTTTGTTCCATCTGTTGTCAGGCTGCTGTGACTTTTATTTGCTGATCTATGAATTCAATCTTGTTCTGTGACTCACTGTAAACTGAAGAGAGCGTCTAAGTGACTGAAATGAAAGATGAATACGCTAAGTAATGACAGGGTTTGCTCTTCTGAGTCAGCCTAATTAATCACCAGACGGCGTCCTGTGTGGTTTAAAGAGCTGCACAAACACAGAGTCATACTCTCAGAGAGCTGGCATGCTTATCTGTATGTGACCTGCGCTTATTTTCCCTCCATTTTCCTTCCATTTCTCAGCTGCCGCACGCTGCACCCTCTGCTAATTCAGCCGCTTAAAATCTCATTTCCGACACAATTAGCCTTTAGCCCATCCAAGTGCCGTCGCCTGTGGTTTTTTTTTTTTTTTCTTTCATCCTTTGTGAACATTTCCTCTTTCACTCCCTGATAAAGATCATTATTGAGGTTACTGAAAAGGAGTTTTGATCATTTACAGGAGAAAACATATTAAAGGGCCTTTTAGCAGGCCCATTAGGAGACTGTTGAAGCCCTTGCTTGTTGCCACGCCAGGGTTATCAATGCTACAGGGAGCCTTTAATTCATTCCTTTGCCAGAAGTTTTTTAATTACATTTGAAGGGAGAGATTTCACTGCGGCAGAGCCCGGCCCTGCTGCTGTTATTTATTTTTTGTGAAACTCTTAACTGCAGAGCTTGCAAAACGAGGATGCTCATCATTTTTACTTTGCAGGCTAGTCACAACATAATTTTACTGCGTCTGCTCTGCAGCTGCCTCTAAATGGGTTTATTTTTCAAATGCACATTTGGGTAATTTTTGTTTGGCTAAGGGCACAAAGTGTGTGTGTGTGTGTGTGTGTGTGTGTGTGTGTGTGTGTTTAAGTTAAGTTTCTGAGAGGAGTCATTCAGCTACCTGATTATGTTTATTATCAACTTTTATCAAAGTCCTCAACATCACAGGCTTTTAAAGTGGACCGGTGATCCCAATGTCAGTTGCATTATCTCAGAACAGCCATTGTTTAGGATAACTGTTTTTAGCTTATGGTTTTCTAAACTATTCTCTACTGTTTTCTTTACTATTTTCTCAGGTTTTTATTAGTTTATTAATGTTGTTGTGTTTGTCATAATGGCACTAAAGTTTTAAAACTCAATGCTGATTCCCTAAGCAGCCAGTGCTGAAGGATCCTTGAGCAGGAACTTCCACCTGCTTTATAGTCACTCCTGTCTGTTTGCCAATCATCCTGAAGAGAGAACTGCAACTGAAGAACAATTAAAAAACAAATAAACAGCCACAGTCCATCCCAACATGAAGTGAAATATAATGATCACACCAGGTACACTAACAGCAATATAAAACAAATCATTTTGGTGTAAATCTGCATTGTATCTCTTACTTTTTAATTTCATTAAATGGTCTGCTTTCAAGTCTAAGTCAAGTCTCAAGTCACGAATATCAAGTCAAAGTCAAGTCATACAAGTCTCCTAAAGTCCTGAAGTTTTTCAAGTCGAGTCTGACTTGAGTCCCCCACTCGGATATGCTTCGGTCTGTTAGTCTTCGGCCTAAAAATGACATTGATTGGATTTTGCTGGTGGTTTCTAGGATTCCTATCCAACTTTTATACAGTCCCTTCTATCCATGAATTTCAATGGAAATCTGATGGTTTTGAGATAATTTGCTGACTGAGAGGCAAACTTAATAAGTCTTAGAGGTCAGATAGCAAAATCTTTGCATTCAAAGTCACTCAACTTCAGGTAAAAGCTTCAGTTCGTCACGTGTGAGCGCTCAGCAGATTAAACTCACGTGCATGCTGTGTCTCACTTTCTCCACCTGCCTAATGACTGCTATTTCCTGTTGCGACTGGGTGTATAGGGTGTTGAGCAAGACAGGAGCATGTCGACGTATGCAGGGATGAGGCCCGAGAGGCGTGTGATTGCAGAGCTGTGGGTAATTATGCACCGAGAACTCAGGTGATGCCAGGTGAGGCATCAGGAAGCCACCACAGCGGAAGACGTGCGAGTGGGGAGGAGGTTCTGGAGGGTTTTGTTGAAAAAAAAAAAGAGAGAAAGAAGAGACTTACAGGTACATAAGTGGGGTGAAAAACAACAAATAAGAGAAGCAGCATTGCAGTGAACCTTTGACGGAGCTGTTGTCAAATCAGATTGCTCCTTTTCCAACAGAAGTCCTGCCTTCCTGTTCCCCGCCCTCCTGTCCAGTCTGATTTTTTCACATGTGCAACGTTTCTGTCCCCTGTCCTCTGGCCTATGAAATACAGGGTTGTCCTGAACACCACTTCAGTGAGAGGGTACTGGGGAAATAGACTGACTACATGCACAAGTGTTGGAACTATATAAAAAAAAAGGAGCTTCTCCTTTGCCATGGTTTGTACCCATGTTTTAATTCTTTAGTTCAAATAAAAACTGAGAGGATGGAGGGTTCATATCTAAGAAAGATCTGAAATTCAGGGTCCTGACTTTCTCTTTCATGTGTGTGAATCACCTTCTGAGTTTTTTTGTACCAGACCTCACCCTCACACACTTTTGGGGCTATTACAGAGACACTTACCCTAACCACTAATTGCCTAACCCTAACCTTGACCACAGATCTTCCTGTCTTCCGGCGTACTTGTCCCTTTTAGCTGCCACCCATCACGGTCAGACCAACCACCACCCCCACTGAGCTGTCTTCAGACCCAGGAATGTCCCAATCATGTTTCCCGATCAGAGTCATTTGATAGTGAGTATCTTCTACAGAGGCGAGCTACATATCCGCAACAGCCTACAATTAAGCCCTGAATAAAACTCAGTCAGTCAAAGGAAATACAACATTGTACACAACACAACAGTTTCTCAACACTAGAGTAACCTCTGTCATGCCTGAAAACAAAGTAATGAAAGCCTGGTGGCCCTATGTGCAAAAAAAAACCAAAACGTAATGAAGTGCCTTGTAGGGTGCTCTTAAGTTTTAATGGAGAAAAACATGATGAAGTGCCCTAGGGTCCCCTTCCAGTGGAGAAACTAACAGTCACATAACACCAACTCAGCCATGATGACGAACCCTAATGTGACAAAAAAAATAATATCTGTGTCTGCTGCTTCCCAGAAGAGACACCATTTTGTGTGCGTGTGTGTATCTGATTTATTTATGGAAATGTGCCTGTGTTTCGTGCATTTGATAAATTTGCATTAACATGCTCTGTTTCTGCATGTTTGTGTATGTGCCCTTATGCTTTTTTATTCCTGTCAGTGCCCTTGACCAAGTCCCTGTGTGCTGCACAGTGGCTGCCTACCGCTCCTAACGCTTAGAATGGATTAAATGCAGAGAGCGAACTTCGTGTAAGATTGTGTATGTGACAATAAACTTGATTAGATTTTTGATTATGTGTTTGTGTGTATGTGTCTGCATCATGCAGACTGCATATTTGTGTGTGTTTACTTGTGTGTTTGTTAATGTGAGAGAGAATGAAGAGAGATTTCTTTCCCATAATTAAAAAAGCTAAGATGGAGGAGGAAAGGGAACACCAATTATCTTCCTCTCCCTGCTCGCCACACCTGCGCTGCTATTGCAGGGATTTCATTTGAATAAAACTGAATTTAATCAGCTTTACAGAGAAAGTGGTGCATGTGTGTGGTGTTTGTGTGCGCCATCAAGGCTCCAGGGGTCAACATTAACAACCAGGGAGTTAATACAAGAAAAACACATTTGGGTTTGTTGACAAGAGAGCGACTCTTGTCAAAGGAACAAATATGTTTTCATTGTCAACTGAGTCAGCAGGAGAAAAAAAATCTGCGTCCTTCCCGTCTTCACACAAAGACTGTTGGCCAACAGAGGGCACCAAAGCAGAAACTGTGCACTATGGAAAAAAATGCTTGTAAAAAACCATTTCAGTTGATCAATATAACATAACTGGACAGCATGCAACTTGCAGAACAAATGTGTGTTTTATTAAATGTCCTTGATCTGGTTGCCTTTATTGCAGGCTCTTATTCTCTACTCACTTTCTATCATCTGAAATTGGAATAATGGTATTCCATTAGAAAGCCAGGATTCAAATTTATTCAAACCTTGAAACACACACATGCCTTGCTCCAATATATAGTTAAGCAAAACATTAACTTGTAACCAGCCTCAGGGCAGTAAGTAAAACAACGGACGTACAAGTTGGAATAGTCACATAATAGTGACTTACAGTGAGTGTGTGAACTGGGTAATAGTAAATGCTACAACATTATTTACCAGATAAATGTGCTTGCACTTATTTCACTGGTCACTCAGTACGTTGCTGGATGACACTGAAGTATTCTATGCCAAAAGAACCAATTTTTTTCTCCTCACTTAATAACATAGGCCAAAGTACTATTTTCAGGCGGTACTCTAATCTAGTGATAACTGAGCAACTCATCTGGAGCAGTTAGAGGTTTCAACATCAATTCTGACAAAATATAAAAAATTAATTAACTTGAAAAAGTAGATCATC